GACCCCGACCTGACGGAGCACAGGTGGTTCTGACTTGTTAGCTGAAAGAGGAAACATGAATTTAAAAACTGTACTATAAAATTTTTCCAAGGACAAAAAGAGAGAGAGGGAGAGAGAGACCCCCTCACATCAGGATTCCCTTTGGAAAACAGGCTACAGCAAGGGGTCTCCTGGAGACGTGTGCAAATCTCTGTAAAAGCCCAAGGACCTGCGGCCAGTTCTGGGTCCCAGCGGAGTCTGTCGTGGGGCCCGGGAGCCTCTGTCCGTAAGGGGTCCTGCCTCCTGTCTCTGGGAACCGTGCTCCCACACACAATTTCCCGCTTGCCTAAAAGATGGGACTTCGATGTTTCCTTTGGATCAGGACAGAGAACGGGTGCATCATGGGTTGTGTCTGGCAGAAAACGCAAGGTTTCTTCGTTTCTCTGACAAGACCTGCAGTCTGATTGTATCAGTCATCTTGGGCTGTGTAACAAAACCCCACAGACAGGGTGACTTCAATGACACACATTTATTGTCACCGTCCTGGAAGCTGGGAGTCTGAGATCCAGGCGGGGCCGAGGCGGGTTCCTCCTGAGGCCTCTCTCCTGGGCGTGTAGACCCTGTCTTCTCCCTGTGTCCTCACGTGGTCATCCCTCTGTGCGTGTCTGTGTCCTCATTCCCTCTTATAAGGACCCTAGTCCTATGGGATCAGGGTCCACCCTACTGACGGTATTTTACCTAAATGCCCTCTTCAAAGTAATTGTTGGCAAACACAGCCGTGCTCAGAGGTCCTAGGGAATAAAGCTTAGACATAGGAAATCTGGGGACACAGCTCAGCCTGTGGCACTGGTTTAATGCTTATTCTGCAATAATTTGTTTTCCTTCGTTCTTATGTTTCATGGAGAGGAATTTCAGGATTGGTAGGAGATTTGGAGATTTCGTGTTTAGTGCCTACCCCTATCCTAACTGACTTATGGTGCGGTACCCTTGATTACATTACAGCAGAGGACGGGTCTGGGGCGGGCCCGCTGTGTCCCCGCCCAGCATGGGTCTCACAGGAGCCCTGCCCATGCGCCCCTCCGAGGGGCCTTTGGTGCCTCGTACCCACGGTGTTGGCTGAGACTCAGACCAGCCTCGCTCACCTCTGCTTCTGTCTTGCATGGACACCACCCCCGAGTACGTCTCTCACCTGCTCTGGTGGGGTGAATGGGGTGTCCCCAAAGAGACATGTCCACATCCTGGCCCCTGGAGCCGTGGACGAGACCTCGTTTGGACACAGGGTCTCCGCAGGTGTACTTACTGAAGGCTCTTGAGATGAGATCGTCCTGGATCGGGGGGTCTGATTTCAGTGATGAGTGTTCCCCTGGCCTTGCCTGACTCTGGGATCTGGCAGGATTTCCTGGCGTCCCCCGGGCATCCGTCCTCACCCTGGAACATTCCCTTCTGAGCGGAATCTTGCCAGGCTCCCGTGAGCCTGCTCTCCACCATGCCTCGAGGGTGGTCGGTAAAGCCTCAGGCTCTCCCCATGAGTGATTCCATCCACACCTACCTCACAGAGGCCCTCAAACACTGACCAGGTTTCTAGGGGCTCAAGGCCTGTCTCTAAGGTGGTCCAGCCCCTTGGGGTGCCTGTCTGCCTGGCTTCGGGCAGCTGGTGAGCTGACAAGGGCCCACCCACCTTGCCAGGGCATTTACTGGAAAGGGCACACAACTGCACCCTCCTCGTGCCTGGAGATGTGTCTCCTACAGCCCAGGGTGTCTCTCAAGGACCGAAGCCCTGCCTTGGAAAGGGGACCCTCAGGAATCCCTCACCCAGCCCCCTTCAGAGCTCCAGCCACCTGTGCTGGAATCCAAGCCAGGTGGGTTCCCTCCTGCTCATGCTGGCGACTCCATCAGTCCTGAGCTCATCGCTCCTGTCCCGCTCTCTTCATCTTTGGGTCCCACTCCCGTGGACGCTGGCGAGCGATGCCTGGGGCCCACAGGGGCCCATCGGAGCCCACGGGTGCCCATGCTGCATACTAGCTGACATGGTTGGTGGCTGGGGTCCTGCTGGGGGAACTGTGGGACTGTGGGACACAGCAGCTGGTGGACAAAGTAGCGGGATTCTTGTAAAGTAGGAGCTAAAATCACATGAGCTCTTACGCAGCTCTGTTTGAACCCCTCCTGAACAAACTTTAAGGAGAATGAAAGTAATGATTTCCTGAAGAACAAATGCAAATGCAGAGATAATAGCTGTGTGAGAAAGAGGGGTTCACATCAGAGGGGTGGTCCTCAGAAGTCTGCTTGGCGCCCAGCAGAGAGAGGAACAAGCAGGTCCCATCCCTCTCATCTCTTCTGCGACAAGGAAAGAGATGAAGACTTCTCACTTCCATATCTAAGGGGGAGGGGACCCGGGTGTGGGGACAGCCACAGTGGGGTTGGGGAGGGGAACAGGGTGCGGGGACGGCCACAGTGGGGTTGAGGGAGGGGACCCGGGTGCGGGGACAGCCACAGTGGGGTTGGGGGAGGGGACCCGGATGCGGGCATATTGACAGTGGGGTTGGGGGAGGGGATCTGGGTGCGGGGATGTTCACAGTGGGGTTGCGGAGGGGGACCCGGCTGCGGGGACGTCCACAGTGGGGTTGGGGAAGGGGACCCAGGTGCGGGGACATTCACAGTGGGGTTGGGAGAAGGGACCTTGGTGCAGGGACGTCCACAGTGGGGTTGGGGGAGGGGACCCTGCTGCGGGGACATCCACAGTGGGGTTGGGGGACCCGGGTGTGGGGACGTTCACAGTGGGGTTGGGGGAGGTGACCCGGGTGCGGGGACGTCCACAGTGGGGTTGGGGGACCCGGGTGCGGGGACGTCCACAGTGGGGTGAGGGGGCAGGTCTCAGGGTTCCCTGGTCTCTACCCCTGGGGCCTGCGGCCCATGTGCACCCCTCAGCTGTACCTGGCCAGTGTCGTCAAGGTGATGCCATGTTAGGAGGGTGCGATGTATGGTTGCCCAGAACCCCCAGGAGGACACCCTGAACCTATCCTGTCCTGCCCGTGGTTTCTCCGTCGTGTGGGACACGTGCAGCGTGTCAGTGCGTGGAATGTCAAAGTGCCTGTCAGGGATCATGGAACGGTGCTCAGCTGTGGGCAGGGGTGAAGCGCTGACCCCCCTGCTGGTACCTGATGAGCCTGGAGGACATGGTGCCCCGTGAGCGGGGCCAGAGGCACATGGCCCTGTGTATATAAGAAGTGTCCAGCCAGGAAGGTCTGTGTGACAAGGAATGTGGTGTGTGCCAGGGGCTGGGGGAGGGAGGGGGCGTGACTGGTGGTGGGTGTGCTTTGGGGACAGAGAATGTTCTAGAACCAGAGAGGTAGTTGCACAACACGGTGGGTGAGTGTGCTCAATGCCCCCCAACACTTGCCTTAAAAACCTAACCAATAATTACACATAACGAGCCCCACACGAAGATGGTTTAGAAATGCTGCTCAGTGTCCTGGGCTTGGGAAGGAGCAGTGTCCCTTCCCGTCGGTGACATCGGTGACATCGTGGGGGTCTTTGACATACTGACTGCTCCCGCGGAGGAGGCCTGCAGTGGGTGTGTGGACCCAGTCCCCGCCCCCAGAGACCGCAGTAGCTTTCTCCCCAACAGGGTGTGAGGGTCAGCGGACGAGACCCCGCAGGGACAAGGCATGGGTGCTTCTGGCCTCAGTGCAGCCTGGAGGGCTGCCAGAAGGAAGTGGCCTCTGAGCAGGGCCTGGAGGAAGGAGGTGGAGGGTGCGGGTGGGTTAGCTGTTTCCACAAGCAGCCCATGCCCATTCTCCGACACTCCCCGAGGAGGCTGCAAGTCTGACTGACGTGGGTGTCCCTGGGCTCATTGGCGTGTGGGCAGGGCAGGTTCCTGCGGGCTCCCCAGCCTGTCCAGCTCCAGAAGCCCCGCATCCCTTGGCTCATGGCCCTTCCTCCGACGTCCCCATCACAGCCCCTGGGATTGCACGCCCACCTGGGTAAAGCAGGGCAGCCCCCTGCTTTGAGCTCGGCTGTGCAGCAACCTCCAGGCCTGTCTGCCGTGGAGCCTGACACTCAGGTTCTGGAGATTTGCACAACTTTCGAGCCCTTGTGCTGCCCACCCGAGGCCAGCAGGGGAGTGGAGGCCGGCTGTTGGGAAACCCGCCCAGAGGGGAGGGTCTGTTCTGCAGGCAGTGGGGAGACCCAGGTGTGGTAACTGTCAAGGCCCCCCGGAGCTCAGAGCCTCATTTCACAGGCTCTATGTGGGACCCTGGGCTGTGGAGGGGGGACGGGGCCAGTGAGGGGGCTGTGGGCAGGGAGCTGGGTCTCAAAGGAGGGAGGAAGGGAGAGGAAGGAGGCAGGAGGACGAGGGGGAGGAAAGGGGGAGGGGAAAGGGGAGGGAGAGAGAGGAAGAGGGGACAGAGGAGGGGACAGAGGAGGGGAGGAGAAGGGGAGAGAGGAGGGGTGGGGAGAGAGGAGGGGAAAGAGGAGGGGGAGGGGAGAGGAGAGAGGGGGAGAGAGGAGGGCAAGAGGAGGGTAAGGAAGAGAAGCGAGTGGGCTGCGAGGGCTGCTGACCGCTGACCCGGTGTCCCCATGAGACAGCCATGGGGACTGCAGAGTGGAGGGTGCCTGAGCAGGGTGGAGGGAGGCCACCGTGGAGGGTTCCACCCACACCCAAGACCCAGCCATCCCTCTGAGCTGCCCCACACGTGTCCTATGTCCCTCTGGGTCCCTGCTGGTCTCAGGCAGACACTTGCACGAGGCACATTTGCTGAGGGCTCCATGCACAGGAGGAAACAGGGAGAGGGGAGGACCAGGGTCCAGCCTGCTGGGCTCCCAGTCACCTGGGGTCAGCATGGGGTGGGCGGGTCTGCGGGTGTGGATGTGCCCTGGGGAATCCGCCCCCACCCATGGAGGCCACAAGCCCTGGTCAGGGCTGGGACAAGGGCCACTCAGGCCAGAGGGCCGGACACTTCAGCAAAGGACACGGTCACTTTGCCAACCAGTATGCTCAGAGATCACAGGCGCCGCACCAAGGGGTATGAGGCCATTGGAGCTCTGATGAAACTCTTGTTTGCTCTGGCCCTGGGGTCCAGACCACAGCCAGAGCACGGTCAGGCTCTTGGGACGTCCTCCTGTCTCTGACTGCTGACCTCGTGGTCACACTCAGGATGTCCTCCCATCCCCGTCTCCTGTCCAGAGTGACAGGAGAGACCACATCCAGAGCACGGTCAGGCTCTCAGGATGTCCTCCTGTCCCCTGACTGCTGGCCCCGCAGTCCACTCAGGATGCCCTCCCATCCCCTGTGAGAGTCTGGTCCCTGAAGCCTGGGGTTGTGAATACCTGTGGACCCTGGGGCACTGCGGTCCACATAGGGGGACCTGCTCTGCACTTGGGGGCCCTGCTCTGGACTTGGGGGCCCTGCTCCGGGCTTTGGGTCCTGCTCTGGGCTTGCGGGGGTCCTGCTCTGGGCTTGTGGACCCTGCTCTGGACTTGGGGGTCCTGCTCTGGGCTTGGGGGGGTCCAGCTCTGGGCTCGGGGGGTCCTGCTCTGGGCCTCTGGGTTGCAGGCTGCCGCCCCGCACAGCAGGAAAGGAGTGTCCAGGGGGCGGATCCTCGTCCTCTTGGGGGTGGTGTTCCCGGCGTCCAATGGCAAGGCAGAGAGCATTTTAGGACGTGCTTGAGCGTCCGCGGCAGGCGAGCGGAGGGAGGCTCTGCTGGAAACGCTGCTGGAGAGACTGCAGCCGGCGGTGAGTGCTTCCCGGCTGAGTGCAGGGGGTCCGGTGCGGGGCCAGCGGGCTGGCGGGTGGTCCCAGCCTGAGGTGCGGGCGGGGTCGGGGCCGGGTCGCGCGCTGAGGCTGCTCATTCCTCCCGACCCGGCCGGAGGGGCAGCAGGAAGGGCCGCCCGAGTGTCCCCTCCAGCCTTGGTGTCCCTGCCGGCGCGGAGGGTGGGAACTGGCTGGGGTCAGAGCTGAGCCCGGACCCCCCAGGCTGTGGCCCCGGGATCCTGATGCTGGCGGGTTCCCTGGGCACCGACCTTGCAGCCGGGCAGGTGAAAGACTTGTTGGCCCGGGGGTCATGGCGGGTCCTTAGGTGCTGGGGCAGGGCCTCCGGACAGGCAGGTCAGGGAGCGGTGGGGAGCCAGGTGAGGAGGAGGGCGGAATGTCAGGTGGGTCTGCGGGCCGCGTGTCCGCCTGTTTATTCACCTGAGAGCTATTTCCTGAGCGTCACTGTGTCGCTGTCGCCACCCGCGGATGAGATGTGCCGCGTGGGGACGGAGCAGCCTCCCTGCGCACTCACAGGTGGGAGGCTCCGGTATCTCACCTGGCTGGGTCGTGGGCGTCTGTGAACCCGCTCTCATCCCGGTTTTGTGCAATCCCCACCCCCAGGACTTGCCTAAGCCCTGCCTTGCTCCAATCCAGAGGGTGGGGGCGGTCCAGCTGAGGAAGGGTCTAGCTGAGGTGGGGACAGCTTGGGGGTGCAGGTGCACCCAGGACCTCTCCCAGGTGCGGGGACAGAGATGCCTCTGCAGGTGGACCTTCCCATCTGCTTGGAAACAGCCTTTATGCAGGGTAACCTGTGCCTTGTTCTGGAGTTTCTTTGTGTCTGGTGCTCCTCGCTGGCCTTCTGCTGGGAAGAACCCTAATGTCCAAAGGGCACATTTTGGGGGGCATGTTCTGTCCCCCTTCATTTGAAGCTCAGAGAGTCGTTTTCCTTGGAAACAAAATGATGAGTTCCTGGGAGATCCCAGGATTCACCAGAGCCTCCTGTCCGGGGCCACTGGGATGGGACTGGGCTCCCGTCACTTCTTCAGTTGGGTGTGAAGAGGCCCCTGGGGCGGCAGCTGGGAGAAGCATGGCCCCAGCCCCTGTTCTCCTAACAAGGATGCCGAGGCCGTGTGTCCTAGTCAGGCCCTACCACACTCCCCAATGCGGTCCGCCGACACACACTATGGGAGTCCTGAGGATGGGGTTACACAATTCCCCATCCGCCTGCATTCCAGACACCTGTGTGGGCGCAGGGCAGGCAGTGGTCCATCTGTACCTGGATGGCACCTCAAGGAATGGTTCCTGTGTGTGTGTGGCATGGCACAGTCCAGCCCCTGACCGCCTGGACACTTGCTGCATGAACGTCAGCCCCCCAGGAGGTCTGGGATCCCACACTCACTCCTGTAGGGACACCGTTGACACCGAGTGTGAGCTGAGAGAGCCCTGGGACGGGCCATGAATGAAGATGGGTGGCCCAGGTGCTCGTAGAGTATCTCAAGGACCCTCTTATGGACGGGGGAGAGGACTGGTCTTTGTTGCTGCTGAGACAGAATGAGAACCAATGGTGTTAGCTTCTGGCATACTAGACACAGTGTAGACCAGGACATTTTTTCTACACTCTGAGGTTCTGTACTGGGACCTGCAAATTAAATGACAAAAGACAGGAGTGCCTGGCTGGCTCAGTGGGTGGAGCATGCAACTCTTGATCTCAGGGTTGAGAGTTCGAGCCCCATGTCGGGCATAGAGCTTACCTAAAAGATAAATAAAATAAAATAATAAAATAAATGAAATAAAATAAAATGACAAAAGACAGATGGACAGGAGAAAAGGTTAATTTGTATGTGTGCAGAAGCCTTCACAGAAGAGAAGTGGATTCAAAGAGAGAGTTAGACTTATGGGCTTACCTGCCATTTCAACAAGAGGTGATACATTTGTGGAGAAGTGACAAGCCAGAGGAAGAGGGGGGTGGGGTCATAGGGACAGTAAATTGTGAGAAGGTAAACGTTTGGAGGAAACTAATGAGAGGTAAGTGTTACTTACTGAGGCTTGTTATGCAGACTTCCCCAGTGAGAATACTCCTCCCTCTCCTGGTATAGGGGATGGAGCGGGGATGGCTTCACCAAGGAAAATTTATGCCTGCTTTCAGGCAGAGAGGAGGAGGGCAGAGAGTTTTTCTTGTTTCTGCTTTTTCTCAATCTCCTTTAGATCAAAATAATCCTATGGCAAAGCGGACTATTTCAGGGAGGCAGATTCTGACCCCCTACCACTCCAACAGCGGGAGGCCGTGCCAGAGAAAGGGCCACATCCAGACTAGAGGGAACTCGTCCCTCGCAGAGGGTGGGTCGGGAATGCCTGCGTGGGGGCCGACACGCTGCGTGGTCACCGTGGGCCCGGGTCTCCTGCCTCACGTGCTTCTGCTCAGAACCCATCCTACGACCCAGGGAGATGACACGAGGGCTGCCACGTGGGAATCTGGTGGCAGGGACACAGCTCAGCCCAGGACAGGCTCCTGCAGGGAAACCAGGACGTGTCACCTCGGGGCTCGGGGGCACGGCTCAGTCCCCGATGGTGTCCCTTTGGGTGGAGGTGGCAGGTCAGGAGGCCAGGCTGTGGTGGATGGGTCCATGTGGCTTTAGCATCAGAGGCACCAGGGGCGAGGTCTTGCCCGCTGGTCCACGGACCACTGTGGCCACGTCTCTGGGGCTCCCTTCCCTGTGCACTTGGTGACACACGCCCGCCCGTCTGCTTAGCGTGAGAGTGTCCGTGGGGCACATAGCTGGCAGATGTTTGAAAGGCAGTGGCGCTGGCCGTAGGTTAAGGACCCACGAGACCCCCCCTACCATCCCCTAGCCCCGGGCATCGCCCTGGTGCTTGTAAGGGAGTGCGTGGGCTTCGGCAGGAACCTTTCTCGGATTCCTTGCCCCAGAGCCCTACCCCAACAGGGGTAGAGGGAAACGGGGCGAGGGGGTGCTCACCTGCGCCCTCAAGACACGGCACCTCCAGGATGGAAACCCTGTAGCCGCAGACTCTGCAAGCTGGCACGTGAGCCCCTCCCCACTGTCCGGAGGTGCGGTGGGGAGATTAGCGCATGATCAAGCAGGGGGTTCCCCTGCAGGCAGGGCATGCACTGCAGCCACTGCCCCCCACCCCTGGGAAAGCAACCCCCTTGGTTGACCTCTGCAAAACTTCATTTCCTTCCTCAGCTCGCACAAGGTGGCCTCCGATGGGCGGACAGGCGAGCACTGGTGGCAGCGTCCAGAGCCCGCTGTGCACCACAAATACAGACTGGATGTCAGCGCTGTGCCCCCTGCTCCGGGACGTGCCCCTCCACCACCTCTCCATCCCAGGTGAGGGCCTCTGAGTCCACCCTTGCTGGGGTGCTGCTGGCACGCCTTGGGTCTCGGGTGTGGGGAACGTGCACGAAGCACCTACACACAGTATAGGCAGACACGCGTGCACACGCAACGCATGCACGCGATACAGGTACAGATGTGTGCACGGACACCCACACGCATGCACCCAGTACAGGCACAGATGCATGCATGCTCACGCAAACAATACAGGCACACAGGCACACACACATGCACACAATACAGGACACGTACACACACACAATACAGGTACAGATGTGTGCCCGGACACGCACACGCACGCACGCAATACAGGCACAGAAGCGTGCACACGTAATATGTGCATGCAGGCACATGCATGCATACAGCACAGGCACGTATACAGGCACACGTGTAGGCACACATGCACATATATGCGCACATGTGTAAGCACAGATGCACACGTGTACACACAATAATGCACACATACAGGAACGTGTATACACATGCACACACGTGTACACACACATGCACCACACACGTGTTTTCCCCTTTCCATCTCCTTTACTCTAATGCAGCCCGGCAGGCATCTGCACACCCCAGGGGAGTGTGGCTTCGTGGCAGCATAGGGATTTGGGGTGAAGCTCCCCTGCGAGTCTGTCCCTCCGTGTAGGGAACCCGCTGGCTTCTCATGGCTGTAGTCACCACTCCCCGTCACCCGTGTGCTGAGCGTCTTCTGTGCTTGGAGCCTGGAGAGTCCAAAGTGGGTCTGCCCCACAAGGAGATCACGCTGAACACTTTGGGGACTCTGATCCAATGACCTGGCAGCCCTGAGTCAGGCCTGCTGGGCTCCGTCTGGGCCCCTGGGACTCCGGTGGCCCCGGGAGCAGTGGCCACGGCTCTGCACTGATGAGCATGTGGGCATTGCCAGTCTTGCGTGTCTGCAGTAAAGAAGCATATAGTGGGTCCCACTATGTGTCTCCACGTCCACACACATGCGGTATCTGGCATCCCTCCCGCAAAAAATAGGCAGATTTCTCACCTGGATAGGTTTTTGTAGTTTTTTATATTTATCCATATTTTCATGTGCACTTACGCTTTTCTTTGGGAATTTTATGACTTCTTCTTTTTTTTAAAGATTTATTTATTTGAGAGAAAGTGCAAGTGGGGGTGGGGAGAGGTAGAGGGAGAGAATCCCAAGCAAAGCACAGAGCCCGACATGGGGCTCGATCTCAGGACCCTGAGGTCACGATCTGAGCCCAAAGCCAAGAGTATGACCCTTAACCGACTGACCACCCAGGTGACCAACCCAAGGAATTTTATAACTTCTTAAAAAACATTTAAACCCTTGATACATATGCAGTTTATCTTGATGGGGCAGGATCCAGTCTGTGTATTTCCCACACGGCTATCCACTGTTCTGTCAGCTGGACTCCCACCGTGGCCAGAGACCCATGGCTTGAATGACCTCATGGACGAGAGAGCCCCTGGGGGTCAGGCTGTGTCCCTGCTGAGCCTGAGGGGCAACAGCACAAACCCAGGTGTAGGCACTGGCCAGTGCCCCCCAAGATTCATGTCCGCCTCCACCCACAACCCTTGGAAGGGGGCCTTTTGTGGAAATAGGGTCTTTGCAGATGTGAAGTGAAGGATCTGAGACGAGCTCATCCTGGGTCAGGATGGCCCTAAATCCAAGGACAGGTGTCCTTACAAGAGACGGAAGAGGAGACACAGACCCAGAAGAGAAGCCACATGAAGACAGAGGCAGAGACGGGAGGGATGCGGCCACAAGCCCAGGGACTCCTGGAGCCCCAGAAGCTGGAAGAGGCAGAAAGGACCCTCCCCTGGAGCCTCTGGAGGGAGCTTGGCCCTGCCCTGCCTGGATCTCAGTGGTCCTGTCCCGCCTGCATCTCAGACTTCCAGCCTCCAGAGTTGGGATACAATCTAATTTCTCTTCTTTGAAGCTGGGACATCTCCCAGCTTGTGGTACTTTGTGGAAGGAGCCACAGAAAACTCATATACCCGATAGATAATAATTGCAGAAAAATGTGAACATCTAGGTAAGTTAAAAAAAAAATTTTAAATCCTCTATTGACATATATTTACCTGTATTTTAAAATTATATATTTTAATATACATAACATATGGGTCCATTTATATATGGGGATGATCCATTTTTATATATAAAGATGGATACTATGAACAGAGAACAAGATCAAACCATACAATTTTTCCATCTGCTTTTTTGCTCAGCATAGTATTGCCCGCATTTCCGACGTGGGCAAATACGGAGTTGTACTGACTGTGTGCACTCTGCTCACATTTGTATGTGAGCATATGTCACGGAGACTGTCCCGTGTGTGGCGACCACCAGTCCCCACCGTGGGCAGCTTCGCCGGACACGTGCAGGGGGCGTGCCTTGCTCGCCCACCATCGCTCTTTCAGCTGAGTCCGGGACTCTCTGAGGCTACCGTGCCGAGTCTCTCCCGCTGGTCGGGCCCGTGCAGCCACCTCTCCGCCCCCGGCCTCCTCATGTCCGGAGCCCCCGGCCTCACCAGCATGTTCAGGGACAGATACATCCCTGCACATACTCCCCGGTGACCTGAGTCCCTAGGGTTTCCCCTTTGCCCGGGGGCTGTTTTCCTGGTGGGGGGCATGTTTTCTGTGGGTCTCTAAGTACTCTGTGTGCAGTCGGGATGAGGTTTTCGGGTGGGCGTCCTGGGGATCAGCAGAGAGTCGTTCTGGGAGGTGAGGAGGGACACAGAGGTATGCCCGTCCCAGGGGCTCCATCCCCTCTGTGCCCCTTGGATGCAGGTGGCCTCCGCGGAGGGTGTGGCCAAGTAGCTCCCTTAGACGGCAGACGTGGGGAGAGACGCAGCAGTGTGTGGTCGGGGACACCCTGGCACCACTGGGGAAAGAGCCCCTGGTCCTGAAGTCACCACCGTCTGGGTGGCTGTGAGAGTGTCCTGGGGCTCCTTTAACGAAGGACCACAGCCTGTGGCTTCCATACCACACACAGGGACATCTCACAGCTCTGGGCCCAGAAGTCTGCACAGGTCTGACCTCTAAGTGCCTGAACGGCTAGCTCCTTCTTTTTTTTTTTTTTAATTTTATTTACTGGAGCGTCTGGGAGGCTCAGTCGTTAAGCCTCTGCCTTCGGCTCAGGTCGTGGTCCCGGGGTCCTGGGATCGAGTCCCGCGTCGCGCTCGCTGCTCCGCGGGAAGCCTGCTTCTCTCTCTCCCACTCCCCCTGCTTGTGTTCCTGCTCTCGCTATGTCTCTCTGTCAAAAAAATAAATATGCTTCTAAATAATCATCAATGGCTTTTATACCTTTAAGCTAATTCTCTTTTCCCTCCTTTCTCATTCTTCTTCTATCCTCTTCCTATTCCTTCACATTATGCTATCCATTTATACTGTGGTATTCCTCATTCATCTTCTACAAAGCCTTTTAAAATTTATCCTTGGACTGGGGCACCTGGGTGGCTCAGTCGGTTAAGCGGCTGCCTTTGGCTCAGGTCATGATCACAGGGTCCTGGGATCGAGTCCCGCGTTGCGCTCGCTGCTCCGCGGGAAGCCTGCTTCTCCCTCTCCCCCTCCCCCTGCTTGTGTTCCCTCTCTCGCTGTGTCTCTCTCTGTCAAATAAATAAATAAAATCTTTTAAAAAAAAAGATGCCCAGCGACTGAGCCCCCCAGGGCGCCCCAGGCCAGCTCCTCTGGAGGTTCCCCGGGAGAATCTGTTTCTCTGCCGTGTCCAGCTTCAAGGGGCCCCTTCCTCCACGTTGAAGCCCGCAACATGCCTTCTGCCCACCTCCCTGAGTCTGACCCCGTCTCCCTCTTAAGGTCCCTCGAGGCTGGGTCAGGCCACCGGATCATCCAAGAAACTCCCCCGTCGCGACACCCATTACTGACCTGCAAATTCCCTTCTGCCGCATGGGATGATACCTGCGCAGGCCCCAAGGGATTTGTGGGGACCATCTTGGAGGGTCACGTTCTGCCCGCCACGTGGGCGTTCGGACAAGCGTGTCTTGGGGACATCTTCAGGACGTTACTTAGCTGAGCACAGGGACTTCCCACAGCATCTCATACTGTGTTATTTGTAACTTTTAAGTTTCTACGTAAAGGGAAAGTCAATTTTTTTAAAGATTTATTAATTTATTTTGGAGAGAAAAAGAGGGTGAGAGTGAGGGGAGGGGCAGAAGGAGAGAGAGAGAGAATCCCCAAGCAGACTCTCTGCTGAGTGTGGAGCCCCACGCAGGGCTCGATCCTGCGACCCTGAGATCATGACCTGGGCCACATTCAAGAGTCGGACACTCAACTGACTGAGCCACGTGGGCGCCCCAAGGAAAAGTGAATTTTTCTTTATGGGGTCAGATCTGTCTGTCGTTTCGATCATAGCTTTTGCGTTGGGGATCATGCTCAGAGAGACGTACCCATATGTTCCAACAGAACTGTATGGTTTCATCGTGCGTGAAGATCTGTGAACAGTCTGGGATACACTGGACGGGACATAGGACACAGAAATCTCACCTGATTTCCACTGTTAGCCACGTGCCGGGTGGACCCTTTTGTCCCCTGGCCGGGATGCTTCCTTATAGTACCTGAAATTGGTAGAATTGTGTCCGTCTCTGAACGCAGTGTTGCGATCCGTTGATGAGTGGACTCTGCAACAGCGTGTGTCTGACTGATATGGCACGTTTATTTATTTATATGGCACGTCCCTATACAACACGTGTGCATTAGCCCCTCATAGTAAAAGTCCCCCTTTCTCACTCTTCTTTTCAGAGGTTTCTGGGAAACCTTAACGTTTTTTGGTGTGGATGCGTCTGGGGGTGCCTCGCCCAGTCCAGGAGCATGTCCCGGGGTGTGTGGGGTGAGGGTGAACTTTGCATAGGGCCGTCCCCACAGTGACCTCTGGTTTTCCCCACGAGGGACATGCCAGGGTCACTTGGCTTCTCCTCTGTGTCTGTGTCTCCTCTTCTGTCCCCTATAAGGACACCTGTCATGGGATTTAGCGCCCCCCTGGTCCTGGATGACTCTCCATGCACTCAGCTGCCGGCGGCAGGTTCCGGGGGGTTGTGCGCTTTGGGTGACGACCCACGCCTGGTGCTGTGTGTGTTCTCCGTGTGAGCTCGGAGCACGCAGCGCAGGAAGAGGCTCCCGGAAAAACGTCCCCCGCGTTTGCTTGCAGGAAGCCACGACACCATGACCTACTGCTTGAACAAGAAATCGCCCATCTCCCAGACCCAGTCCTGGCTGCTGCAGCTTCTGGGCAAGGTCCTGCCATGTGTGACCCGCCCCGTGGTGCTCAGGTGGTCCATTACCCAGGTACGGGTCAGCAGCGGGGGGTGACCAGCGTCATCTGGCTGGGGAGGCGCCCTGATCCCTGTGTGTCGGGGAGTGGAATGGAAAACAGGCCCCAGACCAACCCACCGGACATACACGACCGCCCACTGCCCAGTCGTGAAGACGAGGGGCCCTGCAGTTTGGAGGCAGATGGGGCGGGAGGCCAGTGTCTTCAGCCTCCAGGTTACATTTAAGAGCCCGTCAGTCCTGGGAAAACACCCCCGAGCTGTGCAACTGTCCAGACGTCTGTTTGGAGATTTACACGCCTGTGAAAAAGATGAGAGAGAACCGCAGTGACTGGGTTCTGCAGGGAATATGCAGGGAAAGGCAGGGAGGGGGTGTGTGCAGGGAAAGGCAGGGAGGGGGTGTGTGCTGGGAAAGGCAAGGAAGGGTGTGGGCAGGGAGGGGTGTGTGCAGGGAAATGCAGGGAGGGGGTGTGTGCAGGGAGGGGTGTGTGAGGGGAAAGGCAGGGAGGGGGTGTGTGCAGGGAGGGGTGTGTGCAGGGAAAGGCAGGGAGGGGGTGTGCGCAGGGAAAGGCAAGGAGGGGGTGTGTGCAGGGAAAGGCAGGGAGGGGTGTGTGTGGGGGGGAAGGCAGGGAGGGTGTGTACAGTGTTGTGCAGAGAGGGGGTGTGTGCAGGGAAAGGCAGGGAGGGAGGGGGTGTGTGCGGGGGGGGGGGAAGGCAGGGAGGGGTGTGCAGGGAATGTGCAGGGAGTCTGCAGTCCTGTCCCTCAGGTGCAGGACAGCACAGAACCTGTTCTCTCATTCGGATTTGCTCCATCCTCCCTGCCCAGCGCTTGTCTCCCTGGGACAGCGGTCCTTGCGGGACGGGGCGTGGTGTAGAGAGGAGCAGGGGTGACCTGGGGAGTCCTCACCCGGGACGGGGTGGGGTGGTGGTGCCTGGTGTGCAGAGGAAGGTCAGGGGACCCGGGGCGTCCTCCTGGGGGGGATGTGTGTAGAGGAAGGTCAGGGTGACCCGGGGCGTCCTCGTGGTGGGGTGTGCAGAGGAAGCTCAGGGTGACCTGGGGCTTCCTCCTGGGGGGGCGGGCGTGCAGAGGAAGGTCAGGGGGACCCGAGCCATCCTGGGGGGGGAGGGGAACATGCAGAGGTGGGTCAGGGTGACCTGGGGCATCCTGGAGGGGGAGGGGGCCATGCAGAGGCGGGTCAGGGGGACCTGGGGTCTGCTCCTGGGGGGGGGCTTGCAGAGGAAGCTCAGGGTGACCCGGGGCATCCTCCTGGGGGGGGTGTGTGTAGAGGACGGTCAGGGGACCCGGGGCGTCCTCCTGGGGGGGTGTGTGTAGAGGAAGGTCAGGGTGACCTGGGGCGTCCTCCTGGGGGCATGCATCTGGCTGTAGGGTTGACACCTGCACAGCCTGAGGCCGCAAGCGGGGGAGGGGTGCCAGCTGGGGCCCAGGTGGGGGCAGCCCGTCCCTCACTTCCGCCTGGGGGAGGGCTCAGGGGTCTGCGTTTTCGGGTTGCAGGCTCTCGTGCTCTGGAGTCTCTCCCCCAGTGGAGGCCACCCCCCCCACCAGGGCTCTGACCTTTGTAATTGCTTGGCTCCAGGAATTTCCACCAGGATGTTAATCCCTAGGGGCTGGCGGGTCTGGAATGCGGAGAAACCACATTCCCGACTTGTGAGGTGCCTGTTGGGAGTCACCCGGGAGCCCTGTGGGAGGGGTAGGCGGGTTCACTATGGCCCTAGAGACGCTGCAGTGCTGGGGCCCCTCGCTGCTGGGGCCCCTCAGTGCTGGGGTCCCGTGGTGCTGGGGTTCCTCGGTGCTGGGGTCCCCCGGTGCTGGGGTCCTGGGACCCCATGGTGCTGGGGTCCCACGGTGGTGGGGTGTCCGGGTGCTCGGGTCCCCAGGTGCTGGGGTCCTGGGGCCCCATGGTGCTGGGGCCCCGTGGTGCTGGGGTCCCGCGGTGGTGGGGTGTCCGGGTGCTGGGGTCCCCAGGTGCTGGGGTCCTGGGGCCCCATGGTGCTGGGGCCCCGTGGTGCTGGGGTCCCCCGGTGGTGGGGTCCCGCAGTGCTGGGGTTCCCTGGTGCTGGGGTCTTGGGGTCCCCCGGTGCTGGGGTCCCCCGGTGCTGGGGTCCTGGGTCCCCGTGGTGCTGGGGTCCCACGGTGGTGGGGTGTCCGGGTGCTGGGGTCCTGGGGCCCCGTGGTGCTGGGGTCCCGCGGTGGTGGGGTGTCCGGGTGCTGGGGTCCCCAGGTGCTGGGGTCCTGGGTCCCCGTGGTGCTGGGGTCCCACGGTGGTGGGGTGTCTGGGTGCTAGGGTCCCGTGGTGCTGGGGTTCCCCGGTGCTGGGGTCTTGGGGTCCCCTGGTGCTGGGGTCCCCCGGTGCTGGGGTCCTGGGGCCCCATGGTGCTGGGATCCCGCGGTGGTGGGGTGTCCGGGTGCTCGGGTCCCCAGGTGCTGGGGTCCTGGGGCCCCATGGTGCTGGGGCCCCGTGGTGCTGGGGTCCTGCGGTGGTGGGGTGTCCGGGTGCTGGGGTCCCCAGGTGCTGGGGTCCTGGGGCCCCATGGTGCTGGGGCCCCGTGGTGCTGGGGTTCCCCGGTGGTGGGGGTCCCACGGTGGTGGGGTGTCTGGGTGCTAGGGTCCCGCAGTGCTGGGGTTCCCTGGTGCTGGGGTCTTGGGGTCCCCCGGTGCTGGGGTCCCCCGGTGCTGGGGTCCTGGGGCCCCATGGTGCTGGGGTCCCACGGTGGTGGGGTGTCTGGGTGCTGGGGTCCCCAGGTGCTGGGGTCCTGGGGCCCCATGGTGCTGGGGCCCCGTGGTGCTGGGGTCCCCCGGTGGTGGGGTCCCGCAGTGCTGGGGTTCCCTGGTGCTGGGGTCTTCGGGTCCCCCGGTGCTGGGGTCCCCCGGTGCTGGGGTCCTGGGGCCCCATGGTGCTGGGGTCCCATGGTGGTGGGGTGTCCGGGTGCTGGGGTCCCCAGGTGCTGGGGTCCTGGGGCCCCATGGTGCTGGGGTTCCCTGGTGCTGGGGTCTTGGGGTCCCATGGTGCTGGGGTTCCCTGGTGCTGGGGTCCCCGGGTGCTGGGACACCACTTCGGTGTGTCCCATGAGGTCTATGGTGCGTGTGTGGGGTGTGTGTGTGGGACGCTGCTGAAAGGGCTCCATCCTTCAGGGAATCCCATGCAGGAAGTAACCAGCTGCGCGTGCACACGGGTACCAGACACAGGGGTCAGTGGGCCCCATCATGGTGCGTCCCCACACTGGAAATGCTGCATACGCTGGGTCATTTTCTACAGAATGCACAACGTCAGAAGCTGCTGGGTATTCTGGGGGAGACTGGACAGGGGAAGGGGCACGATTGACATTAAAGTTTGCAGCACATACACTGAGGGGCAGACGGGGAGGAACGCATCCTGCCGGTCAGGGAACTCTCTGCCCCGGGGAGGGGGAGGGGAGGCTATAACTTTGCGTCCCCAGATCTCGCATCCTGCCGGTCCGGGACCTCTCTGCCCCGGGGAGGGGGAGGGGAGGCTGTAAGTTGGCGTCCCCAGATCTCGCATCCTGCCGGTCAGAGACCTCTCTGCTGGGGGGGTGGGGGGCGCTGTAAGTTTGCATCCCCAGATCTCGCATCCTGCTGGTCAAGGACCTCTTTGCTGGGGGGGTGGGGGGCGCTGTAAGTTTGCATCCCCAGATCTCGCATCCTGCTGGTCAAGGACCTCTTTGCTGGGGGGGTGGGGGGCGCTGTAAGTTTGCATCCCCAGATCTCGCATCCTGCTGGTCAAGGACCTCTTTGCTGGGGGGGTGGGGGGCGCTGTAAGTTTGCATCCCCAGATCTCGCATCCTGCTGGTCAAGGACCTCTTTGCTGGGGGGGTGGGGGGCGCTGTAAGTTTGCATCCCCAGATCTCGCATCCTGCTGGTCAAGGACCTCTTTGCTGGGGGGGTGGGGGGCGCTGTAAGTTTGCATCCCCAGATCTCGCATTCTGCTGGTCGGGACCTCTCTGCCAGTGGGGGGGCGGCGCTGTAAGTTTGCGTCCCCAGATCTCCCATCCTGCCAGTCAAGGACCTCTTTGCTGGGGGGGTGGGGGGTCGCTGTAAGTTTGCATCCCCAGATCTCACATCCTGCCGGTCAGGGACCTCTCTGCAGGGGGGGTGGGGGGGCGCTGTAAGTTTGTATCCCCAGATCTCACATCCTGCTGGTCAAGGACCTCTTTGCTGGGGGGGTGGGGGGCGCTGTAAGTTTGCATCCCCAGATCTCGCATCCTGCTGGTCAGAGACCTCTCTGCAGGGGGAGTGGGGGGGCGCTGTAAGTTTGCATCCCCAGATCTCGCATCCTGCTGGTCAAGGACCTCTTTGCTGGGGGGGTGGGGGGCGCTGTAAGTTTGCATCCCCAGATCTCGCATCCTGCTGGTCGGGACGTCTCTGCCAGTGTGGGGGGGGGCGCTGTAAGTTTGCGTCCCCAGATCTCCCATCCTGCTGGTCAGGGACCTCTTTGCCGGGGGCGGGGGCGGGGTCTGTAAGTCTGTATCCCCAGATCTCGCATCCTGCTGGTCAGAGACCTCTCTGCTGGGGAGAGTGGGGGGGCGCTGTAAGTTTGTATCCCCAGATCTCACATCCTGCTGGTCAGAGACCTCTCTGCTGGGGGGGGCGGGGGGCGCTGTAAGTTTGCGTCCCCAGATCTCGCATCCTGCTGGTCAGAGACCTCTCTGCAGGGGGAGTGGGGGGGCGCTGTAAGTTTGTATCCCCAGATCTCACATCCTGCTGGTCGGGGACCTCTTTGCCGGGGGCGGGGGCGGGGTCTGTAAGTCTGTATCCCCAGATCTCACGTCCTGCTGGTCAGAGACCTCTCTGCTTGGGGGAGTGGGGGGGCGCTGTAAGTTTGTATCCCCAGATCTCACATCCTGCCGGTCAGGGACCTCTCTGCAGGGGGGGTGGGGGGGCGCTGTAAGTTTGTATCCCCAGATCTCACATCCTGCTGGTCAAGGACCTCTTTGCTGGGGGTGTGGGGGGCGCTGTAAGTTTGCATCCCAGATCTCCCATCCTGCTGGTCAGGGACCTCTCTGCTGGGGGGGTGGGGGGGCGCTGTAAGTTTGCGTCCCCAGATCTCGCATCCTGCTGGTCAGAGACCTCTCTGCAGGGGGAGTGGGGGGGCGCTGTAAGTTTGCATCCCCAGATCTCGCATCCTGCTGGTCAAGGACCTCTTTGCTGGGGGGGTGGGGGGCGCTGTAAGTTTGCATCCCCAGATCTCGCATCCTGCTGGTCAAGGACCTCTTTGCTGGGGGGGTGGGGGGCGCTGTAAGTTTGCATCCCCAGATCTCGCATTCTGCTGGTCAAGGACCTCTTTGCTGGGGGGGTGGGGGGCGCTGTAAGTTTGCATCCCCAGATCTCGCATCCTGCTGGTCGGGGACGTCTCTGCCAGTGGGGGGGGGGCGCTGTAAGTTTGCGTCCCCAGATCTCCCATCCTGCTGGTCAGGGACCTCTCTGCTGGGGGGGTGGGGGGGCGTTGTAAGTTTGCGTCCCCAGATCTCGCATCCTGCCAGTCAGGGACCTCTCTGCCCCGGGGAGGGGGAGGGGAGGCTATAAGTTTGCGTCCCCAGATCTCGCATCCTGCCGGTCAGGGACCTCTCTGCCCCGGGGAGGGGGAGGGGAGGCTATAAGTTTGCGTCCCCAGATCTCGCATCCTGCTGGTCAGGGACCTCTCTGCTGGGGGGGTGGGGGGGCGCTGTAAGTTTGCGTCCCCAGATCTCGCATCCTGCTGGTCAGAGACCTCTCTGCAGGGGGAGTGGGGGGGCGCTGTAAGTTTGTATCCCCAGATCTCACATCCTGCTGGTCGGGGACCTCTCTGCCAGTGGTGGTGGGGGGGGCGCTGTAAGTTTGCATCCCCAGATCTCTCATCCTGCTGGTCGGGGACCTCTTTGCCGGGGGCGGGGGCGGGGTCTGTAAGTCTGTATCCCCAGATCTCGCATCCTGCTGGTCAGAGACCTCTCTGCAGGGGGAGTGCGGGGGCGCTGTAAGTTTGCGTCCCCAGATCTCCCATCCTGCTGGTCAGGGACCTCTCTGCTGGGGGGGTGGGGGGGCGCTGTAAGTTTGCGTCCCCAGATCTCGCATCCTGCTGGTCAGAGACCTCTCTGCAGGGGGAGTGGGGGGGCGCTGTAAGTTTGTATCGCCAGATCTCACATCCTGCTGGTCGGGGACCTCTCTGCCAGTGGTGGTGGGGGGGGCGCTGTAAGTTTGCATCCCCAGATCTCCCATCCTGCTGGTCAAGGACCTCTTTGCCGGGGGCGGGGGCGGGGTCTGTAAGTCTGTATCCCCAGATCTCGCGTCCTGCTGGTCAGAGACCTCTCTGCAGGGGGAGTGCGGGGGCGCTGTAAGTTTGTATCCCCAGATCTCACATCCTGCTGGTCGGGGACCTCTCTGCCAGTGGTGGGGGGGTGGCGCTCTAAGTTTGCATCCCCAGATCTCCCATCCTGCTGGTCAAGGACCTCTTTGCCGGGGGCGGGGGCGGGGTCTGTAAGTCTGTATCCCCAGATCTCACATCCTGCTGGTCAGAGACCTCTCTGCTGGGGCGGGTGGGGGGCGCTGTAAGTTTGCATCCCCAGATCTCGCATCCTGCCGGTCAGAGACCTCTCTGCAGGGGGGGTGGGGGGGCGCTGTAAGTTTGCATCCCCAGATCTCATATCCTGCTGGTCAGAGACCTCTCTGCTGGGGGGGTGTGGGGGGGCGCTGTAAGTTTGCATCCCCAGATCTCCCATCCTGCTGGTCAAGGACCTCTTTGCCGGGGGCGGGGGCGTGGTCTGTAAGTCTGTATCCCCAGATCTCACGTCCTGCTGGTCAGAGACCTCTCTGCTTGGGGGAGTGGGGGGGCGCTGTAAGTTTGTATCCCCAGATCTCACATCCTGCCGGTCAGGGACCTCTCTGCAGGGGGGGTGGGGGGGCGCTGTAAGTTTGTATCCCCAGATCTCGCATCCTGCCGGTCAGAGACCTCTCTGCAGGGGGGGTGGGGGGCGCTGTAAGTTTGTATCCCCAGATCTCGCATCCTGCCGGTCAGAGACCTCTCTGCTGGGGGGGTGGGGGGACGCTGTAAGTTTGCATCCCCAGATCTCGCATCCTGCCGGTCAGGGACCTCTCTGCAGGGGGGGTGGGGGGGCGCTGTAAGTGCACATCCCCAGATCTCGCAGAGATCAGCCCTGGACGGTGAGAGCGTGGGTCCATTGTCGGCCTCTCCGGATTCTGCTGTTTTCCAAATATTAAAACTATGAGCACCTATTTTACTGTCTAAAAATACAGCACAAGTGTCTGAAGGGATGTTTTAGGGGACACAATGGTGTCTTTCCTCAGTTCCCTCCATCCAGAACGTCCACCAAGGGCAGTGGGCCCACAAGCCTGTGCACAGTGGCTTGGGCCGACTGGGGGTCGCCGCAGGAAGGTCTGCCCGTCCCCTGGGAGTCACCGGCAGAATTCCCCTCCCCAGACTCTGGGCCTCTTGAGAACTCAGGGTCTCTGGGCAACGCCACACCCTGAGCGCCAAGGCCCCTCCCAGGTGGCTGTGCATGGAGGTGGCCTGGGGCTGGGGTGTGGGGACCCCACGCCGTGCACACCGTGGGCCTCTATGGAGCCTCACAACCTCAGTTTCCTAATCTGTCAACAGGGAGACTAGCAGGAGGAATGCGAGCCCCCTGCAAGAGGACCCAGGGTGTAAAAGTTATTTCCATGGAAATTCATGCTTTTTCCATTATGACGTTGAGTGGAAGGGGACAGCCTTTTCTTCCCTTGACCCTCTGTGACCTTTCTTCCTGGTGCTGTTAGTGGGGTGGGGACGGTGCCCACTGTAGCTCATCCCCCCACGGTGCCTCCTGCCCCCTGAGGGTCCAGGTGGGGCTTCCCAGAGCCTGGCCCAGTGCTGTTGAGACCCAGACAGGGTTCCTTCCTGGTGACTGCCCGGGAAGTGGGGGAGGCAGGACCCTGCGGGGATGTCTGGACGCCAGTGTCAGGGCCGAGGGGGCATTTCCTGCCGGACGGGCCCTCCCCAGCCTCCCTCCGTGGCTCTCCGTGGCACTGTCAGGGCCGAGGGGGCATTTCCTGCCGGACGGGCCCTCCCCAGCCTCCCTCCTTGGCTCTCCGTGGCAGTGTCAGGGCCGAGGGGGCATTTCCTGCGGACGGGCCCTCCCCAGCCTCCCTCCGTGGCTCTCCGTGGCCAGTGTCAGGGCCGAGGGGGCATTTCCTGCCAGACGGGCCCTCCCCAGCCTCCCTCCGTGGCTCTCCGTGGCCAGTGTCAGGGCCGAGGGGGCATTTCCTGCGGACGGGCCCTCCCCAGCCTCCCTCCGTGGCTCTCCGTGGCCAGTGTCAGGGCCGAGGGGGCATTTCCTGCGGACGGGCCCTCCCCAGCCTCCCTCCGTGGCTCTCCGTGGCAGTGTCAGGGCCGAGGGGGCATTTCCTGCGGACGGGCCCTCCCCAGCCTCCCTCCGTGGCTCTCCGTGGCCAGTGTCAGGGCCGAGGGGGCATTTCCTGCCGGACGGGCCCTCCCCAGCCCCCCTCCGTGGCTCTCCGTGGCAGTGTCTCCAGGAAAGCGTGTTCTCAGACGCACGGCTCACGTGGCTCCCAAGCCCCAGCGGGCACCATACCCACTGGTTGTACATCGAACAACGTGGCCCCCAGCTGGGCGGCTCCAACCCAACTCCAAGCCCGGGACGGTGGCCGTGCGCCAAGGTGGGGGCTGCGCGTTGCCCCACAGGGACGCCTGACCTGTGTCCGCAGGTGCTGGACGTCACGGAGCAGCTGGACGCGGGGGTTCGGTACCTGGACCTGCGGATCGCACACATGCTTGTCGGCTCCGAGAAGAATCTACACTTCGTGCACATGATGTACAGCACCGCGCTGGTGGAGGTGCGGGGGCATGGGGGGTGCAGGGCTCAGCGGGGCGGCCTCCACCCACGTGCCCTGCGCAAGGAGCAAGCCGGCCTTCCGAACTCGTGACCGGGGTGCATTTCCGAGCTTGCTCCCGGACCCCTGATTCCTCCAGTGTCTCCTGGAGTTTGCAGAAGGGGCCCCTTGTCTTCCCGCCTTTGGCTGGGGTGTCTTCGGTCTCCCTGGCCGCTACGTGACGGGTTCCAAAGTGTGAATGTGACACATCACCGTCATGCTTCCCACCTGCTCTGGGCACCCTGGCCCCCCCTGCAAGCCCTCCAGGGTGTGTGTGTGCCCGGGAGACACCATCCCGGGGATCTCGCTCCACATGCCACTGGCTGGCTGTGGCGTGCTCCCTGGCACTTCAGACTTCACACCTCGGCACACGCGGTGCCCTCTGGAGTGAGCGGTCACACACGCGGTCACACACACACATGCACAGGCACAGTCGGGCGTGTGCTTCTGCCCCCCCTCGAGCAACGGCTGACGGCCCAGCTGTTGCTCTGGCGAGGCTGCGTTCGAGACGGCCGCCGCCTGCTGCATGTATCTTTTGTGCAGACCTGGCCTGTTCGTCCAGTGAGTGTTGTTTGGAGAAGCCCCTTCGACCTGCGGAGCGTCCCCCACCTTCCTGGCCTCTCTGGGGACTGTGTGCACGAGCTCCTCTCTCCCCTGCGCAGGACACGCTCACGGAGATCTCAGAGTGGCTGGAGAACCACCCCCGGGAGGTCGTCATCCTGGCGTGCAGGAACTTCGAGGGCATGACGGAGGACCTGCATGAGTACCTGGTTGCCTGCATCCGGAACATCTTTGGGGACATGCTGTGTCCCCGAGGGGTGAGAAGGGCCCCTTTGGCAGGGCTGGTGGGGTGGGATGTGGATGGTAGACTTACCTGCTGCTTGGTTCTGGCGCATGAGTCTGACAGAATCCTGGTGCTGGGTGAGGCTGCTCGTGTGGTCCTCTTGATGCCCCGAATCCAGAGAGACCCCGGTCTTGCCATGCGAAGTGCAGCACATGCACCGCCCGGACAGAGGAGGGCTGCTTCTCTAGCACCTCGGGTCACACTTAGTTCCTCTTTAGAAGTAGCCACGGTGTTTCGACGCCCTGAGCATTCTCTGGGTGTGCCCCAGGGCCACTCTCACACAATCCACCATGGAGCAGCCTCAGAACTACAGAGATGTATTCTCTCCCAGTCCTAGAGGCTGGGAGTCTGAGATCCAGGGGTTGCTGAGGCTGGGAGTCTGAGATCCAGGGGTTGCTGAGGCTGGGAGTCTGAGATCCAGGTGGGGCTGGAGGCTGGGAGTCTGAGATCCAGGCATGGCCGAGGCTGGGAGTGTGAGATCCACGGGGTGCTGAGGCTGGGAGTGTGAGATCCAGGTGGGGCTGAGACTGGGACTGTGAGATCCAGGTGGGGCTGAGGCTGGGAGTCTGAGATCCAGGCGGGGCTGACGCTGGGAGTCTGAGATCCAGGAGGGGCTGACGCTGGGAGTCTGAGATCCAGGCAGGGCCGAGGCTGGGAGTCTGAGATCCAGGCAGGGCCGAGGCTGGGAGTCTGAGATCCAGGCAGGGCCGAGGCTGGGAGTCTGAGATCCAGGCGGGGCCGAGGCTGGGAGTGTGAGATCCAGGCGGGGCCGAGGCTGGGAGTGTGAGATCCAGGGGTTGCTGAGGCTGGGAGTCTGAGATCCAGGGGGTGCTGAGGCTGGGAGTCTGAGATCCAGGAGGGGCTGAGGCTGAGAGTCTGAGATCCAGGTGGGCTGGAGGCTGGGTTTGAGATCCAGGGGGTGCTGAGGCTGGGAGTCTGAGATCCAGGCAGGGCTGAGGCTGGGAGTCTGAGATCCAGCAGGTCCTGAGGCTGGGAGTCTGAGATCCAGGCAGGGCCGAGGCTGCGAGTCTGAGATCCAGGCAGGGCTGAGGCTGTGAGTCCGATCATGGTGGGGCGGAGGCGGGTTCTTCCTGAGGTAGACACTGTCTTCTCCCCGTGTCCTCACGTGATCGTCCCTCTGTGCGTGTCTGTGTCCTCATCCCCTCTTTTTATAAGGACCCCAGTCCTATGGGATCAGAGCCCACCCTGTGACCTCATTTTACCTACATTATCTCTTTAAAGACCCCACCTCCAAATAGTCATGTTATGGGGTATTAGGGTGAGGACTTCAATGTGTGATTTTCGAGGGGACACAGTTGAGCTCACAACACAACCTGTGCTTTATTATCTTCTTTTTTAAGATTTTATTTATTTATTTGAGAGAGAGGGAACACAAGCAGGGGAAGCAACAGTGGGAGAGGGAGAAGCAAACACCCCACCGAGCAGGGAGCCTGACCTGGAGCTCAATCCCAGGACCCCGGGATCATGACCTGAACTGTAGGCAGACGCTTCACCGACTGAGCCACCCAGCTGTCCTTGTGCTTTATTATCTAGATAATTTTTTCCATTTGCCAGTGGGGAAAGAGGCCTCCCTTAGTCTCCAGGAACCTGAAACGTCAACTCCATGTCCATTTTGGGTCCATTTTACATCACTTTGTTTGGCATTTGTCCAATTACGTCCTATAAGCCAGGAGAAAGCACTGTGGTCCCTCAGGGTTTGGGGCCAGAACATAGACCATGGGGCTGCTGTGAACCAGGGCGCCCAGGTGCTCGGGGATCCTGGGGTGATCGTGGCGGGAAAGGTTGCCCTGGGGAAACACCGCCATTCTGAGTCTCCCGTGGGGACGTCACAGGAGAGACAGAAGAGGGTGGGAGGTCGGATGTTCAGCCTCGGGGGACCAGAGCACCGGTCCTTTGACAGGGTGTTGTGTCGTAAAAGGTGACCTTCTGGGGCACCTGGGTGGCTCAGTCGGTTAAGTGTCTGCCTTCGGCTCAGGTCATGATCCCAGGGTCCTGGGATCGAGTCCTGCATCGGGCTCCCTGCTCCGCGGGGAGTCTGCTCCCTCTTTCTCTGCCCCTCCCACTGCTCATGCTCTCTCTCTTTCTCTCTCTCAAATAAATAAAAACCTTTAAAAAGGTGACCTTCCTTGTGCCCATCACTATCTGAATCGTCTCAGCGAGTCAGTGTGGGCTCAGGGTGCTGATAATAAAACTAGTACCCTGTTCCCCTAAGAACCCGGAGGTCACAGTGCAGTTCTGGATGCTGCCCTGCCCTCTGTCATGTTCCCTCTATAGACACCCCTATAATGCTACATCACTGTCTCTCTCAGACACCCCCATTCACCACCACCACTGGCTCTCAGACACCCTGATACTCCACCATCTGTGTCTCTCAGGGACCCTGATCCTCCACCATCACCGTCTCTCAGACACCCCGATCCTCCACCATCATTGTCTCTCTCAGAGACCCCATCCTTCACTACAACGGTCTCTCAGACACCCCGATCCTCCACCATCTGTGTCTCTCAGATATCCTGATCCTCCACCATCTCTGTCTCTCAAACACCGCATCCTCCACGACCACTGACTCTCAAACACCGCATCCTCCACGACCACTGACTCTCAGACACCTTGATCCTCCACCACCACTGTCTCTCTCAGACACCCCCATAGTCCTCTGTCAGTCACCGCCATCCCCCTCCCGCTCCAGGACTTGCCAACACTGAACCAGCTATGGTCACGCGGGCAGCAGGTCATTCTGTCCTACGAGGAGGAAAGCGTTGTGAGCCGGCATGGGGAGCTGTGGCCTGGGATCCCCTACTGGTGGGGGGACCAGGTGAAAGCCCAGGAGCTCATCCAGTACCTGGAGCGCATGAAGAGCTGCGGCCGCCCAGGTGAGCAAGGCCTGTCCATATGGGCAATGCCGTCCGGCAGCCAGGTCCCACGCATGCTGTGACTCACAGGTCTGCTTCTGGCTTTCAGGAAAGAGGTTTAGGAGTCGTCTCTCTTGTGTCTGTGTGCATAACATGTATAAACATGCACATGGGTGTGCACACACGTGTATGTGTGCCTATATGCACGTGGGTGTACAGAGGTGCACATGTATAAACATGGGTATGGGTGTGCAAGCACGTGTGTGCATGTGTGCACACGCATGTAGATAAGCGCACAGCATGTATAAATGGGGGTGTGCAAACATGTGTGCGCGTGTGCGCACACGCACGTAGATAAGCGCACAGCATGTATAAACGTGGGGGTGTGCACACCTCTGTATGTGTGCACATACGCCCACGTAGATAAGTGCGTACATGTAGAGTTGTATGCACTCATATCCACGTGACACCTATGTGTGGACCTACGTGTGCACACACGTGCTATCGATTCCGAGGTGCGTGTAGTAGAGTCCACACCCTGCCCCAGGCTCTGCTCTGCAGGGGTGATTGTGCCATCCTGCACAGGAGTGTGAGCTACACGTGTCGTGTGCAGCGGGCCATGCTCACACCCAGACGCGCTGTGCACGGTTTACTGCGGAAGAGCGGGAACGGAGTTGCTGGCGGCCACCGAATGTCTGTGCGCTGGCCCTTGCTGAGGGCACGTGCACGAGCTTGTTGACCGTCTGGCCGCCCTATGCAGTGGGGAGGTGGTTGCTTTTGTTCAGGAGTGAGGAGTGAGTAATGCCCACTACCCGGCGCTGCACGTTGTCCCTCTCTGCCTCCACCTCTGTCCGTCCATCTCTGCGACTGCGTCCCTGTCCCTCTGTCTTTCTCTGTCCAGGTTCACGTCTTACTTTGGGTGGGGCTTCCTTCGTACAATGGCTGCGTGGAATCCACCTCACAGAGGTGACAGGGCTTATCTGCGTGGACCCCTCCTGGGCTGCTGGCTTGGCACGCCGGCCGTGCCACCGGGCACTCATCCCATGCACACTCGGTCCACCATGCCCCATCGGGCGGCTGGCCCAAGGGCTTGCCTTGTCTCCAGCTCAGAGAGGCCCAGTGTGGGACTCACACGCTCCTGTGGACTCCTTCTCGTGGGAATGCTCACAGTGCCACGTGTTTGCATTGGGGCCCCGTGGTCTGAGGGCTTTGTGGTACTGCTCCTGGCAAACGCGCTGCAGATAACCCCCAGTTTCCTGCTGCGGCAGGGGCGTCTTGGCTTTGTGGCACCCACTGGCTTCAAGAAAGCGACCTTTTCTTGATTGTGGAGTCCATGGCCTTACTACTTCCTGTCCGTGGTCAAGGGTACGTGGCTGTGCCAGTGGGCACTTTGGGCCCCCTGGCCCTGTTGTTCTGTGTCGTGCTGTGCATCAGTAGCTGCTGATGCAGTCGGTCGTGTGTCCCACTCGGCTCGGCAGGTAGCGGTTCCCTGAGTCAACACCATCGACGACCAGGTTTGAAAGCGACAGAGCCGTCACTGCAGAGACTCGCGGAGGTAACGTGTGTGCCAAGCTTTGCCACGTGCTTCTGGCAGCCGGTTCCGTGTGCTTTTCCACGAAAGGCAGCTGGGCTTTCAGCCCAGACGCTGCACTGACCTCCGGCTTCTTTGTGGGTTCCGTGGTCCGTTGTTACAGAGCAGACTCCTGCGTGGGGCGCAGCTGTGATGCATGCTGTGGAGCATGTCCGTGAGCGGCACGGGGGTGCGATTGGTGGGGCGCAGTTCTAGCTCCAGACCTGGCTGAGCCTGGGCTCCCATTTTGTGGTAGACCCACAGTGTTTGAAAAGCGCTCCGGGTGGAAACGACCCGGCGTTCGTGGTTGATGCACAAATACACTGAAGGCCCATCCGCACAACAGAATATGGATTGTCCACGGAGAGGACACACGGTGCAGTGTGGATGGCCCGTGGACACGTGGTGCTTGGTGAGGGAAGCAGACACCATGGCCACATCGGGTGTGTGGGGGGCAGAAACCATGAGAGCTCATGGGGTTGGGGCCTCCTTTGGGGGGGGGATGAGAATGTTCTGGAGCCAGAGGTGGTGGTTGCCCAACCACGTGAATGTGCCACACGCTGCTGAATCATTCTGTTTCCAGCATGTGAATTTCACTTCCATGTTTAAGAAAAGTAGCCAGTGGGGGGCGGCGGGGTGGGGAGTGTCATGTGCAACTGCTGCTGAGAACCACAGTTGTCTTTTCCTCTGGGGATGGGAAGCTGAGCTGGAGGGGGGCCTCCCCACATAGATGTGAGTTCCCCTTGCTTGAGACTCTCCGTGGACCTCCCATGCTTCTGGCGCTCACGTGGCTCCGAGCACGTATGTGGCTCCATCTGCCCCTGTGGCTCCAGCACTCACGTGGCCCCAACTTTCACGTGGCTCCGAGGGCTCGCGTGGCTCCAAGGACTCACGTGGCTCCGAGGACTCACGTGGCGCTAGCACTCGTGTGGCTCTGGGCACTCACGTGGCTCCAGCACTCACGTGGCCCCAACTTTCACGTGGCTCCAAGGGCTCGCGTGGCTCCAAGGACTCGCGTGGCTCCGAGGACTCACGTGGCGCTAGCACTCGTGTGGCTCTGGGCACTCACGTGGCTCCAGCACTCACGTGGCTCCAAGGGCTCACGTGGCTCCAAGGACTCGCGTGGCTCCGAGGACTCACGTGGCCCTAGCACTCGTGTGGCTCTGGGCACTCACGTGGCTCCAGCACGCATGTGGCTCCATCTGCCCCTGTGGCTCCAGCACTCACGTGGCCCCAACTTTCACGTGGCTCCGAGGGCTCGCGTGGCTCCAAGGACTCACGTGGCTCCAAGGACTCACGTGGCGCTAGCACTCGTGTGTCTCTGGGCACTCACGTGGCTCCAGCACGCATGTGGCTCCATCTGCCCCTGTGGCTCCAGCACTCACGTGGCTCCAACTTTCACATGGCTCTGAGGGCTCGCGTGGCTCCGAGGGCTCGCGTGGCTCCGAAGACTCGCGTGCCTCCGAGGACTCACGTGGCGCTAGCACTCGTGTGGCTCTGGGCACTCACGTGGCTCCAGCACGCATGTGGCTCCATCTGCCCCTGTGGCTCCAGCACTCACGTGGCTCCAACTTTCACATGGCTCTGAGGGCTCGCATGGCTCCAAGGACTCGCGTGGCTCCAAGGACTCACGTGGCTCCAAGGACTCACGTGGCTCCGAGGACTCACGTGGCTCCGAGGACTCACGTGGCGCTAGCACTCGTGTGGCTCTGGGCACTCACGTGGCTCCAGCACGCATGTGGCCCCAACTTTCACGTGGCTCCGAGGGCTCACGTGGCTCTGAGGGCTCGCGTGGCTCCGAGGGCTCGCATGGCTCCGAAGACTCGCGTGGCTCCGAGGACTCACGTGGCGCTAGCACTCGTGTGGCTCTGGGCACTCACGTGGCTCCAGCACGCATGTGGCTCCAACTTTCACATGGTTCTGAGGGCTTGCATGGCTCCAAGGGCTCGCGTGGCTCCGAAGACTCGTGTGGTTCCGAGGACTCACGTGGCGCTAGCACTCGTGTGGCTCTGGGCACTCACGTGGCTCCAGCACGCATGTGGCTCCAACTTTCACATGGTTCTGAGGGCTTGCATGGCTCCAAGGGCTCGCGTGGCTCCGAAGACTCGTGTGGTTCCGAGGACTCACGTGGCGCTAGCACTCGTGTGGCTCTGGGCACTCACGTGGCTCCAGCACGCATGTGGCTCCATCTGCCCCTGTGGCTCCAGCACTCACGTGGCCCCAACTTTCACGTGGCTCCGAGGGCTCGCGTGGCTCCGAGGACTCACGTGGCGCTAGCACTCGTGTGGCTCTGGGCACTCACGTGGCTCCAGCACGCATGTGGCCCCAACTTTCACGTGGCTCCGAGGGCTCACGTGGCGCTAGCACTCGTGTGGCTCTGGGCACTCACGTGGCTCCAGCACGCATGTGGCCCCAACTTTCACGTGGCTCCGAGGGCTCACGTGGCTCCGAGGGCTCGCATGGCTCCAAGGGCTCGCGTGGCTCCGAAGACTCGCGTGGCTCCGAGGACTCACGTGGCGCTAGCACTCGTGTGGCTCTGGGCACTCACGTGGCTCCGGGCACTCATGTGGCTCCAAGCACTCATGTTGCTCAGATTCTCAGGGCTCTGCATGCTCACAAAGCTGCGTTCCCAAAGCCATGAGCATGGTGTCCTAAGGGAAGGGCATAAGGTCTGGCCCCGAGGCCACCTGAGGCCACCGGAGGAGCAAGTTGTTGGTGGTGTAGTATCTCGCTCTCTTGTGTTTCTGTGGTTGATGAGCTTGGACTCTGAGGGATAGGAGGGAGACTGCTTGCAGAAACTCCCAGCTTCTGTGACCGTTGCTGTTTTGTTGTGGGTCGGGTCAGCAAGCCAGTGCCGGCTGCTCAGAACGACGCCTGCCAGCTTCCTAACGCAGGCTGCCAGGCTCCTCCCCGAGATTCTGCATCAGCAGATCTGCGACGTGGCCAAGCCCTGCCTTTCCGAGCATTCTGGACGCCCCGCCAGAAATCCACTGGCTGACACGTGCTGTGCATCGGTCTCCACTTGCTGCTGTGACAAAAAGCACACACCCCACAGCCAGAAACAGCACACACGTATTTTCCTATGGATCGGAGGGTGGAAGTCCAAGATGGGTGTCGCGGAACTAACAGCACAGTGTCGGCAAGGCTGGTGCCTTCTGTAGGCTCCGGGGCAGAAGTGGGTTTCCTTCCATTCCCGGCTTCTGGAGGTGCCACGTCTTGTGGCCCCCATCTTTGTTCCTCCTGGTTCCATTGGCACACTGTATGTTCCTCTTCTGTGCTCAGATCTGCCTCCTGCCTCCCTCTTCTTATGGACCCGTGTGATGACAGAGGCCACGGGGGCACCAGCATCACTTCTACCTCAGCACCCTTAGCTTGGTCAATCCACAGAGTCACTGTTGCCATGTAGGGTTACATATTCATAACTTCCCAAGATCAGGACGTGGATATCTCTGCAGATGTTATTCCATCCACCACGTGGGGGTCGGGACGTGGACGTGTCTGGGGACGTGATTCCATCCACCACGTGGGGGTCGGGACGTGGACGTCTCTGGGGACGTGATTCCATCCACCACGTGGGGGTCGGGACGTGGACGTCTCTGGGGACGTGATTCCGCCCACTCTTGGGTGACAAGAGCACGGCACTGACATTGACACATATGTTCCCTCTGCCGTTGGAACTGTCATCTGCATGGAGACCTGAAACTCTGGGAATGAGAAGTGGGAGGAGAAGGGGGTGGGCTGGCGGAGCGTGAGGCGGGTTGTCCGCAGCACCGTGTACCTCTCTCTCCTTCCTGTTTCAGGCGGGCTGTTTGTGGCGGGTATCAACCTGACGGAGAACCTGGCGTATGTCCTCGGGCACCCGTCCCAGTCCCTCAGGAAGATGACCCTCCCGAACCTGCCGTGCCTGAGCACGTGGGTCCGGGAGCAGTGCCCTGGGCCAGGCGCACAGTGCACCAACATCATCGCGGGCGACTTCATCGGTGCAGACACGTTTGTGGGTGATGTCATAAGACTCAACGAGAAGCTGCTGAGATGCTCACGTGTCCCTTTTGCAGCTCACGTGGAGTGCGGGCGGGAAGAGTGGGTCTGGGGCGGGGTCCCTGCCTCCCCCTGACATCAGGGCAGCCCCGTTGGTGGCACCCGGCCTCACAGTTCTTCCGTGTTGCTGGGGAGGATCACAGAACACGCTGATGATCAACGGTGGTAGGTGCTTGCATCCTGAGAGGAAGAACGACCCGGAACCTGGGGTCTGCTCCTGTAGGTTCAGCCCCAGCTGTGCCGTGGTTGCATGGGTCGCCCCTTCCCCTGGGGCCTTGAGGGCAGCAGGAGGACGTCCTGATGGCTTCCTGGAGCCATGTGAAGCCCATCATATCGTGTCTGTTGGGTAGGAGTGGGTGCACCACACTGAGAAGACCACGAAAATGGGGAAAACCTCCTTCTAATTCTGACGGCGTCACGGCCCGTGTGTTTTCCCCGAGGACCGTGGGCCCTGTGGGGCTGGTTTCCCTTTGGCTTCTCTGATGGTAACATAAGGACCCTTAGGGGCTGTTTGATGGCGAGTGGTGTTGTACACATGCTCCCTTCCTCCTCCAGAGGCCTCGGGTAGCGCTCTCTTCAAGGAGGTGTGCGGACTCAGGTGTGACGGGCAGCTCCACGCCCACGCCGGGGGCTGCCGTGGCATCCTCGTCCTCCCACCCATCCCCTGGAGTGGCAAGTCTGTGCTCCTCCCATCCCCTTCCTCTGCTCGGCACGTGAGCCCCGCTGGGAGGCTGCCTTCAAGCATCTCCAAAATGAAGCCGATGGTCTGTGGTTTTGGCCGCCTGTCACTGGTCCCTTCTCCCAAGGCCACACTGGGCGTTTCTCACTTTTCCCATATCGCCATTCCACGGTTTCTTAGGGTCCGTCCGTCTGTATCTATTTGCCACCCATTTCTCACAGCACCAAAGACTTAACTGTATTTTCTTCTTTGCTGTGTCCTCATGCTCTGGCGTCTGGGGACCGGAACGGTGCGACCGCCCCTCTCAGGGCTAGCTGATGCCCACAGACAGAAACAACGTACTTGGGAGCACGCGTCTTCTGTGGAAATGCAGCGCCCCGTCCTCCAACGCTCACACGCCACAGTGACGTGGGTGCGCTCCGGAGCTCACGGGCTGGACCGGTTCTCGCGCTCCTCGGACACAGGGCGGGTTTGGTTCCAGCAAGATCGCAGTAAAGCGAGTCAAATGAGTTTTTTGGTTTCCCGTGCACATGAACGTTATGTTTACACTACCGTCAATTAAGCGTGCAATTGTATGACACCTAAAGTGTGTACGTGCCTTAATTAAAACATACGTTATTGCTTAAAAATGCTAACCATCTGAGTTGTCGGAGTCATAACGACTGGCCACAGATAACCACAACAAATAGACTCATAAGGAAAAGCTGGAACCGCAATTACCAGAATGGGATGCAGAGACTGGAAGCGAGCAGATACTGTGGGAAGAATGGCGCCCGCAGCCTTGGCCAACCTTCCATTTGTAAGACACACGGTGTCTGGGAAGCGCCGAGAGGCGAGCTGCGCCTGATTTCCCGCTACCCCAGTCTCCCGGGGCGGGGGCCTGTCACCCAGAGCCCGCCACCACTACTCACGCTGGACAACTGCCCCGAGTGCTCTCCCACCTTGCCTTTCCCGTGGAAACCCTCACGCCCCAAAAGGGGTTTTCCCCGTGGCCTCAGGGGGCACCCGCCTCTGTCTGGGGAGACGGGAATCATTAAATTCTTCTTTCGGTGGTTGGCCTCAGCCACCTCCATGAGTTAAAACCCCGGGGGTCCGGACGAGACGCGCCCCCATGGGCAGCCGGGCATCGTGCTAGAGGCCTTAGCTCTGCTTCCCGGTACTCAGGGTTCCAACTTCATGACCCCAAAGGTCAGAAGTCCCTCCTTTTGCACATGAGGGTTATGGAGCTGGTGGTTTCCAATTCTTGGCCAAAAGGTGAATCCCAATTACACTGTCGTATTTTTCTTCCCACCTTAACAGGGGATCCAGGAGTTTCTGTGTATCTCGTGTTCTGGAATATTCCTCCTACAATGGAACAGTCCTTAGACATTAGGTCTTAGGATATAGTCTTGAAAATGATGCTATAACACAAGGACCACCGTGTCTGTGTCTGTTCCACGAGTACCTTGTCTTTGTGTCAGGAACGGTCCACGTGATCGTTTAATCCCAGAGGACGATCGACAAAGTCGGACGTGTTTGTGCATTTTTGTTTCTGTCATTCAAGCGACCAAACCATCTGGGCAACGCATGGGAGGGTCTGTACAAGCGTGATGTTCACCGAGCACGTTCTGCAGGTCACGGAGAGCTTTGTTCAGAAATAGTGCTGGGCCACAGTTTATTGTTGCTTTGGAAATTAAAACAGTGGATGAGGGCGCCTGGGTGGCTCAGTCGTTAAGCGTCTGCCTTCGGCTCAGGTCATGATCCCAGGGTGCTGGGATCGAGCCCCACATCAGACTCCCTGCTCGGCGGGAAGCCTGCTTCTCCCTCTCCCACTCCCCCTGCTCTTGTTCCCTCTCTCACTGTGTCTCCCTGTGTCAAATAAAAAAAATAAATCTTAAAAAACAAACCAACAAAAGAACTGGATGAAAAATTTTTTTTAACATTTTATTTATTTGGGAGAAAGAGAGAGTGTGAGCACGAATGGGGGGCAGAGGCAGAGGGAGAAGCAGACTCCCCGCTAAGTGGGAAAACTGACGCAGGGCTCGATCCCAGGACCCCGAGATCACGACCTGAACTGAAGGCAGATGCTTCACCGATTGAGCCACCCAGGTGCCCCTGGATGCAACTTTTGAGTTCTGTGGTATTTTAAGTTCCTCAGTGCAGACATGAAGGAAAGATTACACACTTCATTTCATTTTTTTTGAAGATTTTACCTTTTTTTTTTTTAAAGATTTTATTTATTTATTTGACAGAGAGAGACACAGCGAGAGAGGGAACACAAGCAGGGGGAGTGGGAGAGGGAGAAGCAGGCTTCCCACCGAGCAGGGAGCCCGATGTGGGGCTCGATCCCAGGACTCCGGGATCATGACCCGAGCCGAAGGCAGACACTTAACGACTGAGCCACCCAGGCGCCCCTTTACCTTTTTTTTTTAATTAAAAAAATTTTTTTTTTAAGATTTTATTTTTGACAGAGGGAGAGAGTGAGCACAAGCAGGGGGAAGTGGGAGAGGGAGAAGCAGGCTTCCCGTGGAGCAGGGAGCCCGATGCGGGGCTCGATCCCAGGACCCTGGGACCATGACCTGACCCGAAGGCAGACGGTTAACCGACTGAGCCAGCCAGGCGCCCTGAAGATTTTACTTTCAAGTAAACTCTACACCCAAGGTGAGGCTCAAACCTACAACCCCGAGGTCCACCGACTGGACCAGCCAGGTGTCCCCCTGGCCCCGTGTAGTTAATTTTAAAGATGAGACTTGTATCCGAGGGGTGAGCTCTCTGAGGGATCTGCCTGGCAGACGACAACGCCGTGGCTGAAGGTGTGGACGGCCAGCCCTCAGAGGAGGCGGCGGTGTGGTTCAGCTCTTCACAGCGCCCGGCAGTGTGCGTGGTCGGCTGGGTGAACGACTATCTCGTGATGGCGGCTCTGGGTCAAGCCCATATTTGGTCCCATGTCAGATCTGGGGTGGGGGCACTGCGGGGGTCTGGGTGGGCTCCCTTCCTGCAGTGACTGCCGCCCTCCCAGCACGTGGCTTTGTTCTCAGGGCCCGGCTCCTCTGGGCACGGTGGGCCCCGCAGTTGGGAGGGGAGAAGCCCATCTGCAGACAGAGGGGTCTTGGGGAAGCCTGGGTGCTGGCAGGGGGAGCGGGGTGGGGGGCGGTCTTGTACCTGTTCCCCCTGATGGGAAGCTCGATACCCTCTCTGTGTGGCCCCTGAAACCTGTGGCCCTCCCTCCTAGGACCCAGAAGCCCCCTGACTCTCCCTCCCAGGCCCCCCGAGGCCCCCAGCCCTCTGTTGCAGGCCCCCTGGAACCCCCAGCCACCTCCTCAGCAAGACCCCACTGTGATAAGCATCCACAGCAGATGTCAGGACCCTGCAGTCTCCAGTCCTTGGGGTGGGGCCTTTGGGACGGGGTGGGGATACCAGGCGGCAGGGGGAAGGGGGGGTGCCAGGAGGAGAGTGAGGGACCAGAGGCCTGACCCATGCCCACCCCTTCCTTGTGTCTCCTGCACAGGGAGGAATTGGGGTGGAGCGGTCAGAGCCCGGAGAGGGGGTCTGGGGAGATGTATGTGCCCCTGGCGTAGGGACCGGGCAGAGCACGGCCGAGGGGGCTCAGGGCAGAGTGGAGCACACACCCAGGGGCATGTGGACTGGGCTGGGCCTCAGGGGTTGGGGCGGCCCATGCAGGATGCTTCCCTGCCCCCTGGGGTCTGTTTGGAGACCCCGTAGGAGTAAATCCCCCAGGGGCTGAGCTGAGTGAAGCAGAAAGCCTGGCGGGTCTCCTGGACTGATCAGCCTTGCCAGAGGCGGCAGGTGTCCTGACGCCAGCCACACCTGGGCCGTCCTGCAGCCCGCCCCGGCCACTGGGCCGACTGGGCCAGTGCCGCGGGACTTCACGCCTGCCCTGGCCACTGAGCCGGCCCGGACGGGGCTGGGGGACCTCACGCCCCCCGTCCACTGAGCCGGCCCGGACGGTGCTGCATGGGATCTCGCGCCCCCCCCGTCCACTGAGCCGGCCCGGATGGGGTTGGGGGACCTCGCGCCCCCCAGTCCACTGAGCCGGCCCGGACGGGGCTGGGGGACCTCGTGACCCCCAGTCCACTGAGCCGGCCCGGAAGGTGCTGCGTGGGATCTCGCGCTCCCCAGTCCACTGAGCCGGCCCAGACGGTGCTGGGGGACCTCGGGCACCCCCAGTCCACTGAGCTGGCCCGGATGGGGCTGGGGGGCCTCGCACCTCCAGTCCACTGAGCCGCTGAACTGGCCTGGACGGTGCTGGGGGACCTTGCGCCATCCGCGTCCACTGTGTGGGCCCGACAGTGCAGAGGACCTCGTATCAGCTCCACACTCAGCCCTCGGGGCCCCTGTGGGAGGAGGGGGTGAGGCCGTCCCAGCACACAGCCAGCTCGCGGGGCGATGTCGTCCAGTCCTGTCCACCGACACCCCAGGACCCTGCGCCTGAGTGTCCCAGGGCCGCTGGGACAGATGATCACATGTGGGGGCTTCAGAGCACAGGGATTTATTCTCGAAACGGTTCTGGAAGCCAGGGCGCTGACATGGGTCTGACTGGGCCAAGGTCAGGGGCTGGGTCCTTCTGGCGAGAACCCGGCTCCCGTGCTCCCTGCTTTCCTCGATCCCGGCTCCTCCTCATTCTTCCACACCAGCACTGCGGGGACCTCAGTTTCCCCAACTCAGCCTCTGCTCTGTCCTCACATCTCAGGACTCCAGTAAGGAGAAGGCTCTCCCGTCTTCAGGAAAGACACACCCCCCTGCATGCCCCAAGGCAGGCTACAGATTTTTTTTTTAATTTTTAATCCCTGAATGCTGAAATCTGGAATCACTCACAAAACACTGCTGTAAGGGTGAACACACTTCGAAGGGGGAAAACGAAGCGAAGCATTTCCCAGGGCGGCAACAGAGGCCTCTCACGTCAGCGTTCCCTCCAGAGAACGGGCAACGGCGCCACGCTCAGACGTGTACGAATGTCTCTAAAAGCGGAGGGACTGGCGTCCAGTTCTGCGCCGCAGGGTGCGTGTCCTGGGACCTGCGGTGAAGACAGCCCAGGTCCGTGACAGGCCGTGGGGAAGGCGAGGTCCCTCCTGTCTCTCCCTCGTCGGAGCCGGCTGCCTGTGAGCACGGAGCACCCCGGCTTTGTGCTGATTCAGTGACACACCGTGTTTTCTCCTCGAACCGTGCAGAGAGACTTCTGGGTGGCCGGGAGACTGTCCCAATTCCAGGACGCTCCGTGGGGAGCAGCTGTGAGTCTGTGACACACAGCAGATGGGGAAACCCCAACTGGCCCTCTCGCGGCCACCACGGGCAGGACCTCCGCAGGGCGGCCCACACACGGAAGCAGCAGGAAGACTGGTCTACAAACACGAGCAGAGCTTTGAATATCTTGTAGCCGAAACGCTGCGGGAGGGACGCCAGCTCTCACGAGGCATGCTCGATCCCCCGGGAACCAGAACCGCTCAGTCCGCCTGCAAGCTGAGCTTTGACTTCCAGCCACAGCAGGCAGCCACCAGCCCTTCCACCCTGAGCAGCCACGGAGGGGACGGCGGCCGCTTCAGTGGACGGCTGAACCCACACAGTGTCCACTCACTCGGGGAAGAGCTTCCTGAACTTGCCGTAGGCGGAGCTGCTGATGACGACCCTGACGTCAGCCACGCCGGCCTCGGGAATCACGTCCACCTCCTGCACCGTGGCCTCCCGATGCAGCCAGCTGAGGACGTGAGGAAGGGCAGCATTCTGTAAGGACATGTTCGCAGGAACTGCTTCCCCCAGGGAGCTCCGTCCCCGAGCCCGCACACGACCTTGTCGTCACTGCCCACGGCCCGGGAACGCCTGGCACGCAAACAGCCAGCCGGCGCCCGCACGTGGGGTGATTAATCCACATTCACGGCAACCCAGAAACAACGCAGCACGTCTGTGTGCTGGTGCCTTGCCCGTTCCTGCCTTTCCTGCACCTCCACACCCTGCTCGGCCACCGCAGGCCACGGCCCCCGCCGGGCCAGCCCCACACACCTCAGCTGCGTGCCCGCCAGCCGGACCCGGAGGGTGAGGACCTGTCTTCCCGTGGCTCTCAGAATGGCGTCTTCCAGCCGGGCTCTCAGCTCCGGGAGCCCGCGCCCCAGGAGAGCGGACACGGCGACAGCCTGTGGTCCCGCCGGGCTATACCTGTGGGGGGACAGCCAGCAGACCCTGCTCAGCCTCGGGAAGACGGAGCGAGGGTCCTCCAGGGGCCCCCGCCCAACGGGCCCCCACCGTGACCCCCTCCGTGTGTGTCAGGAGAGGACGCGGCCCCGTCGGACAGGAACACAGAGGAAACCATGATGAGGACGTAGTGAGATATGGGGTCTGTGCGGGCGGGGGGCTCAGAACACACCACCCCGAAATACGCTGCTTGGTGGCCTGCTGATTCTTGCGAGTTCCGGCCCTTCACAGCAGGCAGGTGGGGGAAGGGCGCGCTACCTCCCTTTTCTTCCTGAAAGCAGGGGAGGGCGCGCCACGGGAGGACGCGCCACGGGAAGCTGCCTCCAGCGCCTGCATGACAGCAGCCTGCTCTGTCATCAGCCACGTCGAGGTCCCCGTCACACAGGCCCATCACCGGTACTCGCCCGAAGCGAGGCTCCGGGGTCGTGGGGCACTGGGCGGGCGGGGGTCCACTCACCTGGGCACCAGGTCCACCTTGTTATGAACTTCCAGCACGGAGTCCAGGAGCGGGGCGGGCAGGTGTAGGCCGCGCAGAGTGGACAGAACGCTGGCTTTCTGCAGCTCCGTCTCAGGGTGGCTCACGTCTCTCACGTGGACGATCAGATCCTGAGGAACAGACCAGCCACGTGGTGGGGACAGGGATGGGACGGGACACTGGTCCTCGACCCCCCCCAGAGGAGGACGCGCCCAGATGGGGGCTCTGACGGGCACCGCGTGCCCAGGTGGGAGTGGGGCGGCGTCCTGTGTAGTCCGTAGTGCTGGTGAGGTGCGTGGGACCTGGGGGTGGGAGCTCCCTGAGACCAGAGCGGGCCCGTGGCTCACCCGGTGCCCCTTGCGCGGGGTCTCGCCCTGGCCAGGCCGCTCCCCTAACCCTAACCCAGGGCCTTGGGCGTCTCCCACATCTCAGACCCACACACACCTGCATGCTCACTGTGAAACTTTCAGAGTCTGAGTTACTTCGAATTTTAAAGAATCATTTTTGCCTGATTTTAAATGGTTTCCAGGTAGGGGTCTGATGCAGAACTGGGAAAACGCAGAACAGAAAAAGAGTAAGAACTGCCTGTGATTCTGACCCCGGAAACAGAGAGACCATTTACATTCCAGGATGTTCGCTTCCAGGTTTTAGATGCACTTAAAATTAAGAAAAAGATAAGCATTTTATTCCAGAAACATTTCAGTTTTGGGAAATGTGGACAGTGAGGCGGCGTGCTCTTCTGACTACGTTCCTGGTCTTTCTGGAGTCGCCCGGCTCTTCCTTTCCGTCCTGGGACACCATCCACAACACGGGTTACATTCGTCTGTCACCTCTCCTTGGCCCCTCTGAACCCGGAGCGTGCTGAGCACTGTGTGGGCATTTGTGGGACGCCCTTCAGTTGGGGTTTGTCTGGTTGTTTCCTCGTGTTGACACTAGGTTTGGGGTTTGGGTGGACGCCCCAAGAGAACGTGCCCTTGAATCACCTCACTCCAAAGCTGCACACGAACGCTGACCCGAGGGCCAAGGGGCAGCTGTCACAGGTCTCCCCGCAGAGCGGTTCTACCTCCTTCTGGAATTGGTCTTGGAAGAGGTCTCTAGGCAGGGCTTGCTTCAGGGAAGTTAGGGCGCCAGCTTCCTGAGGGGGTGCAATGGGAGACCCCAGGGTTGTGTCGTGTATGAGGAGACCTGGCCTCCGGGTTGTGTTGTGTATGAGGGTAACCCAGGCCACAGCGCTGTGTCATGTATGACGGCATCCGGCCCCCATGTTGTACTATATGTGAGGGGACCCGGTCCTCGGGCTGTATCGTGTGAGGGAACCTGGTTCCTGGGGTTACATTGTGAACGAGGGGATCCAGTCCTCGGGTTGTGTCGCGTGTGAGGGGGCCCGGGCCCGGGTTGTGTCGCGTGTGAGGGGGCCCGGGCCCGGGTGTGTCGCGTGTGAGGGGACCCGATCCCCAGGGCTGTGTCATGTGTGAGGGAGCCTGGTCCCCGTGTTGTATCAGCTATGAGAAGACCTGGTCCCCAGGGCTGTGTCATGAATGAGGGGACCCAGTCCCCAGCTTGTCTCCTGTGTGAGGGGATATGGTCCCCAGGGTTGTGTTGTGTCTCAGGGGAACCAGTCCCACGTTATTCGGGTGATTTCAGTAACTCAGCCCCTGGGATCATCGCACACTCACTGAATGAGCCAGGTCTTCCAGGGTAGCGGAGAAGGACTCAATCAGGCTGTGGGGCAGCTGGGAGAGGAAGCCGATGGTGTCCATGTAAATGACAGCCATGCGGGAGGGCAGCCACCCAGCATGGGCTGTGACGTCCAGGGTCGCAAACAGCTGATCCCGGGGCTGGACAGCATCGTCGTCTGTCAGGGCCTTAATCAGCGTGGTTTTTCCTGGAAGGCGGGTCACAGGGGACACAGTGCATGAAAGGCCCCCTCACACGTGCCCCACCGTCTACTGCGGCACCTCGGGCGGCCCCATGTCCAAGCCACAGGTCTCGCAGAGGGGGTGGCCAAGGTTTGTGAGATCTCTGAGTGCCTAGATCTCCGCAGAACCCTTAGAATGCCTTGTGTGGGCAACAGGAGGATGCTGCTATCCCTCTCATGCATGCGAGTCAGGAGGGCCCGGGCCTGGGGTATGAGTGCCTACTCACAGGAGAGGGACGGTGTAGACTGGGTGGTGATGTGTATGAAAGCGAGGGGGGTGGGATGGGCACCTTTGCAGATGAGGTAATGGTGTACACAGGGTGGTGGTTATTTGTACGTGTGAGTGACATGGCATTGGCATTCACGAAAATGAGGCAAGTGCTTTGTTTGCCTAAGATACAATGGGTATCTGCATAGAGAAGAGTGATGGTGTAGACGGGGTGATGGTGGAGTAGGAATATGTGTGCTCTGTGTATGAGGGGGACTGGGTGTGTGTGTAGACGGGAGTGATGGTGGAGTGGGGGTGTGTGTGCTGTGTGAGGGGGGCTGGGCGTCTGTGTAGACGGGGTGATGGTGGAGTGGGGGCGTCTGTGTAGATGGGGATGATGGTGGAGTGGGGGTGTGTGTGCTGTGTGAGGGGGGCTGGGCGTCTGTGTAGACGGGGTGATGGTGGAGTGGGGGCGTCTGTGTAGATGGGGATGATGGTGGAGTGGGGGTGTGTGTGCTGTGTGAGGGGGGCTGGGCGTCTGTGTAGACGGGGTGATGGTGGAGTGGGGGCGTCTGTGTAGACGGGGTGATGGGGGAGTGGGGCGTCTGTGTAGACGGGAGTGATGGTGGAGTGGGGGCGTCTGTGTAGATGGGGATGATGGTGGAGTGGGGGTGTGTGTGCTGTGTGAGGGGGGCTGGGCGTCTGTGTAGACGGGGTGATGGTGGAGTGGGGGCGTCTGTGTAGACGGGGTGATGGGGGAGTGGGGCGTCTGTGTAGACGGGAGTGATGGTGGAGTGGGGGCGTCTGTGTAGATGGGGATGATGGTGGAGTGGGGGTGTGTGTGCTGTGTGAGGGGGGCTGGACGTCTGTGTAGACGGGGTGATGGTAGAGTGGGGGCGTCTGTGTAGATGGAAGTGATGGTGGAGTGGGGGTGCGTGTGCTGTGAGGGGGGCTGGGTGTCTGTGTAGACGGGGTGATGGTGGAGCTGGGCGTCTGCGTAGATGGGGTGATGGGGGCGTGGGGGTGCGTGTGCTGTGAGGGGGGCTGGGCGTCTGTGTAGACGGGGTGATGGGGGCGTGGGGGTGCGTGTGCTGTGAGGGGGGCTGGGTGTCTGTGTAGACGGGGTGATGGTGGAGCTGGGCGTCTGTGTAGACGGGGTGATGGGGGCGTGGGGGTGCGTGTGCTGTGTGGGGGGGGCTGGGCGTCTGCATAGACGGGGTGATGGGGCGTGGGGGTGCGTGTGCTGTAGGAGGCTTGAGCGCCTGTGTAGACGGGTGATGGCGGACGGGAGTGTGACGGTGCAGGCAGTCCTAGAGTGTCTGTTCCCAAGCTCCGTGTTCAGTGGGGAAGGAACCCAGGCCTGGGCTAGCATGGGGGGTTACTGGCGGCCCCCAGAGTCGCCTGCTCCGAATGTCAGTCAGGAGAGGATTATGCTGCCGGGGGAGGCCTGGCACCTCCGGACACACCGGTGCCAGGACACGGCCTCCTTCGGTTCTCGTCCGTGCAGGCTGAGCCGCGGGGATCCCGCTAGCCCCGGGCGTAGCCCCCGTCCGCCACGGACAAGGAACCCCCGTAGGCACCGCCCGACAGGCCACGCGGTATTCTGCATTTCCCACCAGGTGTGAACTGCGTGTACGCAGACGGGATTCTCTAAAACCTAGGTGTGCCCCCAGCTTTCCGGTCCAGGTTTTCTGGGCCGCTCCCCCCTGCTCCGGACACGGACCGCCAGCTCCTCGAGGACAGGGAGCGGTCGCATCACGTTGGTGTTCGGAGCACACGCAGGGGGACTGCAGCTCACGGCGGCCCGTGCTGTGGAGTGAATCTCGATGGTGAAGAAGCGAGCCTGCCGCGCCTTCCCTTCACGGGAGGGTACCTGTGAGCTCAGGGCTTCCGCACGAAGGACACCCAGGAGTCTGCACGCCGCACACGATCACGCTAACCGCACGTTAAGCTGAACCTTGGAATGCGCCGTGAAGTCTTACCGGGCACAATCGGAATTGTTTTTTACTCTTCTACGGGCAGGTCTACCGTAAACGGGCTTAGAAACGTCAGACTGTTTTCTGTCTCGGAGTCTGAAGAGCACCGGCAAGAGATGGAGCCCAGTCCCCCGCCCAGCGCTTGACAACCACGCTAGGGACTTGACAGGGCACTGGCCGTGGTCACTGTGACAGCCCGGGGATACCAGCCACGCTCTCCACCTGCTCTCGTCATCTGTCCGCCCTCTGAGTACCACGGTCTTGTTGCTTTTGCAAGCGGTCCTCCCCAAATACACTAGCGCAACGCTGGGATATTGGGGGGGACGGGACAGTGGACCCTACTTCTCGCGCCCGGAAGTGCTCTCACCGCAGTTTGTGTATCCCACCACAGAGATCACAGGAAACTCCTGCCGCCTCCGCTGCTTCCCCAGGAGACGCCTTTTCTTCCTCAGTCTCTCCAGGGCCTTCCGGATCTTTATCTCCTTTTCCTTCAAGAGGCGCTGTTGCAGCTGCATGAACGATTCTCCTAAAAACACCCAAGGTAGCGAGTCAGCGGGCAGATGCGGCAGGAAAGATGTCAGGGCGAAGTGCGCCACAGAGAGGGATGTGGACTGACATCTTCTCGCCGGGATCCTCCTGACCTGTTCTCCCACAGGCCGCTGCCTCGCCTTCCTATCAACAAGACGGCTCTGTCCAGCAGAAAGTGGCCTCACCTGCGGCCTTCTGCCCCCCGAGGTCAGGTGGGCTCCCCTTTTTTTGGGAGCAAGGGGCAGCCTCAGAAGGACAGCCACCTGATATCCACAGCCAACTGAAAGACACATCCACATCCTGACCCCCAGGACCTATGAACGGGACCTCATTTTGGAATAGGGTCTTGGCACATATAAGTGGTCAAGGATCTGAGGTGAGCTTATCCTAGATGAGGGTGGCCCTAAATCCAAAGACAAACGTCTGTAGAACAGACAGGAGACACAGAGGAGAAGCCACGTGAAGACAGAGGCAGAGATGGGAGGGACCACGGCCACAAGCCCAGGGACGTCTGGAGCCCCAGAAGCTGGACGAGGCAGAAAGGACCTTGAGCCTCCGGAGGGAGCATGGCCCTGCCCCGCCTGGATCTCAGACTCCGGTCTCCACAGTGGTTTTTAAACCCCTGGTTTGTGGTCTTTTGTTACAGCTGCCCCAGGAGACTACCTAGATATCTTAGTTTGTTTGAATGTGACCACATACAAGGCCCACATGCAGCCCTTGCCCCGCTGGGATCTTTCCGCAACGTCCTCCCCCTAGGGGTAGCTGCTGTGACATCCCCCCCCCCAGCACCCCTTGACCTCACACGTTACCTGACCCCATGATGTAGCGCGAGCCCCCTCCTCGTCCATCCGGGTGGGCAATGCTGCTTTTCAGCTGGGACCTGCCGTGGAAAGGGGGCATCTCAGCAGACAGGAGCAGACACACATGTCCAGGCAGTGAGAGCAGAGCAGGTGCCAACACAGACAAGTGAGGGTGAGAACTCTGGCTGGAGAGAGCAAGGCGGGGTGGTCTTCCCCCCACCTGGGTCCTCATCACCGCGGGTGGAGGGCCCCACAGTGGGGTGACGTGCCCTGGCAGGCATGCTGCTGGGACGTGGCACCGGACAAGCCAAGCTGTCCCGGAGGGCGTGGCCCGCCCTGCATTCTGCCTTCACCACGCTCCAGGTGATGGTGAAGTCAAACACACAACTGCGAGAAGAGGCTCTGCTGTCGGCTGCGCCCAAGTACCTGAGAAGGGGGAGCTCGGCCAGGGCCACCTGCAGCCGCGCTTCCCTGGTCCGGGCATTGCAGCGGAAAATGTGGAGGACGACCGTGAATCGGTCCAATACCTGCACACCCCAGGCGGCTTCCAGGTCCTTCTGAAAAGGGAGAGAGAGGGAGTGAAAGCGTCTGCCGTGGGACCTTGGGTGAGGGGGCGGCTGTGACGCCGTCTGCAGTTCCATACCCTCAGCTGTCCCGTCCCAGCGGGATGCTGACCCCACTGCCCCAGCCCACTGAGACTCCCAAATACCTTGGTAGGCGTGGCCAGCCTCTCCACATTCAGAAAGACCGCTGTGATGTCTGGCGACCCTCTGATTTTCTCTGGGGCGAAGAGAAGGTCCCCTCAGATATCTGTGCTCCGTGGAGTCCATCGTGGGACTGACCCTCAGCTTTGGTTGGCTGTGCTCACCGGACACCCTCAACTCTCTGTGCGCGTATTAGGGAAGTCGGGTGTGCCGGACGGGGGTCGAGGGGAGGACTGGAGTCCACCTGCAGGAGTGTGGGTCTTGCAGACACATGGCGGTCGCACAACCCCACAGGGACTGAATGGGTCTAAGACCCGGGCTGACATAGACGGGCGGCGCGCACCCCTCTGGGCGTATCTGCAGGGCTCAGCTTGCTGATCTCTACGGTGAGCTGGATGTCGGTTGGGGCTGGAGACCCTCGGGGGTCTGTGGAAGGCCGGGTTCACACCCAGCGCCCTATCTGGAGCGGGGGCTGGGCTGGGGGCCTCAGGGCCGGTTTCCACCCTACTCCTAACTGCCGACGGCACCACCGGGCAGGGTGCGAGTTGTCTGAGGGGCGCGGTGGGCTTTTCAATGTCTGATCCAAGTTCCCATGAGGCCGCCTCTACCCAGCCCAGATGGAGAGCCCGACTCTTGCTCCGTTCCTCTCAGGAGGAAGGGAGGGGCACAGGGACCCACCTGTCAGGTTCTCTAAGGTCCCTCTGCCGAAGATGAGCTTCCCATCTGGTGTTTTGCTGGGTACCACCATCCTGTCCGCCACCGACCAGCCACCCAGTGTGTGGACCAGTGCTTCTGCCTCTGCCACCTGCCACTCAGCTTTGGGGAGACACAGGGCCAGGGTGAGGGACGTGTCCCCATGGGCTCAGCCCCGGGCCCCGTCCAGCCCTGGCCCGTGTCCCTCGGCTGGGATGGCTTCCTGCAGTGTGCGCAGAGCTCTGAGAAAGCACCCAGAGACACAGCTGTGCGGTTCCAGGCACAGACTGCGGGAAGGGGAGGACAAGGCCAGGGGCACGCGACGACGGGCCCTCCTTACGTGGGAACTGGGGGCTTGGCAGCGAACGGGACGTCTGCTCTGGAACGCCACCAGGACAACGTATGATGGGCAGCCCCTGCTCAAGGCCCCAGCCCCCCACGCCCTCAGCTCCTGTGACGAGCCCCTCCTCGGGACCCCGCCCACCGTCTGGCATGCTCCTGGAACCTTCCCCAGGCCCCCTCCTGCACAGGGCCAGCACCCAGGCCCCACGCGTCATCCTGTCTGTCCAGGGCGGCCGCGATCTTTCCTGTGCTGCGTTGGCACCGGGCTCTGGGGATACCCACTCCTTGCCCCCGGTGGCTCACGGCCCACCCTGCAGGGAATGCGGCGTGCTCCCTGGGCCCTCAGGGGCTGCCACGCAAGATGTGCTGTCTGCTGGGTCATGACAGACCATGGGGGCCACTCGGAGACACTGCGCTCTCCCGACTGCCCCACAAGGCTGCCCCCCACCCCTGCGGCACGATGTCAGAGAGGAGCCGTCCCAACTGCACAGCGCACCCCCTGCTGCATTATCCCCACTCCAGCGACCAGGTGCTGCGGTCTTTGGGCCAGCCTTGCTGACCAGTGGCAAACCTTAGGTGCCTGAATCGTCCGCAGAGCTCAGGCACAGGGAGGAAACTGAGGCTGGGAGGGGATGCTAATGATAAGGCTCATAGGGATCCGAAGCCTTGGGGAGAGGCCCCAAGCTCTGCTTGGTGGGGGACGGGGTGCCCCATCCTCTGGGCTGAGAGGAGGCACAGTGTCCTCACTTTGACTCCTGATGGGCCTCGTGGGTCCTCCTCACCTCCACCCTTGCGGTCGCTCAGATCAGGTGCATGGGGCCACCCCTCGACTTCCCTCCTTCAACGTCACGCGTAGGCCATCAGCAAACCCCACAGACGCTGTCTTTCCTGACCTCCATGTGGGGGCCACGTCCCCCAGCTCCATCGTGGATCAGCGTGAGGCTTCCCACAACACCCTGCTGGGGTCATGAGCCTTCCCCACGAGCTGAGGGTGTGGTCAAAATGCCACGTGGAAGCCCCCACCCCTAGGGCTGGGTACCCACTTGGTGGGAGTGAACACTGAGAAACACTGAGGAGTCCACAGTTCAGAGACACAGGCTCACGACTGGGACTATGGAACGCGTCCCCTGCCCACCTCACCACCACAGCACCAAAGGCCCCTGGACGGCAGCATCTTTTGCCCGGTGCCTTATGCCCAGCCGTTAGGCAGAAATTACAGGACCCAGAGCAGCATCAGAACCTGAGTCCAATACAGAGGGGACACTGGATTTGTCAGGCCAGGAATTGAATACGACTATAGGACCCCTGGGGGGCTCAGTCGGTGATGTCATGATCCCGGGGTCCTGGGATCGAATCCCATGTCGGGCTCCCTGCTCTGTGGGAAGTCTGCTTCTCCCTCTTCCTCTGCCCCTCCCCCTGCTTGTGCATGTGCTCTCTAAAATAAATAAGTCTTTAAAAAAACACAAACGACTATGATTCACACGATATGGGCTCTGACGGATAAAGTAGGAAGCACGCAAGAACAGATGGGCAGTGTAAGCAGACAGATGGGAACTCTAAGAAAGAACGGAACACAAACGTTAGCGGTCAGAAACACTCTAATCGAAGTGAAAAAGTCCTCTGATGGGCTTCTGAGTGGGCTGGGCAAGGTTGAGGCACAGGTCCGTCAGCATGCAGACAGGACGAGAGTGACAATCACAAACGTCTGCCGTGGTAACGACGTTGTCGAGAGAGCAAAGAATCAGGCCACCGACTTGGGAGTGAAGCATTTGTAAGACAGCAGAGAAAGGACTGTTATCCACAGCGTGCCAGGAACGCTTGAGGCTCAGCGATAAGAGAAGAACTTGATGACACAATGGTCTGGAGACCCAACACACGCCTCACGGAACACACGGGGACGGCAAAGGCTAGGAAGAGATGCTCCGCGTCAGCGCTCGTCGGGGAAATACGTGCAGATTTCAACGAGAGCCGGGTAGGCACCGATGAGACTGGCCCCAAATGCACCCCGTGGACGGCACCTAATGCTGGCGAGGGTACGGAGCAACGACCAAGATCTGCTCGTGGTTGCTGATGGGAATGCAAAACGGTGCAGCCCCTCGGAGAGCAGTCGGGTGGTATCTACCTATCGTCTACCTACCCAGTTGACAGAGACAGAGAGCGAGCGAGGCGAGCACGAACAGGAGGAGCACAGGGAGAAGCAGGCTCCCTCCCGACTGCACAGGGACCCCGACGCGGTCCCCGGGACCATGACCTGAGCCGAAGGCAGACGCTTCACCGACGGAGCCACCAGGCGCCCCAGACAACAGGTTATTGTCGGCCGACACAAGCGCGCTGTCAAGCCACACAAAGCCACGCAGGAACCCGACATGCACTTTACTGGGTGAAAGGAGCCGGTCTGCAGAGGCCGCACAGTGCACGAGTCTATGACATTCCGGAAAAGGCAAGACGGCGCACGCCGTAGACACAGGGGGGTGGGGCTGCTTCCAGCGACCCACGGCAGGTTTGGGGGATTGGCGGGGTGGGGTTTTATTGGGGCCCTCGGCGCCCCGCCCCTCCGAGCCCTCGCCCTGAGTCCCTGTCCCCGAAACCCCGCCCCCGGTAGCCCCGCCCCGAGCACCTGTCCCCGAAACCCCGCCCCCGGTAGCCCCGCCCCGAGCACGTCCCCGAAACCCCGCCCCCGGTAGCCCCGCCCCTCCGGGTCTCCGCCCCTGAGTCCCCGAAACCCCGCCCCTCCGAGTCTCCACCCCCAATAGTCCCGCATGAGTCCCCGAAACCCCGCCCCCTGCAGCCCCGCCCCTCTGAGTCTCCACCCCGACAGCCTCTCTGAGTCTCCACCCCCGACAACCCCTCCTGAGTCCTCGCCCTGAGCACCAGGACTCGAAGCCCCGCCCCAGCGCTCCACTCAGAACTCCAGCCTCGGAGTCCCGGCCCTCCTAGTCCCCGCCCCCGAGCACCGACTCGAGGCCACGCCCCCCCGAGTCTCCGTCCCCCAACAACTCCGCCCCTCTGAGTCCCCGCCCCGAGCACCAGCACTCGAAGCCCCGCCTCTGAGCGGCAGCCCTCGGAGCCCCGCCCCTCCGAGTCCCCGCCCCCCGCCTCTGAGCACCTGCACTCTAAACCACGCCCTTCCGAGTCTCCGCCCCCGGAAGCCCCGCCATTCACTGTCCCCGGCCCCGCCCGCGGCGCCGCTCCGGGTCACCTCGGGTCAGCTGCGGCTTCCCCGGTCCCCGCTTGACCTCAGGGTGAATCAGGCACACGCGCTGGGTCCCCACTGGCAGCAAAGGGTCCCTCCTCAATAGCTCCTCCTCCTCCGCTTCCTCCTCCTCCGCATCTTCTGGCTCCTCCTCCTCTCCCGCTCGGCTTCTCGGGCCATCAGCCCGTGGGCCCCGTCCTCCACCTCCTCGCCCCTTGAGGCCCCCGGGGCCGAAGGCGGCGAGCGCGCGATGGAGGCAGGCCGGCAGCGGCAGCGCAGCTCTCGGAGCCCCGCGGCCGAGAACCACGCGAGAGAGCCAGGTCCCCGGGCGGACGGCGGCCCGTAGGGCCCACATCCCGCGTTCGCCCGCACGCAATGGGGCGGGGCTTCGGGGGCGTGCTCCCGCGCGGGCTCCCCATTGGCCGCCGGGCGTCACGTGCCCGCCGGGGTCTGATTGGCGCGCGCGGTCGCGGGCGGGCGGGGCTTGGGACGCCGCCGCCCGGGACGAGCTTCACTTCCGCGGGGCCTGCTCTCGGCGGAAGCCCGCGCCAGGTAGTTCGGCCGGCGGGACTGGGCGGCCGGCATCGGACCCGGGGAGGGCGCTTCCCCACACGCGTCCCTCTCCGGCCTCCGCGCGGGACGGGGGTCTGGTCCTGGGAGTCCATTCACTTACCCGGGGGTCCCGAATGCAGCCTTGAGGGTCCGACTGCTGCCCCGGGGGTCCCGCATCTTGCCTTGGGGGTCCGAGGGCTGCCCCGGGGGTCCCGCATCCCGCCTTGGGGGTCCGAGGGCTGCCCCGGGGGTCCCACATCCCGCCTTGGGGTCCGAGGGCTGCCCCGGGGGTCCCACATCCCGCCTTGGGGGTCCGAGGGCTGCCCCGGGGGTCCCACATCCCGCCTTGGGGTCCGAGGGCTGCCCCGGGGCTCCCACATCCCGCCTTGGGGTCCGAGGGCTGCCCCGGGGGTCCCGCATCCCGCCTTGGGGGTCCGAGGGCTGCCCCGGGGGTCCCGCATCCCGCCTTGGGGGTCCGAGGGCTGCCCCGGGGGTCCCGCATCCCGCCTTGGGGGTCCGAGGCCTGCCCCGGGGGTCCCGCATCCCGCCTTGGGGGTCCGAGGGCTGCTCCGGGGGTCCCGCATCCCGCCTTGGGGGTCCGAGGGCTGCCCCGGGGGTCCCGCATCCCGCCTTGGGGGTCCGAGGCCTGCCCCGGGGGTCCCGCATCCCGCCTTGGGGGTCCGAGGGCTGCTCCGGGGGTCCCGCATCCCGCCGTGGGGTCCGAGGGCTGCCCCGGGGGTCCCGCATCCCGCCTTGGGGGTCCGAGGCCTGCCCCGGGGGTCCCGCATCCCGCCTTGGGGGTCCGAGGGCTGCTCCGGGGGTCCCGCATCCCGCCTTGGGGGTCCGAGGGCTGCTCCGGGGGTCCCGCATCCTGTCGTGGGGGCCCGAGGGCTGCTCCGGGGGTCCCACATCTTGCTTTGGGGGTCCGAGGGCTGCCCCGGGGGTCCCACATCCTGCTTTGGGGTCCGAGGGCTGCCCCGGGGGTCCCACATCTTGCTTTGGGGGTCCGAGGGCTGCCCCGGGGGTCCCACATCCCGCCTTGGGGGTCCGAGGGCTGCCCCGGGGGTCCCACATCCCGCCTTGGGGTCCGAGGGCTGCCCCGGGGGTCCCGCATCCCGCCTTGGGGTCCGAGGGCTGCCCCGGGGGTCCCACATCTTGCTTTGGGGGTCCGAGGGCTGCCCCGGGGGTCCCGCATCCCGCCTTGGGGGTCCGAGGCCTGCCCCGGGGGTCCCGCATCCCGCCTTGGGGGTCCGAGGGCTGCTCCGGGGGTCCCGCATCCCGCCTTGGGGGTCCGAGGGCTGCCCCGGGGGTCCCGCATCCCGCCTTGGGGGTCCGAGGCCTGCCCCGGGGGTCCCGCATCCCGCCTTGGGGGTCCGAGGGCTGCTCCGGGGGTCCCGCATCCCGCCGTGGGGTCCGAGGGCTGCCCCGGGGGTCCCGCATCCCGCCTTGGGGGTCCGAGGCCTGCCCCGGGGGTCCCGCATCCCGCCTTGGGGGTCCGAGGGCTGCTCCGGGGGTCCCGCATCCCGCCTTGGGGGTCCGAGGGCTGCTCCGGGGGTCCCGCATCCTGTCGTGGGGGCCCGAGGGCTGCTCCGGGGGTCCCACATCTTGCTTTGGGGGTCCGAGGGCTGCCCCGGGGGTCCCACATCCTGCTTTGGGGTCCGAGGGCTGCCCCGGGGGTCCCACATCTTGCTTTGGGGGTCCGAGGGCTGCCCCGGGGGTCCCACATCCCGCCTTGGGGGTCCGAGGGCTGCCCCGGGGGTCCCACATCCCGCCTTGGGGTCCGAGGGCTGCCCCGGGGGTCCCGCATCCCGCCTTGGGGTCCGAGGGCTGCCCCGGGGGTCCCACATCTTGCTTTGGGGGTCCGAGGGCTGCCCCGGGGGTCCCGCATCCCGCCTTGGGGGTCCGAGGGCTGCCCCGGGGGTCCCGCATCCCGCCTTGGGGGTCCGAGGGCTGCCCCGGGGGTCCCGCATCCCGCCTTGGGGGTCCGAGGGCTGCCCCGGGGGTCCCGCATCCCGCCTTGGGGGTCCGAGGGCTGCTCCGGGGGTCCCGCATCCCGCCTTGGGGGTCCGAGGGCTGCCCCGGGGGTCCCGCATCCCGCCTTGGGGGTCCGAGGGCTGCCCCGGGGTCCCGCATCCCGTCGTGGGGGCCCGAGGGCTGCCCCGGGGGTCCCACATCTTGCCTTGGGGATCCGAGGGCTGCTCCGGGGGTCCCACATCTTGCTTTGGGGTTCGAGGGCTGCCCCGGGGGTCCCACATCCTGCTTTGGGGTTCGAGGGCTGCCCCGGGGGTCCCACATCTTGCTTTGGGGGTCCGAGGGCTGCCCCGGGGTTCCCGCATCCCGCCTTGGGGTCCGAGGGCTGCCCCGGGGGTCCCACATCTTGCTTTGGGGGTCCGAGGGCTGCCCCGGGGGTCCCGCATCCCGCCTTGGGGGTCCGAGGGTTGCCCCGGGGGTCCCGCATCCCGCCTTGGGGGTCCGAGGGCTGCCCCGGGGGTCCCGCATCCCGCCTTGGGGGTCCCAGGGCTGCCCCGGGGGTCCCGCATCCCGCCTTGGGGGTCCGAGGGCTGCCCCGGGGGTCCCGCATCCCGCCTTGGGGGTCCGAGGGCTGCCCCGGGGGTCCCGCATCCCGCCTTGGGGGTCCGAGGGCTGCCCCGGGGGTCCCGCATCCCGCCTTGGGGGTCCGAGGGCTGCCCCGGGGTCCCGCATCCCGTCGTGGGGGCCCGAGGGCTGCCCCGGGGGTCCCACATCTTGCCTTGGGGATCCGAGGGCTGCTCCGGGGGTCCCACATCTTGCTTTGGGGGTCCGAGGGCTGCCCCGGGGGTCCCACATCCTGCTTTGGGGTCCGAGGGCTGCCCCGGGGGTCCCACATCTTGCTTTGGGGGTCCGAGGGCTGCCCCGGGGGTCCCACATCCTGCTTTGGGGTCCGAGGGCTGCCCCGGGGGTCCCACATCCCGCTTTGGGGTCCGAGGGCTGCCCCGGGGGTCCCACATCCCGCCTTGGGGGTCCGAGGGCTGCCCCGGGGGTCCCGCATCCCGCCTTGGGGTCCGAGGGCTGCCCCGGGGGTCCCGCATCCCGCCTTGGGGTCCGAGGGCTGCCCCGGGGGTCCCGCATCCCGCCTTGGGGGTCCGAGGCCTGCCCCGGGGGTCCCGCATCCCGCCTTGGGGGTCCGAGGGCTGCCCCGGGGGTCCCACATCCCGCCTTGGGGTCCGAGGGCTGCCCCGGGGGTCCCGCATCCCGCCTTGGGGGTCCGAGGGCTGCCCCGGGGGTCCCGCATCCCGCCTTGGGGGTCCGAGGGCTGCTCCGGGGGTCCCACATCCCGCCTTGGGGGTCCGAGGGCTGCCCCGGGGGTCCCACATCCCGCCTTGGGGTCCGAGGGCAGCCCCAGGAGTCCCGAACCCTGCCTTGGGGGTCCAAGTGCTGCCCCAGGGGTCCCACATCCTACCTTGGGAGTCCGAGCCCATCCCAGGGATCCTGAACTCTGCCTTGCAGGTCCAAATGCCCCCCGGGATCCCATATACTGCTTTGGGGGTGTGAGTGCGGTCCTGGGGATCCCAGACACTTCCTTGGGGGCATCTGAGCTGTTCCACGGGGGTCCTGAACTCTGCCGTAGGATCTGGAGCCCGGCCGGGGAGTGGGGGCTCCAGAGCACTGCTTGGAGGTTCTGAATTTAGCCTGGGGGGTCGTGAAGTCTGTGTCAGTAGTCCAAATGTGGCATGGGGGTTTCAGGCACCAGGGGTTCAGGCCCTGGGGTTAGAACCAGCCGTGGGGCCCCAAACTGCCTTGGAGATTCTGGTCCGGTCCCAGGGGTTCCAAAGTGTGCGTTGTTAGCCTGGAGTGTGGCTCCAGACTCTGCCTTGTGGGGGAGGGGGGCAAGTGGGGCACCAGGGGTTCTGTACTCTGCTGAGGGAGTCCTGTCCCATCCCCGGGGGTCTGGAACCCTGCCTTGGGGGTCCTAGCCAGTCCTTAGGAGTCTAAAAGTTTGCCTGGCATGTCTGAGTCCATCAGTACTTCAGGCTTAGGGTTTAGCCGCATGGGTTCCCCAGTCTGCCTTGGGCATGGGATGCTGACTTGGGGCATCCCCGATGCTGCCTGGGGGTCTGGATCTGGCCTGGCCGGATTCTGAAGTCTGTGCTGGTAGCCTGAGTGTGGCCCTGGGGGTCCCAGGACCTCCTTGGCGATCAGAACCTGGATGGTGAAGGTGGTGTGGAGCATGACTGCACAGTCCACCGGGTCCAGCAGAGAGAGGGGTGGGCTGGTTCCAAAGGAGCGCCCCTCCTGTTCAGACTGTGATCAGTTCTCTTCTCCAGGAAAAATCCCAAACAGCATCCACGTTTCCTGTAATGATGGGATGGCTCCTCATTCTAACATAATGCAGAGGGAGATGGCAGAGAGTAGTACAGGGGGACGTGGCCCGGGAAAGCAGCTCAGTGGCTCTGTAGGGATGGGTGTGGGGATTAAAAGCAGTGTTGGAGATGGTGTTTCGTGCAGGATCTGTCCTGTGCGCAGCCCGGACAAACGTGAGCAAGTTGAGCAGAATGTAGATCGTTTGTCTTAAAGAAAATGGGCAAAGTCAGAATGTGGCCCCAGTGTCGCCCATGAAGCCCTGGACGGGCCATTGTTCCTGGATGCCATTTCCTGGCGGAGGGAACGAGAGGCTGGATTAAAAGTTGCCATATCGAATGCCCGAGTATGTGTGTTCTGGGCGGCGTCTATCGTTCTGTGGCTGGTCCCCCGGCCCTCCGCTCCGTCACACGGCTCGAGACCGCCAGGCACAGGGAATGTGGAGGAGCGCGTCCGTGGAAATACCCTGGGTCTTCTGTCCCCGCGAGGGTGTGTTTGGAGGGCCTGGGTCTGAGATGCTGGGGTGGCGCCTGTCTGCAGCGGGAGGCCGGCTGGAGAGCACACAGCCGCACGCCGCGGTCCTGTTACGCCACCTGGCGTAAGATGCGGGCAGGTCCCCTCATGCAAGCCCTACCTCCTCCGGAGGAGTGCAGTCTTACTTGGGGGAGAAGAACTGCGGAGCTCACGTTTCCAGGGCTGTGTCTGTCGGGCGCTGGGCTCTCCGCGGCACACACACCTCTCCCCGCTGTCCTCCGCTTGCTGTCCTGGCTGGATCCCCTGCGCCGCGCCGGAGCCTGCCTTCCCAGCGGTTTCTAGGGGCGGGTGGGGGAGGGAAGCGGCGAGGATTAACGCTGGATAATGAGGTAACGCATATTTTTTACGGCTTTACTATTGACGGTGTGTCTTATGGCTGCTGATGGAGGGTAGACGGTTTCCTCCTGAGTAAGTTGGGAATCCTACCCCCTGACCTTCATGCAGATGCAGAGCTGTGTGGAGACAGTCCCCCAGCATCTCCTGTTTATTATACACAGCACAGAAATGGTGCTGGGGCTGTGGGAAGGATAGGGAAGAGAGGTGAAGACAGGTGCCCTGGGGTAGATGCGCTGTGCACGGAACAGGAGCGTGGAGGAAGCAGTCGTGTTTGGGCTCAGTTTTCAAAGTATTCCATTGTCTTGATTGTCAAATATCCATGGGTTGTAAGATGCATCGTGGGTGGCCTGGTCAGATGCATCCTGAGGTGAGAGACCCCAAACCAGGCACAGTGAGTTAGAATCAAGGAGAGCCGGGGTGAATGACTTACCCCTCTGCCTTCGCAGAAATAGACCACCTGCAGATCGTGCCTTCCGTAAGCCGAGCCCCTCCCAATTCCTGCGCATTGTCTGGGTTTTCTTGCTTTCTTCTCTCTGCTGACAACCGTTTAACCACGTCAAGTGGTAGACGATGTACCTAACGTCCCCCGTGTTTGGAAGTCTGTGTACCTTTGAGAGAGATGAGTGAGTCGGGGGTGGCTTGCAGATTCAGGCTTCGTGCCGCGATCTGACTTTTCTTGTGTCATAGTGGAAGGTCTGGCCGAGAGGGGGTGAAAGCTGTGTCGGTCTGCGATGGCAGTGGCCGGGACGGTGTGTCGGTAAGTCCTTGTGCTTACGGAGCTCGCAGCCAGCTTTATGCACGCTCATTACGTGGACCTAACGTGCATGTTTCCCTGTGCCGTGTGTGTGGATGAGAACGCGGAGACAAGAACACGGAAGGAAACAGAAGTCACTGATCATCTGACCGTAGAGACTTTGCTGTATATTCATCCAGTTTTTTTTTTCCTTTGGGTAATGTCTAAACCCAATGTGCGGCTTGAACTCACAACCCTGAGATCGAGGGTGGCGTGCTGTACCAACTGGGCCAGCCAGACGCCCCTCTTCCCCTCTTTTTATATATACATGCATACGTGTACATACGTGCTTGCATATCTGCACATGCGTGTGTGTGTGTAGATATAGATGCCAAAATTTAATAAAAAATGGGTTCGTACTATATCTATTGTCTTATAACACTTTAAACTTCAGGGGTACCTGGCCGGCTCAGTCGGTAGAGCACGTGCCTCTTGATCCCAGGGTCGCAAGTTCCAGCCCCATGTTTGGCGTGGAGCCTACGAAAACAACCAGAAACAAAAACTAAAAGGGAAAAAAGTCGAAGCTTGAAATGTATCCCGAGTGTCCTTTGCGTGAGTGTGCGTTAGTGTGTACTGGATGTGTTCCAGTGTGTTCACAGGATGTGATCCGCTGCTTGCTTCGTAGTTTAGTTAGTAAGAATCCCTACTCTACCTGGACTGGTTCCGAGCACGTGGGGGTGTGAGGGCCACACGGTGAGAGGACTGTTCTCTCGTCGCTCCTGATTTCAGGACGAAAATAATACACAGCAGCCTGACTCTAGTTTGGGGGGTTGCACGGGCACGCCGTGCGGAGGGTTACTCCTCGTGGCCGCAAAATGCATGAGAACCTCCAAAGTCCGTTCTGTAGCCCACGGGTGGGCGTGTGGGTGGGGCTGCAGCCCCTTGGGCTCTGCAGTCGTGTGGCCTTAGGGGTGGCGAGTGCCTGGCTCAATGCGGGGCTGGGGCATGTAGCTCCCACCGGGGCTGTGTCCCCAGGACGAGCCCCTAGTGGCACCGTTTGCTGTTCACAGGCACAGGTCTTGCTTCTCTGGCTACTCTCAGCCCCCTTGTCCCTTGATCCTGCTGCGTCCCCCCTCCGGGGACATAATGTGTCCTCTTGAATTTTATTCGTACCTGTGACAGGGAGTCAAGCTCATTTTCTAAATGCTTCATGTGGAATAAACACACGTTTCAACTGTGCAGTTTAACATACATGTACACCGTGAGACTATCACCACTGTCAGGATGATGGCCACGGCTGCCATCCCCCAAATCTCCTAGGCCTTGGTAATTCTGCCTCCCTCATTGTGCGTCCCCACGGCCCCCCACCCACTCCGATCTGCCCTGTCACTGAACGTGACATTGCGCATTTCCTAGAGTTTTGTATACATGGACTCGTGCACTATGGCATCTTTCTGCTTATCTGCATTTTTGGTCAGGCTTCTTTCACTCAGCGTAATTAAGTATTTTCGTGTTCACCCGCATTGGAATGTCTCAGTGGTTCCTTCTTGTGTTATTCAGGGGCTGTCCCGTCTGTGGGTCGACCACCGTTTGTCTGTTTACTGTGCACAGGACATTTGGATTGTTTGTAGGTTTGGTTATTACTGACAAAGCTGCCAGGAACATACGTGCACAAGGCTTCGTGTGGAAATATGCCTTTGTTGCTCTCAGGTAGATGCAGTGGCTGGTAGATGTACATTTAACAGTTTACGAAACCACCAAGCTGCTTTCCCAAGTGGTTGGACCGTTTCCCATTCCTGTTGGCAGGTAGGAGAGTTCCTGCTGCCCCCCGCGCCCCCACCCCCAGCTCCTGTCAGCGTGTTTGATCTTAGCCGTTCCAACGGTGGTGGTTTCAGTCTGCATCTGCCTAGTGCCTAATGACCTGAGCATCTCTCCATGTGCTTACTGCCCCGTCTGTGTATATCTTCTGGTGAGGGCTCTGTTGGAATCTTTTGCGCATCATTTTTTTCTTTTTTAAGATTTTTTTTTTTTCTTATTTGACAGAGAGAGATGCAGCGAGAGGGGGAACACAAGCAGGGGGAGTGGGAGAGGGAGAAGCAGGCTTCCCGCCGAGCAGGAAGCCCGATGCGGGGCTCGATCCCAGGACCCTGGGATCATGACCTGAGCCGAAGGCAGACGCCTAACGACTGAGCCACCCAGGTGCCCCTACTCTGATCCTTTTCTTTTTTTTTTTTTTTTATAAAGTTTTTATTTATTTATTTGACAGAGAGAGAGACAGCGAGAGAGGGAACACAAGCAGGGGGAGTGGGAGAGGGAGAAGCAGGCTTCCCGCCGAGCAGGGAGCCCGATGCGGGGCTCGATCCCAGGACCCTGGGACCATGACCCGAGCCGAAGGCAGACGCTTAACGACTGAGCCACCCAGACGCCCCATTTTTGCACATCACTTTTATTGACTTGTTTGTTTTCTTGCTGTGTTTCAAGAGTTCTTTATAAAATATTGGTAAAGGTCCTTTATGAGATTATGTGCTTTGCAAGTATTTTCTACCAGACACTGGCTTGTCTTTCCATTCTCTTTTTTTTTTTTTTTTTTTTAAGATTTCATTTATTTATTTGAGACAGAGAGAGAGGGCACAAGCAGAGGGAGTGGCAGAGGCAGAGAGAGAAGCAGACTCCCCACTGATCAGGGAGCCCGATGCGGGGCTCGATTCCAAGACCCTGGGATCATGACCTGAGCCAAAGGCAGCAGCTTAACCAGCTGAGCCACCCAGATGCCCCTTCATTCTATTAATAGTGTCTTTTACAAGAGCAAAAGTTTTGAGTTTTGGTAGAGTCCAATTTATCAATTATTTCTTTTGTGGGTTACGTTTTTAGTGATGGATCTAAGAATTTTAACCATAGATCACAAAATTTTTCTTCCATTTTTTCTTGTAAAAGTGTTCTGGTTTTACATCTTATTTTTAGGTCCATAACCCATTTTGAGCTAATTTTTGTATAAGTTGAAAGATGTGGGTCAGAGTTCATTGTTTTGAATATGGATGTCCAGTTCAGTAGCATTTGTAAGCAGATTATCCATTATCCATCGAGTTTCTTTTGCAATTTTATAAAAAGCCACTTGACCATATTTAGGTGGCTCTACTTCTGGATTCTGTCCTGTTCCACTGATCTATGGGACTGTCCTTTTGCCAGTACCACACAGTCTTGATTACAATAGCTTTATACTAAGGTTTGAAATTAGATAGTGTGAATCCTCCAACTTTGTTGTTTTTGAAAATTGTTTTGACTGTCTTTGTTCATTTTCTTTCCACATAAATTTTAGAACCAGCTTGCTAATACCTAGAAAAACTTATGCTGAGATGTTGATTGGGATTTTGCTGAGTCTGTAGATCATGTTGGGTTGTGTTCACATTTTAATACTCTGAAGTCTTCCAGTCCATGAACATGGGATGCTTTTCCATTAATCTGTATCTTCTTTAATTTTTTCTGGCAATGTTTTGTACTTTTCATCATCCACATCTTTCACCATCTTGGTTAAGTAAATTCTTTCATATTTTATTCTATTTGATGCTGCTGTCAGTGGAATTATTTTTGTAATTTCCTTTTTAGATTGTTCATTATTGGTGTGTAGAAATGCAGCTGACTTTTGTGTGTTGACTTTGTATCCTGCAACTTTACTGAATTCATGTATTAGTTCCCACAGTGTGTGTGTGTGTGTGTGTGTTTGTGTGTGTCTAGAATTGTTAGGGTTTCTACATGTAAAATCATATCATCTGCAAAATAATTTGACTCTTTCCTTTCCAATTTGGGTGTTTTTCTTTCTTTCTCTCTCTTTCTCTATTGCTCTGCATAGTTGCCCTGGCTAGAACTTCCACGACTGTGTTAAATAGAAGTGGCACAAATGAACATCCTTGCCTTGTTCCTCATCTTAGAGGAAAACCTTTCTGCCTCACCATTGAGCATGATATTCACTGTGGGTTTTTCATATTTGGCTTTGGTTACATTGAGATAATTTCCTCCTATTCTTAGTTGCTTCTTTGTGTGTGTGTGTGTGTGTGTATCACAAATGGGTATTGAATTTTGTCAGATACTTTTTCTGAATCAGTTGAGTTGATCATGTGATATTTTTCCTTAATTCTGTTGATGTGGTGCCTTATGTTGATCAGTTTTTGTATGTTGAACCAATCTTCTACTCCAGAGGTAAGTCCTGCTGGTCATGGTGTATAGTCCTCTAACATGCTGCTGAGTTCTCTTTGCTGGTATTTTGTTGAGGATTTTCACATCAGTGTTCATAAGGGATATTGGTCTGTAGTTTCCTTGGAGTGTCTCTGTCTCGCTTTGGAATCAGGGTAATGCCGGCTTCCTGGAATGAGTTGGGAAGTGTTCCCTCCTCTTCAGTGTTGGGAAAAGTTTGAGGATTGGTATTCGTTCTGCTTAAAATGTTTGGTAGAATTTCTCAGTGAACCCTTCAGGTCCAGGGCTTCTCCTCTCAGGAAATTTTGATTACTGATTCAATCTCCTACTAGTTATAGGTGTATTCAGATTTTTTACTTCTGTGTGACTTACTCTTGCTAGGGTTTGTGTTTCTAGAAATTTGTCCATTTCATATAGGTTATCCCATTTGTTGGTGTGCAGTTGGTCACAGGACTCTCTTCTAATCCTAGTTCTATGGAATCTGTAGTAATGCCCCATTTCCAATTTTCATAATATGAGTCTTCACTCTTTTGTCCGTAGTCCATCTAAGTTAAAGTTTTGTTAATTCTGTTATGTTTCGGAAGAACCAACTTTGGTTTCGTTGGTTTTCTCTATTTTCTATTATCTGTTGTGTTCGTCTCAGTTCTTTCTTTCTTTCTTTCTTTTTTTTTTTTTTTTAAAGATTTTATTTAATTATTTGACACAGAGGGAGAGAAAGAGCGAGCACAAGCAGGGTGAGCGGCAGGCAGAAGGAGAGAGAGAAGCAGGCTCCCCGCTGACCAAGGAGCCTGCTGCGGGGCTCGATCCCAGGACCCTGGGATCATGACCTGAGCTGAAGGCAGACGCTTAACTGACTGAGCCACCCAGGCGCCCCTCAGTTCTGTTTCTTTATTAGTTCCTTCCATCTGCTAGCTTTGGATTCAGTCTGCCCTTTTTCTCGTTCCGCAAGGTATAAACTTGCATTGTTGACCTGGGATCTTTCTTGGTTTTCAGGGTCAGCACTTATAGCTACAAATTTCCCATCAGCAATGCTTTCCCAGTGTCCCATACGTTTTAGTTATGTTGTGTTTTCGTTTTCATTTGTCCCTAAGTATTTTCTAATTGCCCTTGTGATTTCTTCTCTGATTCACTCGTTCTTTTTTTTTTAAGATTTTATTTATTTATTTGAGAGAGAGAGAGAAGGAGCAGGGGGAGGGACAGAGGGAGAGGGAGAAGCAGACTCCCCAATGAGCAGGGAGCCCGACATGGGGCTCGATCCCAGGACTCCAGGATCATGACCCGAGCCAAAGGCAGATGCTTAACTGACTGAGCCACCTAAGTGCCCCAGATCCACTCATTCTTTAGTAGTATGTGTTTTAATTTCCACAATTTTGTGAATTTTCCAGTTTTTCTTCTGTTACTGATTTCTAACTTCATATCACTGTGGTCGGAGAAGATAATTTGTGTATTACCTGTCTTTTGAAATCTGTTAAGACTTCATTTGTGGGCTAACATGTGGTCTATTTTGGGGAATGTCCCGAGTGCTCCTGAGTGGAAGGTGTATGCTGTTGCTGGGTGGAGGGTTCAGTATATGTGTCTTAGATCTAGTTGGTTTGTTTACTCCTTTTTGTCCTCACTTGTGTTCTGTCTGGTTGTTCTATCCCTTATTGAGAGTGGGGTATTGAGGTCCCTTATTGTTGTAGCATGCTCCGTTTCTACCTTCTATTCCATGAACATGGTATAGCTCACTGTTTCTGAAGGTCTTATTTGACTTTTTTTCACCAAAGTCTTGTAGTTTTCAGTACACAGACCCTACATGTATTTTGTTAAGTTGATATCTAAGTATTTCATTTTTGATGAGCTGTTGTTTTTTTTTTTTTTTTAATTTCCATGTCGTTTTTCATTGCTTGTTTATAGAAATATGATTGATTTCGTTATACTGACCTTGTATTTTGTGGCCTTGCTAAATTCACTTTTCAGTTTGAGGAGATAGTTTGATACGTCCTTTGGGATTTTCTACACAGCCAATCATGTCATTCTCAAACGAGCTAATTTTATGCCTTCTTTTTTCCCAATCTGATGACTTTCATTTCCTTCTCCTCTTTGCTCCACGGAGTAGGACTTCCAATACATTGTGGAATAGAAGTAGTCAGCCTTGCTCCGTCCTTGGCCCAGTGTAAATACAGGTATAGAACAAACATCCAGTCCTGGGTAGGGAAGGAGACTCTCGCCTGTAGTGCTTCTGACTGCCTCATGTGGTGCTGCTGGCCACACAGTGATTTATACTTTGATCTCTACTTGTCTCATTAGCATCTGAGAATTGGGTTAAAATCTGAAACGATAAAAGGCATTATCTTTAGTGTTATGTAGGATAGGAAAGAGGGAGCAGTGTAAATATTTCAAGGTGGAGTAAACGGTAAACCAGTTCATGCTATGTCCTGGGGATAACTGGTACCAAAAGCCAAACTTTAGACTTTGTTATTTGAAATCATTACAGACTTGCAAAAGAGTTGCAGAAACCGTACACAAAGCGAGTGTTTTCCTTTCCCCCTGATTGCTCACATTAGTATCACACCATGTGTGTGTTGTCTCGTTGTCTCTGTGTTTATGTGCACACTTGCAAATTTATCTTCCTGAAGACACATGAGAGCGCATTCCTGAGGCAAGGCCTTTAATGGCACATGTGTCAGTGTGGGGTTCCCACAGGCGGGATCACGTGTGTGTTGCAGTGCAGTTATCGGTGGCAGTGAGCCAGCCTGGCCAAGCCCTAGAGCCCTCAGAGGTTCTTGGTTATGAACACCGTGTCATAGAGGCCCACAGTGTGGGGGTGCAGGGGTGTGGTGGTAACGTGCACTTGTCCTGCAGACCCTTTGTGCCCCAGGATGGCCCTCGAGGACTCAGTGTCAGCGAGCCCGTGGAGGGTTGGACTTTAGTGGGCAGGGGAGCACTGGGTCAAGGGGGGTGTGGCCCTGGTTCTCTCACTGCATCCATGCTGGTCCTCATGCAGTAGCTGCAGCTCACTAGGGAAGGTCATGCTGCTCTTGGGCAGGTGTGCCCGCTGTCTGCATGTGGTGCCCCAGGTTCTGCCAAGACCCCCAGGTTTCAGTGTCTCCATGACTCCCAGGTTCCGCCATCTTTGTGCATGACCCCGGGTTCTTCTGTGACTCCCTTGTTCTGCCCCGTGCACCTGTGACCCCTGGTTCTGGGCTAATCTCCTTGTGCCCTTGAGGCTGTGGTGGTCTCAGCCCTGCTTCTGCTGGGCCCCTGGGCCCCACCTGCCCCTTAGGACAGGGAGAACTGGCTCACCTGTCCTATAGGACTGACTTCCCCTGACCTTGCTGATCACTGGCTTGAGCTCCCCAATCTCCATCCTGGGCTCTGATCAGTGGGATGATGGGTACCCTGTAGCCCTAAGAGACAGCCCTCGGGATTGGCTTCAGAATGGCTTGCTGTCCCCTGGACACTGGTGGTTCACGGCTGTGGCTGCAGCCAAGTGGACTGGGTATGTCAGGCTGGGACGAGGACATGGATGGGGATACGGGCGCAGCGGAGGCTGGTGTATGACCACTCAGCTGAGGGCCTGGTGAGAATCAGAAGCTCCGGCTGAGGCCTCTGTCCTGCAGCAGCAGTGGGTGACTCAGAGTGGCTGCTGTGCTTGCCCAGGGACCCCTGGTGGTAATGGGCAGTGGTAGCAGCTACTTCCTGGCCACGCTTCCTCAGTCCTGCGGTGTAGGGGTCCTGTCGTTAAGCTGGCCTCCATGTATCAATGTTTCACATCCCGCTTTCTGGTTGTAGGTGCAGGAAGGACCCTCAGGGGGCCGGGATGCTAGTGGAAGTGGACCCCGACGGCCAGTGCGGCGCCCATGCAGGAGGCCTAGGAATCAGGCTGGCCAGTTCATCTCCGTGGTGACCCTCTTTGAGGTGATGGCCAGGAGGAGGAGCTCCATACTGGTACTGACCACTGCTGGGAGGGATGCACGGGCTGGGTGGGTTGTGATGTGCTTCTCCACGTCAGGTGAGGAGCTGGCTGGCTTCCACACGGATCCTGGAGGCCTTCGTCCCTGCACGGCCTGCTCATCGAACCACAAGTCCCCTAGGGCCCCACGGGACCACCAGGGCACTTCTTCTCCCTGTCCTGAGACACGGCATCCCCTCCTATGTCCTCAGACACCTCGTCCCCTCCTATGCCATCAGACACTGTGTCCCCTCCTATGTCATCAGACACTGCATCCCCTCCTCATCCTGAGACACCGGGTCCCCTCCTATGTCCTCAGACACCGGGTCCCCTCCTATGTCATTAGACACCGCATCCCCTCCTATGTCATCAGACACCGTGTCCCCTCCCCATCCTGAGACACTGCATCTCCTCCTATGTCCTCAGACACCTCATCCCCTCCCCATCCTGAGATACCATGTCTCCTCCTATGTCATCAGACACCGTGTCTCCTCCCCATCCTGAGACACGGTGTCCCTTCCTGTGTCATCAGACACCGGGTCCCCTCCCCATCCTGAGACACCGCGTCTTCTCCTCTGTCCTCAGACACCTCATCCCCTCCCCATCCTGAGATACCATGTCCCCTCCTATGTCATCAGACACTGCGTCCCCTCCCCATCCTGAGACACCGGGTCCCCTCCTATGTTCTCAGACACCACGTCCCCTCTCCATCCTGAGACACTGGGTTCCCTACCAAGTCATCAGACACCATGTCCCCTCCCCATCCTGAGACACCATGTCCCCTCCTATGTCATCAGAGACCATGTCCCCTCCCCATCCTGAGACACTGGGTCCTCTCCTGTGTTCTCAGACGCTGTGTCCCCTCCTGTGTCCTTTGACACTGCATCCCCTCCCCATCCTGAGACACTGGGTCCCCTATGTCATGACACCGCATCCCCGCCCCATCCTGAGCACATTCCTCTGTCCTGAGACACAGTGTCCCATCCCCATCCTCAGACACGGCGTCCTGTGCTCTGTCCTGAGACACGGTGCACCCTCCTCACCCTCCCCGGGACACAGAGCTTCCCATGCAGGGTGCAGCCCCGTCATGGCCTCCTTTGGTTTTAGGCGCAGGGAGCACCCTCGGGGGGCCAAGATGTCAGTGGGCCCGGCACCCGCCGGCGAGGGCGGCCACCGCGGAAGCACCGCAAGAGGAAGGTGGCCTTCACCACAGAGGTGACCCTCTTTGAGATGGTCGCCCTGGGGAAGAACTCGGTGCAGGTACTGCCTGCTGTGGGGTGTGTGTGGTGGGGCGGGTGCGGGGGTGCAGCAGACGTGGGGGCCCGTCTGGCGTTTGTCGCTTCTCGCGCCACCTGGAGGCCGGGTGTCCTTGCAGAGTCACGGCCGCACCCACTGCAGCCTGTGCTGCCCGGCCCGCTCAGTGGTCATGTGTGCCCGTCACACATGCTCAGCGCTGCCCATCACTCGCACCTGATCACACATGTACACACACGTGCTCACCGCTGCCTGTCACATCATCTGATCACACACGTACACACACGTGCTCACTGCTGCCCATCACATGCACCTCATCTCACACACACACACACACACACGAGTGCTCACCGCAGCCTGACACATGCGCCTGATCACACATGTATATACATGTGCTCACCCCTGGCCATCACATGCACCTCATCACACACACACACAAGTGCTCACTGCTGCCCGTCACATGCACCTCATCACACACGCAAGTGCTCACTGCTGCCCGTCACATGCACCTCATCACACATGTGCACATAGATACACACAGGTGCTCACCACTGGGATCATATTCATGATCGCACATGTGTCCTCGTGGCTGGCCGGTCCCACACACCTCACCCCTGGCTGTTGCCCCTGCAGACGGCCGTTGAGGAGTGGGTGCAGTCCTATAAAGAGGACAGGGAGCTGGCCTTGCTGGACCTCATCAGCTTCTTCGTCCAGTGCTGTGGCTGTGAAGGTGAGCCCTGCTCCTGGACACTCGTGGGCGTCCCCACATGTGGGCCCGCTGGGCTTGCCTTTCCTGCCCACATGTGGTTGTAAGAGACTGGGCGGGCTGGGGCTTTTCCAGAGGCTGGTTTAGTGTAGGTCAGAGACTTGCTTCTTCTGTGAGCACCATTATCTCAGAGCGAAGGGTGATTGTCCCCCCAAGGTAAGATCCGTCCACGTCCTGACCCCAGGACCTCAGGATGTGACCTCGTTGAGAAGAAGGACCTTTGCAGTTGTGAGTAGTAAGATAGTCCTTAGGGTGGTCCTAGTCCCGCAAGACTTGGTCCTTGTAAGAGGAGGGACGCAGGGGCACCTGGGTGGCTCAGTCAGTTAAGTGTGTCGCTCTTGGTTTCAGCTCAGGTCATGCTCTTAGGCTTGGATTGAGCCCTGAGTCAGGCTCTGTGCTCAGTGGGGAGTCTGCTTGAGATCCTCTCTCTCTCCCTCTCCTTCTGCCCCCTTCCACTCATGCGCTCTCTCTCTCTGTCTAAAATACATAAAATACATAAAAAAAAGGAGAAGGGGAGAGATGCGGACACAGAGGAGAAGCCACATGAGGACGGAGGCAGAGACAGGAGGGACGCGGCCACGAGCCTAGGGACGCCTGGAGCCCCGGAAGCTGGAAGAAGCAGGGAGGAGCCTCCCCTGGAGCCTCGGCTCTTTCCAAGTTGGGGGTTGCTGTGGGTGGGCTCTAGCGGAGGGCCACGCTGTGGTCCGTGACAGTTCTCTGTCTCCTGCCTGGCGCCCATGTTGCGGCTCACACAGGATGCTGGCCAGTGAGCTGCTTTCACAGGAGCCTCAGGCCGCCAGACAGGACATGTGTGGGGTCGTCACACCCTCCCTCCTGGGGCTCCGGTCAGCACAGCATGTCAGCAGGGCCCAGGGCAGCTGGGCCGTCAGCCTCCACACGGGGACCTCCGGGTGCTGATGAACAGCGCAGGTTATGCTGCAAGAATGCTGGAAGCCGAAGCTCTCCTAGCTGTGTTCAAGGGGGCAGTTAAACACACAGAGCGTGAAAATTACTCGGTCCTGCCCAGCAGGGAACACTGACCCTTGCTGCCACGTAGAGGACTTTGAACACATGGTGCTCAGGGAGAGATGCAGGCACCTCAGCCCACGCTGGCTGACCCCATGTGCACGAAATGTCCAGAGCGGGCATGTCCACAGATGGACGGCGTCTCAGTGGTTCTTGGGGCCCGGGAAATGATAGGGGACCAGCACTGTGGGGGGGGGGGTGGGGGCTTCCCACAGTGGGCTGTAGCGATGGGTGACCGTGGTGAATGCACGCACTGCTGAGGTTCGTACTACGAGTCCGTTGTTCGCTATGCGCATTCCATCTCCATCAGTCGTCATCACCAGCGGACAACCGGGGGCCTCGTCCTCCCTCCGGAACCTGACGCAGGGGCTGTGGGGCCAGGACTGGCCTGTCGAGAAGCCCCCGCGGCATCTGGCTGGGCGCCCTGAGGGTGTGTCGTGAAAGCCCCGTGGCTTTACACACGAGACACATTCACACTGTTGTGCGGGGGCCACAGCACCTGTAGAGCCCAGCCTGTGAGGCTAGATGCAGTGGCTTCGCCGCCTCTCTCAAGGATGAGGCGGTGTCCCCTAGGAGGAGGGTGGGCTTGAACCACGCTTCCTCCTTTCTCTCGCAGGGATGGTGACGGCCGAGCTGTACCAGAGCAACCAAGGCCAGAACGTGGTGCACAAAATGACCGAGAAGTTTGACCAGGTGGGGCGGGCTCCGCGCTCTCCGTGAGCCTGGGGCCTGAGGTCACGGGAGCTTCCTCCTGAGTGGCGCTACCCTGGCCCCCCCGGGCACGCGGGCTTGCGATCAGGGCTGGGGGTGGAAGGAGCTGAGGCATCCCCATTTCCTGGGGAGGAGCCATCCTCCTCTGCTTCCCTGGGAGAAGCGGGCCTTTTGGGGCTCCGTGTTACTTCATAAAGACTAACATGAACCATAAATATGGGACATTCTGTCACGTATGGAGAAAATACGGCTATGAAATGGTACTCACGTGGCCGTCGTCCAGAGGAAGAAACAGAGCAAGGCCAGCAGGTCCCCAGACGCGCCCTGTGCCCGTCCGGACCACCTCCCCGCGGTGACAGGAGTATGTCCCTGAACTTGGTGCTCACAGTATTTCGGCACTGTGGCTTTGCTGCGCATGGGCACCCATGCATGCCAGCCCCGCTCTGCCTGGCTTCCAGCTCCATGCCCGGGAGACACCAGTGCTCAGCGTGGCGTCTCTGAGGCTCCGTCACACAGACACACAATTTAAGAAATTATATGCACGTGAATAATGTTGAGTAAACATCTGTGTCATGGCTGTGGAATGTTCCATCGCATGCATGTGCGTGGTTCATGTCCCCATTCTGTTTCTGTTGGCATTCGGGTTGGTTTTGAGTTTTTTCTCTGTGTGGCTGTGGACGTGCGTGTCCGTGGGTCCTGCTGTCCGTGTTCCCGTGTTTGCGTGTAATGAATGTATGCACGTTTGACTTTGCGGTGTGAGGCCAGCTTGTTTTCATGGCATCTCCACGTGTGCGTTAGGCTGCGTGGCTCCTCATCCCCGTCAGTGTTGGCTGCCGGATAGTTTTTGTCAGTCTCGTAGTTGTATGCATGGTTCAGTTCCCCGGACTGTTAGTGAGCTCAAGCACCTCCTTGCATTTAAAGACGATTTTCTCTTGTTTAACACGTTGTTTTCATTGTGGAAAAATACACCCAGCATACAAGTTGCCGTCTTAACCATTTCAAGTGCATAGCTCAGTGGCATTGGGTGCATTCACGCTGTTGTGCGACCATCCGTCTCCAGAACTTTCCTTCATCCCAACTTGAAATCAGACACTATTTCCCAGTGCCCCAACCCTGGTCCCTGGCCCCACCATCTACTCTCTGTCTCTGTGGATGGGACTCTTCTAGGGGCCCTGTGTCCGTGCAATCTCACAGGATTTGTCCTCTGTGTGGCTCATGTCCTCAAGCTCCATCCACGTCCTAGCAGGCATAGGAATATCCTTCCTCTTCAAGGCTGCGTCATGTTCCGCTGTATGCGAACTCATCCTTTCAGCGAACAGACGTAGTATCTACAAAATTTCTCACATTTTAAAATACTTAGAAAGTGCCTTCAGAAAGTCTTGGGAATCAAGTCCGTGAACGGTAACTGTTTTCTTTTAACTTTTTATGTGGAGCAACGTCAAACGTAAGGAAAGGGGAGGAGGACATGAACTTCACCTGTGTTCAGCAACTGATGCTCTGCCGTCCTCAGCTTATCCCCCATGTGTGCACGTGTGTCTCTGTGCCACGCATGCACACGCGTGTGCACTGTGCATGTGAGCGAATGCACATGGGTCTGTGCCGTCTTCAGCTTATCCCCATGCGTGCACGTGTGCCTGTGTTGTCCATGCACACGTGTGTGCACTGCACGTGAGCGAGTGCACGTGTGTATTCCATCTTCAGCTTATCCCCCATGCGTGCACATGTACCTCTGTGCGGTGCATGCACACGCGTGTGCGGAGTGCACGTGAGCGAGTGCACGTGTGTATTCCATCTTCAGCTTATCCCCATGCGTGTGCCTATGCCTCTGTGCTGTGCATGCACACGCGTGTGCACTGTGCACGTGAGCGAGCAAATGCACGTGTGTGCGCTGTCTTCACCTTATCCCCCATGCATGTGCATGTGCCTCTGTGGTGTGAATGCACACACGTGTGCACTGCACGTGAGCGAGCGAATGCACGTGTGCACGTGCGAGTGTGTGTGTGCAGGTCCATGCATATGCACAGGTGTGTTTGCCGCTGTGTGTGTTCACCAGAGCTGCCTGTAAGGGGGCTGCAGGCTGAATTGGGCCCTGTGTCCTCGTGTGTGGCCGTGAGGGCTCCTGTGTGACCGTGGTCCTGTCCTCACTCTCGGGCACTCTGAGTCGCTGGAAGACAACATCTGTGTGAGGGGTCTGCACACATTACCATGCCTGTCTCAGGAATGTCCTTCACGTCTGTTTCTGTCCCGTTCAGGGTCCAGCTAGGGTCCCCACACGACATTTAGCCATCTGCGCCCGGGCTCCCTTGAAGGCCACAAGTTTGGCACTTTGGAGAGCCCAGGCCCGTAATCGAGGAGGATGCCCCTACTTGCTTCCAGCCTCTGTGTCCCCGAAATTAGCTCCTTCCTTGGGGTCACTCAGCGTGTCCCTGACTCAGTTGGGCCTCTTTCCTCAGAGAGCTCTCGTCACCAGCTCGGGGTCCCCTTCGGTCTCCCCCCGCCTCTGAAGCAGCAGTGGGGGCTTTGCCTGCCCCTCAGTCTGTGTGCCTCATGGGAGACCCTGCGCTTCCCAAAGAGCAGGCCCCTGGACACAGTGTAGGGAAATGCCAGATTGTGCAGGGCCCGCAGCGGGCAGGGTGACACGCACAGCCACGGCACTGGCCGTATGGAGACGTGGCTGGTGAGCAGGAGAGGCTCCAGCGCTCCTGGGTCCTCTGTGCAGAGTGGCGTCTCCCCATGCTGGCTTCCAGAGATGACACGGTGCATGCTCTCAGTGCCAGCCGAGTACACGGAGTGGCTGAGCGCCACAGACGCGGTCCGTCCACACCACTCCCGAGGACACTGACGCGAAGGTGGACGTGGACTGCTGTTGTGGAGACAGGCTGTGCATGCTGTCGGCTGCTCAGAGCCGTTCCCCCCTCACCCACGGGCTTCGGCCTCCAGGGGGGATGCAGCCCAGCTCCCAGCACCCCGCGCTGCATGGGCCTGTCCTGCCGGGATGCGCTGCAGCTGGGGACGCTGGACTTGACCGGCACGTCTCGTCTGTCCTTGCAGGAGACTGGGCTGTACTACAAGAAGTTTCTGGCCTACCCCTGGATCCTGACCATCGTGTGGCCAGAGAAACTGGTAACACACATTCCACTGTTTAAAAATGGGGTGGTTCTGTGTGGCTTCCCGGGACGCCCGAGGCTGACGGAGCCCCGGGTGGTTCCCGTGGAGTTCCCAGCACGGGGTGGGCGCCCTGATCACCGACGAGGGACTGCGGCCGTGTGCCCGGCTCCCACGGGAGCCGCCTGAGCTGGCCCTGCGGACGGGGTCCTGCCGGCACAATGCACGCAGACCTCCCTCTATCCGGACTGCGGCGAGGGGGGCTCGGGCTGACCCGACCCCGTCCTGTCCACACTGAGTGCAGTAGAGCCTCCGAGTCTTGTCCACAATGCGACAGGACCTGACTGTGCTCAGTCCACACTGAGTGCACTTAGGTCCCATGGCATGTTGCTTTAAATGACAAGGTGAAGCCAGACTCTGTGCGTGGTGGGACAGTCAGACCTGACCTGTTCTGCAAAAGTGAGTTCATCCAGTGAGTTCTGTCCACACTGGGACAATTTGACCAGAGTGAGTTCATCTACCTTGGCACGTTTAGACCTGACAGTGTTCTTTCTACTTTGTGTCATGGAAACTGACTCTTCTGTCTACACTGGCACATTTAGACTGGATCATGTTCTGTCTGCATTGTGTCATGGAGTCCTGACGTGTACTGTCTACACTGGCTCATTTAGATCTGATCATGTTTTGTCTACACCGTGTAATGGAGTCCTGACGTGTTCTGTCTACACTGGCACGTTTAGACCTGACAGTGTTCTTTCTACTCTGTGTCATGGAGCCCTGACTGTGTTCCGTCTACACTGGCACATTTAGACTTGATCATGTTCTGTCTACACTGGGACATTTAGACCAGAGTGTGTTCTGTCTACACTGGCACGTTTAGACCTGAAAGTATTCTTTTTACTCTGTGTCATGGAAACTGACTCTTCTCTCTACGCTGGCACATTTAGATCTCATCATGCTCTGTCTACACTGGGAAGTTTAGACCTGACAATGTTCTGTCTACGCTGGGTCATGGAGCCCTGACTGTTCTGTCTACATTGCGTCATGGAGCCCCCTGACTGTGTTCCGTCTACACTGGCATTTTTAGACCTGATCATGTTCCGTCTACACTGGCACATTTAGACCTGATCATGTTTTGTCTATGCTGTGTCATGGAGCCCTGACTGTGTTTTGTCTACACTGTGTAATGGAGACCTGATTGTTCCATCTACACTGGCACATTTAGACCTGATCGTGTTTTGTCCACACTGTGTCATGGAGACCTGACTGTTCCGTCTACACTGGCACATTTAGACCTGATCATGTTTTGTCTACGCTGTGTCATGGAGACCTGATTGTTCCATCTACACTGGCACATTTAGACTGGATCATGTACCATCTACACTGGCACATTTAGACCTGATCGTGTTTTGTCCACCCTGTGTCATGGAGACCTGACTGTTCTGTCTACACTGGCACATTTAGACCTGATCATGTTTTGTCTACGCTGTGTCATGGAGACCTGATTGTTCCATCTACACTGGCACATTTAGACTGGATCGTGTTCTGTCTACACTGGCACATTTAGACCTGATCGTGTTTTGTCTGCTGTGTCATGGAGCGCGGACGGTGTTCTGTCCACACTGGCACATTTAGACCTGATCTTTGTCTACGTTGTGTCATGGAGACCTGACTGTTCCGTCTACACTAGCACATTTAGACCTAATCATGTTCCGTCTACACTGGCACATTTAGACCTGATCGTGTTTTGTCTGTACTGGCACATTTAGAACTGATCGTATTTTATCTATGCTGTGTCATGGAACCCTGACTGTTCCGTCTACACTGGCACATTTAGACCTGATCATGTTCGTCTACACTGGGACATTTAGACCTGATTGTGTTTTGTCTACACTGGCACATTTAGACCTGATCGTGTTTTGTCTATGCTGTGTCATGGAGTCCTGACTGTTCCATCTACACTGGCACATTTAGACCTGATCATGTTTCATCTACACTGGCATATTTAGACTTGATCATGTTTTGCCTATGCTGCGTCATGGAGACCTGACTGTTCCGTCTACACTGGCACATTTAGACCTGACTGTTCTGTCTACACTGACACATTTAGTCCTGTGTTCCATCCACACTGGCACATTTAGAGCTGACCATGTTCTGTGTAGTCTGTGCTGTAGTCTCTGCATGCTGTTGTGACTGTCACTGTTGGAACGACCCAAGCCGTCAGGGTTTCTGTGGCCATCCACATCTGGGTGGAGAAGGGTAGAACAGGAGCTGTTGTAGGGCGCCGTGTGGCCGGCCCCTGGCACAGCCACTGCAGGTGTCCTGTGGCTGGAGATTCACCTAGTGTCCTTCATATCATTCATTCCTCACCATCTCGTGTGTGTAGATGAGATACCATGTATTAGTGCATTTCACAACGAGGGTGTGGGAGGGTTTCTCACAAAGTGCACTGAGTTTGGGGAGTGAGGACCGACCTTGCAGACCCGGTTAGTGACCTGGTCTAGCTTCGGAATGGGGGGTCTCGGAACATGTTTGTAACCCCGTTAGTGACCTGGTCCAGCCTCGGGATGGGGGGTTTCAGGACGTGTATAACCCGGTCAGTGACTTTGTCTAGCCTCGGAATGGGGGGTTTCGGGACAGGTTTGTAACTATGTTAGTGACCTGGTCTAGCCTCAGAATGGGGGGGGTTTCAGGACATGTTTGTAACCCCGTTAGTGACCTGGTCTAGCCTCGGGATGGGGGGTGTGTGTGGATAGAGGCTGGAGGCGGGTTGTCCCGATGAACGTCTTGCCATGCGCGTGGATAGAGGCTGGAGGCCAGTTCTCCTGATGCACCCCTTGCCGTGTGCATGGATAGAGACTGGAGGCCAGTTCTCCTGATGAACATCTTGCCGTGAGTGTGGATAGAGGCCGGAGGCCGGTTCTCCTGATGCACCCCTTGCCGCGTGCGTGGAAAGAGATTGGAGGCGGGTTGTGTGATGACTTGATTGCGGGGCACATGAAGGAAGGAGTCAGGAAGGCTGATGGGCGGCTGGTGAGCTGTGCCGTCTACACTTGCAAGCCCACGGTGATCTTTTCTCTTTCCCATTCCCCGTCCCTGACTCCACCCCTGGCAGAGTCACTGGAGTTTCTTGTCAGCTCAGCGGGAACAGGAATGCGCTAAGCCCCCAAAGCGCCAAAGTATGCTTTTAAGTACCTTTCACGTTCACAATGAATATTTAAAGCACCTGAAATCAGCCAGAACCAGAGTGAAAAACAGGAGGGCCCGGCTTCTCTGGGATGAGTGTTGGGAGGTGCCTGCACGCTTTCCTCAGGGTGACCTGAGGTCCTAGAGACCTGGCTCCTTCCCACACGTGGGGGTCCACCCACACAGCCTATAGACCTGACCAGGGGGACGTGGGACCATTCGCCCAGGTGCAGGGTGTGGGAGAGGTGGGGTGATCCTGGTGGGTATGGATATGTGACCCCCAAGTTCTGGGTTTCGGGGGGTTGGGGTCAGTGGGTGAGTGTGTATATCTGACCCCTGCTAGGTGCAGGGTCTGGGAGAGCTGGGGTCACTGTGGTGGGTGTGGATATGTGAACCCCCAACGTAGGAATGGGAGTGTGGGTACCCTGTGTCAGAGTGGACGTGTGACCCCCAGGTTCAGGGTCTGGGAGATTAGGGGTCACCCTGTGTCAGAGTGGACGTGTGACCCCCCTGGTTCAGGGTCTGGGAGATTTGGGTTCACCCTGTGTCAGAGTGGACGTGTGACCCCCAGGTTCAGGGTCTGGGATATTTGGGTTCACCCTGTGTCAGAGTGGATGTGTGACCCCCAAGTTCAGGGTCTGGAAGATTTGGGGTCAACCTATGTCAGAATGGATGGATGACCCTCCCCAGGTGCAGGTCTGGGAGATTTGGGGTCACCCTATGTCAGAGTGGACGTGTGACCCCCCAAGTGCAGGTCTGGGAGATTTGGGGTTACTCTGTGTCAGAGTGAATGTGTGACCCTCCAGGTGCAGGTCTGGGAGATTTGGGGTCACCCTGTGTCAGAGTGGACGTGTGACCCTCCAGGTGCAGGTCTGGGAGATTGGGGGTCACCTGTGTCAGATTGGATGTGTGACCCCCCCAGGTGCAGGTCTGGGAGATTGGGGGGTCATGCTGGGTCAGAGTGGACGTGTGACCCTCCAGGTGCAGGTCTGGGAGATTGGGGGTCACCCTGTGTCAGAGTAGATGTGTGACCCCCAAGTGCAGGTCTGGGAGATTTGGGGTCACCCTGTGTCAGAGTGGACATGTGACCCTCCAGGTGCAGGTCTGGGAGATTGGGGGTCACCCTGTGTCAGATTGGACGTGTGACCCTCCAGGTGCAGATCTGGGAGATTGGGGGTCACCCTGTGTCAGATTGGATGTGTAACCGCCCCCAAGTGCAAGTCTGGGAGATTGAGGGTCAGCCTGTGTCAGAGTGGATGTGTGACTCCCCCCCCCCCCAGGTGCAGGTGTGGGAGATTGGGGGTCACCTGTGTCAGATTGGATGTGTGACCCCCCCAGGTGCAGGTCTGGGAGATTGGGGGGTCATGCTGGGTCAGAGTGGACGTGTGACCCTCCAGGTGCAGGTCTGGGAGTTTGGGGGTCACCCTGTGTCAGAGTAGATGTGTGACCCCCAAGTGCTGGTCTGGGAGATTTGGGGTCACCCTGTGTCAGAGTGGACGTGTGACCCTCCAGGTGCAGGTCTGGGAGATTGGGGGTCACCCTGTGTCAGATTGGACGTGTGACCCTCCAGGTGCAGGTCTGGGAGATTGGTGGTCACCCTGTGTCACATTGGACGTGTCACCGCCCCCAAGTGCAAGTCTGGGAGATTGAGGGTCAGCCTGTGTCAGAGTGGACGTGTGACTCCCCCCCCCCCAGGTACAGCTGTGGGAGATTGGGGGTCACCTGTGTCAGATTGGATGTGTGACCCCCCCCAGGTGCAGGTCTGGGAGATTGGGGGGTCATGCTGGGTCAGAGTGGACGTGTGACCCTCCAGGTGCAGGTCTGGGAGATTGGGGGTCACCCTGTGCCAGAGTAGACGTGTGACCCTCCAGGTGCAGGTCTGGGAGATTGGGGTCACCCTGTGTCAGATTGGACCTGTCACCGCCCCCAAGTGCAAGTCTGGGAGATTGGGGTCACCCTGTGTCAGATTGGACCTGTCACCGCCCCCAAGTGCAAGTCTGGGAGATTGAGGGTCAGCCTGTGTCAGAGTGGACGTGTGACACCCCAGGTGCAGGTCTGGGAGATTGGGGGTCACCCTGTGTCAGAGTAGACGTGTGAACCCCAAGTGCTGGTCTGGGAGATTTGGGGTCACCCTGTGTCAGAGTGGACGTGTGACCCTCCAGGTGCAGGTCTGGGAGATTGGGGGTCACCCTGTGTCAGATTGGACGTGTGACCCTCCAGGTGCAGGTCTGGGAGATTGGGGTCACCCTGTGTCAGATTGGACCTGTCACCGCCCCCAGGTGCAGGTGTGGGAGATTGGGGTCACCCTGTGTCAGATTGGACCTGTCACCGCCCCCAAGTGCAAATCTGGGAGATTGAGGGTCAGCCTGTGTCAGAGTGGACGTGTGACCCCCCAGGTGCAGGTCTGGGAGATTGGGGGGGTCATGCTGGGTCAGAGTGGACATGTGACCCTCCAGGTGCAGGTCTGGGAGATTGGGGTCACCCTGTGTCAGATTGGACGTGTCACCGCCCCCAAGTGCAAGTCTGGGAGATTGAGGGTCAGCCTGTGTCAGAGTGGACGTGTGACTCCCCCCCCCCAGTTGCAGGTGTGGGAGATTGGGGGTCACCCTGTGTCAGAGTAGACGTGTGACCCCCCAAGTGCTGGTCTGGGAGATTTGGGGTCACCCTGTGTCAGAGTGGACGTGTTACCGCCCCCAAGTGCAAGTCTGGGAGATTGAGGGTCAGCCTGTGTCAGAGTGGACGTGTGACCCCCCCCAGGTGCAGGTGTGGGAGATTGGGGGTCACCTGTGTCAGATTGGACGTGTCACCACCCCCAAGTGCAAGTCTGGGAGATTGGGGGTCACCCTGTGTCAGAGTAGACGTGTGACCCCCCAAGTGCTGGTCTGGGAGATTTGGGGTCACCCTGTGTTAGATTGGATGTGTGACCCCCCAAGGTGCAGGTCTGGGAGATTGGGGGGTCATGCTGGGTCAGAGTGGACGTGTGACCCTCCAGGTGCAGGTCTGGGAGATTGGGGGGTCATGCTGGGTCAGAGTGGATGTGTGACCCCCAAGTGCTGGTCTGGGAGATTTGGGGTCACCCTGTGTCAGAGTGGACGTGTGACTCTCCAGGTGCAGGTCTGGGAGATTGGGGGTCACCTTGTGTCAGATTGGACCCGTCACCGCCCCCAAGTGGAAGTCTGGGAGATTGAGGGTCAGCCTGTGTCAGAGTGGACGTGTGACCCCCCCAGGTGCAGGTCTGGGAGATTGGGGGGTCATGCTGGGTCAGAGTGGACGTGTGACCCCCCAAGTGGTGGTCTGGGAGATTTGGGGTCACCCTGTGTCAGAGTGGACGTGTGACCCTCCAGGTGCAGGTCTGGGAGATTGGGGGAGTCATGCTGGGTCAGAGTGGACGTGTGACCCTCCAGGTGCAGGTCTGGGAGATTGGGGGTCACCCTGTGTCAGATTGGACGTGTCACCGCCCCCAAGTGCAAGTCTGGGAGATTGAGGGTCAGCCTGTGTCAGAGTGGACGTGTGACCCCCCCCAGGTGCAGGTGTGGGAGATTGGGGGTCACCTGTGTCAGATTGGTCCTGTCACCGCCCCCAAGTGCAGGTCTGGGAGATTGGGGGGTCATGCTGGGTCAGAGTGGACGTGTGACCCCCCAGGTGCAGGTGTGGGAGATTGGGGGTCACCTGTGTCAGATTGGACCTGTCACCCCCCCCAGTGCAGGCTCAGCGTGTGGTCACGTGACTCAGAGTCCCTTGTCCAGGAGCAGAGCTGTATGTCACCATGGTGGGATGGGCCCAGGCCCAGTCCAGCGTCTGACCCCGTCTTCCCTTGTTCTGTCTTGAACGCAGCAGAGTGACTTTTACCCCATCGTGGGGCCGGGGCCCTTCTGGAAGAGGTTTCGGGTGAACTTCTGTGAGTTCACAGAGCTGCTGGTGCACCTGACACACTCCTCGGTGCTGTGTGATGGACACCTCATGGACACGGTGATCTGCATGCTCAGCGGCCTCACCAACTCGGCCGTGCACAGCCTGCGGCACACCAGCTCCCTGGCAGGTCAGATGCTGCACAGGGCCCTGCCCGGGCTCCTGCTGGCTCGGGGGCCGGGAGGGGCCGTGGCTCAGGGGCCACGGACCTGGGGGGCAGGAGCCACGGGACGTGGAGGGCAGGGGCCCGAGGACATGGGGGGCAGGGGCCATGTGACCAGGGGCAGGGAGGCACCGTGGGGGGAGGGGCCATGGGGGCAGGGGCCATGGGACACGAACACAGGCCCAGGGGCCTCAGCCTGTCCCAGGGCTAGTGTCCACACCCGGGCTGCCAGCGTGCTGGCTTGCAGGGGGCAGAGGCTGCTGGGCGGGTGGACACCAGGAGCTGGAGGGGTGCAGAAGCCACAGAGGGACGTTTGCTTCAGGAAGACTGGAAGTTGGTCCTGTTCATCTTCCATGGCAAAGGCCGTGATGGGTGGGCACGGTGTGCAAGGCTGACGTTGCAGAGAGGGTGGGCTCATCAGTTCCCGGGCTGGCCCACCCGGGCGTGTCCTGTCCCTCTGTCCCTACAGGAGCCCCTAGGGCTGGCCCACCTGGGTGTCTCCTGTCCCTGGGCTGTTGTCTTTCTAAGTGACTGTCAATTAAACAAATCGGGTTATTGATCAGCTGTCAGTACCTGGTGTATCTTCTCCTGGAACACACTCTGAGCGGTCAGTGCTGACCACAGGGACTTGGTAGGAGGGTCTGTGTTACAAGTCCTGTGAGTTTTGCATCCTTCCGGAAGGTGCAGTGTCCCTTGACCTCTAGCAGTCTGCGGAGTCATCCTCATACAGAAATGTTGGTAAGGAAGTGTGATCTTTGCAGGGACCTATTAGGAACCATGAAGAAATCCAAAGTTCGAGACGATGCTTTAGTGAGATGTGTCCCACAGGGACTCAGGTCCCGTGTCAGACGGGTCCCTGCAGATTAGGGCTCTCTCGACCTGTGCGTAAGGGTGTCTCAGCCACACAGGGGCTGCGTGTGTCTCGTCCCCACGTCTGGGTCTGCAGGGGACACGGTGTGAATGGTGCCATGTGCCGTCGGAGGGTCCTGCGTGTGAACTCTGACCTTGGACTGCTGGTCCCGAGCCGCCATGTGTCCCGGTCATGGCGAGGCTCCCTCGGGTGTTCGCAGCCTGCTGAGCTGGGGTTGTTCAGCAGAAGCTCGTTTCCCGCCCTGGTCCTGGCCCTGCGTGCCCTCTGAGGACATTTTCCACCTGGTTGAATCCTGCCGGCTCTGGGGCACTGATGTGACCTTGCACCTGGGAAGGTCGCGGGGTGTGTGCACGCCCTGGGGACACTGAGATGTGTTCTTGGGTCTGCATGCATGGTCATCACGTACGTGTGACCATACCCACTCTTGTGACCTAGCAAGGGGCAGGACGCGGCAGGCCCCCCAGCCGCCCCGACCTCCCAGCCCCTTTCACCCCCAGGCCCCCTCTGAGTACTGGCAGAACGGTCACTCTGGTGGGAGGTGGAGCCCAGCGCTGGGGTCACGGCCCTGGGGTCCCAGCCCCAGGGTCACGGCCTGCTCTGCTGGCAGCCATGAAGCTGCTGACGGCGCTGGCCAGCGTGAACCAGGGCATCTGCACAGGCAGGCGCACGGCCCAGCGGCTGTACGAGATCGAGAGCATCACAAAGCTCAAGGGCAGACACAAGTACTACATGGAGCTGTTGGACCAGCGCAGACACCAGGTGCGGGACGGGCCAGCTGGGGTCACCGCGGGGGGGAGGGGGTGCACCGGAGATGGGGGTATGCAGGGGTGAGGACATACTGTGCGCAGGGGGGCAGGGTCCCAGACGGAGGTACTGTGCACAGCGGGGGAGGGTGCACCGATGTGGGGATGCAGGGGTGAGGCAGTCACTGCGCGCGGGGGTGGGGGGAGGGTGCACTGGAGATGGGGGGACGCAGGGGTGAGGCTGTCACTGCGCGGGGGTAGGGGGAGGGTGCACCAGAGATGGGGGGACGCAGGGGTGAGGCTGTCACTGTGCGCGGGGGTAGGGGGAGGGTGCACCAGAGATGGGGGGACGCAGGGGTGAGGCTGTCACTGTGCGCGGGGGTAGGGGGAGGGTGCACCGATGTGGGGACGCAGGGGTGAGGCAGTCACTGTGCGTGGGGGTAGGGGGAGGGTGCACTGGAGATGGGGGGACGCAGGGGTGAGGCTGTCACTGTGCGCAGGGGGGAGGGAGGGTCCACCCTGGAGAGGAGGCAGGGGACCCAGGTGTGAGGACAGCACCTGGTGCAGAGAGGCAGGGAGCATACCTGGGAGTCTGGGCCTGGCCCGCCCCCTTGGCTCCAGGCCCCGCCCCTGGCCCCGCCCCCGCCAGGGCTGCCCCGCAGCTGTGGGTTCCTGCTCCGTCAGCGGGGCGGCTGTGACTCCGTGCGGTAGCGCCTGGTCCCCCAGGCCTTGGGACCATTCTCCGGGGTTAGGGTCTCCCCACAACACGGCAGCAGGCGGGGGCGCAGAAGGCACAGTGTGGGCCCCCAGTCGCTCCACATCCCGGCTCCAGATTCTTAGCTGGGCTCCCTGGGGGGGGTGTCCTCTGGGGACACGCAGGTGGACCCCCACGCCCCTGGCTCAGTCCCATTTCTGTTCTCCCATCATTTGTGGTTTCAGTAAGTTCAAACTGCGATTACTGCGTCCTCTGTGCCCCCCGCGCCCTCTGTGCCCCCCACACCCGCGCCTTGTGTTCCCCACACCCCGCGCCTGTGTCCCCCACACCCCGTGCCCTCTGTGCCTCCCACACCCGCACCCTCTATGCCCCCCACACCCGCACCCTCTGTGCCCCCCACACCCTGCGCCTGTGTCGCCCATACCCCGTGCCCTCTGTGCCCCCCACACCCGCGCCTTCTGTGCCCCCCACACCCCGCGCCTGTGTCCCCCACACCCCGTGCCCTCTGTGCCCCCCACACCCGCGCCTTCTGTGTTCCCCACACCCTGCGCCTTCTGTGCCCCCCACACCCCGCGCCTGTGTCCCCCACACCCCGTGCCCTCTGTGCCCCCCACACCCTGCGCCTTCTGTGCCCCCCACACCCCGCGCCTGTGTCCCCCACACCCCGTGCCCTCTGTGCCCCCCACACCCTGCGCCTTCTGTGCCCCCCACACCCCGCGCCTGTGTCCCCCACACCCCGTGCCCTCTGTGCCCCCCACACCCTGCGCCTTCTGTGCCCCCCACACCCCGCGCCTGTGTCCCCCACACCCCGCACCCTCTGTGCCCCCCACACCCCGTGCCTGTGTTGCCCACACCCCGCGCCCTCTGTGTCCCCCACACCCCGCGCCCTCTGTGCCCCCCACACCCCGCGCCCTCTATGCCCCCCACACCCCGCGCCCTCTGTGCCCCCCACACCCCGCGCCTTCTATGCCCCCCACACCCCACGCCTTGTGTCCCCCACACCCCACGTTTTCTGTGTTCCCCACACCCCGCGCCTGTGTCCTCCACACCCCGTGCCCTCTGTGGCCCCACACCTGTGCCCTCTGTGCCCCCCACACCCCGCGCCTGTGGCCCCCACACCCCGTGCCCTCTGTGCCCCCCACACCCCGTGACCTCTGTGCCCCCACACCCCGCGCCTTCTGTGCCCCCCACACCCTGCGCCTTCTGTGCCCCCCACACCCCGCGCCTGTGTCCCCCACACCCCGTGCCCTCTGTGCCCCCCACACCCGCGCCCTCTGTGCCCCCCACACCCCGCGCCCTCTGTGCCCCCCACACCCCACGCCCTCTGTGACCCCACACCCGCGCCCTCTGTGCCCCCCACACCCCGCGCCCTCTGTGCCCCCCACACCCCACGCCCTCTGTGACCCCACACCCGCGCCCTCTGTGCCCCCCACACCCCGCGCCCTCTGTGCCCCCCACACCCCGCGCCCTCTGTGACCCCACACCCCACGCCCTCTGTGCCCCCCACACCCCGCGCCTTGTGTCCCCCACACCCCGCACCTTCTGTGCCCCGCACACCCCGCGCCCTCTGTGTCCCCCTCACCCCGCGCCTTCTGTGACCCTCCATACCGCACGCCTTCTGTGTCCCCCCCCCGCGGCTTGTGTCCCACTCCCTTGTCCTTCTGTGTCTCCCTCCACGCATTCTGTGTGCCCCCCTGTGCCCTTGTGTCCCCTCCGCACCTTCTGTGTCCCCTCCGCGCCTTCTGTGTCCCCCCGCCTTCTGTATCCCCCCACACCCTCTGTGTCCCCCGCACCCTGTGTCCCTCCTACAACTTCTGTGTCCCCCCTGCGACTTTTGTGTCCCCCCGCGCTTTCTGTGTCCCCCCGCGACTTCTGTGTCCCCCCATGCCCTGTGTCCGCCCCCCGCACCCTCTGTGTCCCCTCACCATGCCCTTTGTCCCCCCATTCATCTGTGTCCCCCCTGCGTCCATCTGTGTCGTCCCCCCCGCCCACGTCCTCTGATCCCCTGCCCACACCTCTGCGCACACAGGAGGTCACGTCTTTGGGGGGCACCTACAGTTCCTGGGCTGCAGAAGCCCTTCCAGAAAGACAGCGCTGCGGGTGTAGGGTTCCCACCCCGCCGGGTTCCTCTGCATGGGAGCAGTCCTCTGCCCCGCCCTGCGCCCTGCCCACTCATCGCCTGCACCCCCTTCACCTCCGCCCCCCACCCTGTGACCCCTTCACCCCTGTCCCCTGCCCTCATCCTGTCACCCCTCACCTCCTGCCCCTCACCCTGCATGCCTCCACCCCTGTGCCCCCTCATCCCAGCACCCCTTCACCCCTGTCCCGAGCCCCACCCATCACTTTGTCCCCACCCCCACCGCGCAGCCCCCCCATCGTCACCCTGCATCCCATCACCCCCACACCTCACCCCTGCCCCTCACCCCCCAATCCTGTGCCCTGCCACTCGCACCGCTTACCTTGTCACCCCTCCGCTCCTGCCCCACTCCCTTCATCCCATCACCTCTTCATCCTCACCCATCCCCCTGTACCCCTTCACCCCCCACTCCTCACCCCATCACCCCTACCCCTTCACCCCGTCACCCCAGCACTCATCCTATCACCTCCAGCCCTCACCCATGACATCTTCACTCCTGCCCCTCAGCCCATTGCCCCACACCCGTCACGCCTTCACCCTGCCCCTCACCCCGCCCCACACCCTATCACCCCTTTACCCTCATCTCACTCGCTCCGCCACCCCATCACCCCCACCCCCTGACCCCATCACTCTATATCCCATCACCACTGCTGGTCACCCCATCACCCCTTCCTCACCGCTCACCCTGTCACCCCTTCGTCCCTTCACTCCCGCCCTTCACCCTGTCATCCCATACCCCTTCACCCCACACCCCTTCATTCCCACCCCTTAAGCTCATCCATCACCCCTTTGCCCCACCCCTCACTCCTTTGCTCCCACCCCTAACCCCCACCCCCACCCTTTCCTTCCCCCCACCCTGCACCCTTCACCCCCCGCTCCTCATCTCCCTGTACCTTCACTGCCCCCTAGCCCCTTCACCTCCATCCCTCATTCCATTGCTCTGTCCCACTTCACCCCTGCCCCCTCCCTTTCACTTTCTTGCCCCCACCCTGCACCCCCTCACCCCACTGCCGGCCCCTTCGCCCCTGCCCTCCAGCCCATGCCCCTTCCCACCCACCCCACGCCCTTTTCCCCCACCCACATCCCTTCACCCCCACACCCCTCACCCTCACCGCTCGCCCCTGCACCCCTGCCCTGTACGTGCACGTGTGTGCATCGACGTGGTGTGGAGGGCACGGGAGGCTCAGATCAGAGCAGGCGGGATGGTCTGCGGCCCTGCGGTGGCAGAACCACCCACGTACAGGACGCAGATGGGCGGCAAGGGGCGACCACCCAGGGGGCCGCATGTGGGCCTCCTGCATGCCTGCCGCAGCTTTGAGGAGCCCGCAGACCCCTGCTTCTGTCCAACACGCCTGTCCTTCTGCTCCTGCAGTTCCAGAACAAGCCAATGGCCATCGACAACATCATCTGTGCGCTCTTTAAGAGGACATTTGTGCCCCGCTACCGGTAAGGGTTAGCCTCGATGCCACGCATCTTCCCGTGTGTCCCCATGACTCGGGCCGTGACCGAGCCTCAGTGTGCGTCTTCCCCGTGTGTCCCCCGTGACCCGGGCCGTGACCAAACCTCAGTCTGTATCTTCCCCGCATGTCCCTGTGACCTGGGTCGTGACCGGGTCTCAGTATGCATCTTCCCCGCGTGTCCCCGTGACCCGGGCCGTGACCGAGCTTCAGTGTGCGTCTTCCCCGCGTGTCCCCGTGACCCGGGCCGTGACCGAGCCTCAGTGTGCATCTTCCCCACATGTCCCCCGTGACCCAGGCCGTGACCGAGCCTCAGTCTGTATCTTCCCGCATGTCTTGTGACTCAGGCCGTGACCAAGCCTCAGTGTGCGTCTTCCCCGCGTGTCCCCGTGACTCGGGCCGTGACCGAGCCTCAGTGTGCGTCTTCCCCGTGTGTCCCCCGTGACCCGGGCCGTGACCAAACCTCAGTCTGTATCTTCCCCGCACGTCCCTGTGACCCGGGCCGTGACTGGGTCTCAGTGTGCGTCTTCCCCGTGTGTCCCCCGTGACCTGGGCCGTGACCAAACCTCAGTCTGTATCTTCCCTGCATGTCCCTGTGACCTGGGTCGTGACCGGGTCTCAGTGTGCATCTTCCCCGCATGTCCCCGTGACCAGGGCCATGACCGAACCTCAGTATGCGTCATCCCTGCGTGTCCCCCGTGACTCGGGCCATGACCGAGCCTCAGTGTGCGTCTTCCCCATGTGTCCCCCGTGACCTGGGCCGTGACCAAACCTCAATCTGTATCTTCCCTGCATGTCCCTGTGACCCGGGCCGTGACCGAGCCTCAGTCTGTATCTTCCTCGCATGTCCCTGTGACCTGGGCCGTGACCGGGTCTCAGTGTGCATCTTCCCCGCGTGTCCCCGTGACTCGGGCCGTGACCGAGCCTCAGTGTGCGTCTTCCCCACGTGTCCCCATGACCCGGGCCGTGACCGAGCCTCAGTCTGTATCTTCCTCACATGTCCCTGTGACTCGGGCTGTGACCGGGTCTCAGTGTGCATCTTCCCTGCGTGTCCCCGTGACTCGGGCTGTGACCGAGCCTCAGTGTGCGTCTTCCCCGCATGTCCCCGTCAACCGGACCATGACCGAGCCTCAGTGTGCGTCTTCCCCGCGTGTCCCCGTGACCCAGGCCGTGACTGAGCCTCAGTGTGCATTTTCCCCGCGTGTCCCCGTGACTCGGGCTGTGACCGAGCCTCATGTGCGTCTTCCCCGCATGTCCCTGTGACTCAGGCCGTGACCGAGCCTCAGTGTGTGTCTTCCCCGCATGTCCCCGTGACCCGGGCCATGACCGAGCCTCAGTGTGCGTCTTCCCCACGTGTCGCCGTGACTCAGGCCGTGACCAAGCCTCAGTGTGCATCTTCCCCACGTGTCCCCGTGACCCGGGCCGTGACCGAGCCTCAGTGTGCGTCTTCCCCGCGTGTCCCCGTGACCCGGGCCATGACCAAGCCTCAGTGTGCGTCTTCCCCACGTGTCCCCGTGACCCGGGCCATGACCGAGCCTCAGTGTGCGTCTTCCCCGTGTGTCCCCCGTGACCTGGGCCATGACCAGACCTCAATCTGTATCTTCCCTGCGTGTCCCTGTGACCCGGGCCGTGACCGAGCCTCAGTCTGTATCTTCCTCGCATGTCCCTGTGACCTGGGCCATGACCGGGTCTCAGTGTGCATCTTCCCCGCGTGTCCCCGTGACTCGGGCCGTGACCGAGCCTCAGTGTGCGTCTTCCCCGCGTGTCCCCGTGACCCGGGCCGTGACCGAGCCTCAATGTGCGTCTTCCCCACGTGTCCCTGTGACTCAGGCCGTGACCGAGCCTCAGTGTGCGTCTTCCCTGCATGTCCCCTGACCCGGGCCATGACCGAGCCTCAGTGTGCGTCTTCCCCACGTGTCCCCGTGACCCGGGCCGTGACCGAGCCTCAGTGTGCGTCTTCCCCACGTGTCGCCGTGACCCGGGCCGTGACCAAGCCTCAGTGTGCGTCTTCCCCACGTGTCCCCGTGACCCGGGCCGTGACCGAGCCTCAGTGTGCGTCTTCCCCGCGTGTCCCCGTGACCCGGGCCATGACCGAGCCTCAGTGTGCGTCTTCCCCACGTGTCCCCGTGACCCGGGCCATGACCGAGCCTCAGTGTGCGTCTTCCCCGTGTGTCCCCCGTGACCTGGGCCATGACCAGACCTCAATCTGTATCTTCCCTGCGTGTCCCTGTGACCCGGGCCGTGACCGAGCCTCAGTCTGTATCTTCCTCGCATGTCCCTGTGACCTGGGCCATGACCGGGTCTCAGTGTGCATCTTCCCCGCGTGTCCCCGTGACTCGGGCCGTGACCGAGCCTCAGTGTGCGTCTTCCCCGCGTGTCCCCGTGAACCGGACCGTGACCGAGCCTCAGTGTGCGTCTTCCCCGCGTGTCCCCGTGACCCGGGCCATGACCGAGCCTCAGTGTGCGTTTTCCCCGCGTGTCCCCGTGACTCGGGCTGTGACCGAGCCTCATGTGCGTCTTCCCCACATGTCCCCTTGACTCAGGCCGTGACCGAGCCTCAGTGTGCGTCTTCCCCACGTGTCCCCCGTGACCCGGGCCGTGACTGAGCCTCAGTCTCTATCTTCCCCGCATGTCTCGTGACTCAGGCCGTGACCGAGCCCCAGTGTGCGTCTTCCCTGCGTGTCCCCGTGACCCGGGCCGTGACCAAGCCTCAATGTGCGTCTTCCCCACGTGTCCCCGTGACTCAGGCCGTGACCGCACCTCAGTGTGCATCTTCCCCGCGTGTCCCCGTGACCCGGGCCGTGACCGAGCCTCAATGTGCGTCTTCCCCACGTGTCCCCGTGACTTGGGCCGTGACCGCACCTCAGTGTGCATCTTCCCCGCGTGTCCCCGTGACCCGGGCTGTGACCGAGCCTCATGTGCGTCTTCCCCACATGTCCCCTTGACTCAGGCCGTGACCGAGCCTCAGTGTGCGTCTTCCCCACGTGTCCCCCGTGACCCGGGCCGTGACTGAGTCTCAGTCTCTATCTTCCCCGCATGTCTCGTGACTCAGGCCGTGACCGAGCCCCAGTGTGCGTCTTCCCTGCGTGTCCCCGTGACCCGGGCCGTGACCGAGCCTCAGTGTGCGTTTTCCCCGCGTGTCCCCATGACTCGGGCCATGACCGAGTCTCATGTGCGTCTTCCCCGCATGTCCCCTTGACTCAGGCCATGACCGAGCCTCAGTGTGCGTCTTCCCCACGTGTCCCCCGTGACCCGGGCCGTGACTGAGCCTCAGTCTCTATCTTCCCCGCATGTCTCGTGACTCAGGCCGTGACCGAGCCCCAGTGTGCGTCTTCCCTGCGTGTCCCCGTGACCCGGGCCGTGACCGAGCCTCAGTGTGCGTTTTCCCCGCGTGTCCCCATGACTCGGGCCATGACCGAGTCTCATGTGCGTCTTCCCCGCATGTCCCCTTGACTCAGGCCATGACCGAGCCTCAGTGTGCGTCTTCCCCACATGTCCCCCATGACCCGAGCCGTGACTGAACCGCAGTCTATATCTTCCCCGCATGTGTTGTGACTCAGGCCGTGACCGAGCCCCAGTGTGCGTCTTCCCTGCATGTCCCCGTGACCCGGGCCGTGACCGAGCCTCAGTGTGCATCTTCCCCACGTGTCCCCGTGACCTGGGCCATGACCGAGCCTCAGTGTGCGTCTTCCCCGGGTGTCCCCGTGACCTGGGCTGTCCCGAGCCTCAGTCTGTATCTTCCTCACATGTCCCTGTGACTCGGGCCATGACCGGGTCTCCGTGTGCATCTTCCCCGTGTGTCCCTGTGACTCGGGCCGTGACCGAGCCTCAGTGTGCGTCTTCCCGCGTGTCCCCGTGACCCGGGCCGTGACCGAGCCTCAGTGTGTGTCTTCTCCACGTGTCCCCGTGACTCAGGCCATGACCAAGCCTCAGTGTGCATCTTCCCCGCGTGTCCCCGTGACCCGGGCCGTGACCGAGCCTCATGTGCGTCTTCCCCACATGTCCCCTTGACTCAGGCCGTGACCGAGCCTCAGTGTGCGTCTTCCCCACGTGTCCCCCGTGACCCGGGCCGTGACTGAGTCTCAGTCTCTATCTTCCCCGCATGTCTCGTGACCCGGGCCGTGACCGAGCCTCAGTGTGCGTTTTCCCCGCGTGTCCCCATGACTCGGGCCATGACCGAGTCTCATGTGCGTCTTCCCCGCATGTCCCCTTGACTCAGGCCATGACCGAGCCTCAGTGTGCGTCTTCCCCACGTGTCCCCCGTGACCCGGGCCGTGACTGAGCCTCAGTCTCTATCTTCCCCGCATGTCTCGTGACTCAGGCCGTGACCGAGCCCCAGTGTGCGTCTTCCCTGCGTGTCCCCGTGACCCGGGCCGTGACCGAGCCTCAGTGTGCGTTTTCCCCGCGTGTCCCCATGACTCGGGCCATGACCGAGTCTCATGTGCGTCTTCCCCGCATGTCCCCTTGACTCAGGCCATGACCGAGCCTCAGTGTGCGTCTTCCCCACATGTCCCCCATGACCCGAGCCGTGACTGAACCGCAGTCTATATCTTCCCCGCATGTGTTGTGACTCAGGCCGTGACCGAGCCCCAGTGTGCGTCTTCCCTGCATGTCCCCGTGACCCGGGCCGTGACCGAGCCTCAGTGTGCATCTTCCCCACGTGTCCCCGTGACCTGGGCCATGACCGAGCCTCAGTGTGCGTCTTCCCCGCGTGTCCCCGTGACCTGGGCTGTCCCGAGCCTCAGTCTGTATCTTCCTCACATGTCCCTGTGACTCGGGCCATGACCGGGTCTCCGTGTGCATCTTCCCCGTGTGTCCCTGTGACTCGGGCCGTGACCGAGCCTCAGTGTGCGTCTTCCCGCGTGTCCCCGTGACCCGGGCCGTGACCGAGCCTCAGTGTGTGTCTTCTCCACGTGTCCCCGTGACTCAGGCCATGACCAAGCCTCAGTGTGCATCTTCCCCGCGTGTCCCCGTGACCCGGGCCGTGACCGAGCCTCATGTGCGTCTTCCCCACGTGTCCCCCGTGACCCAGGCCGTGACTGAGCCTCAGTCCGTATCTTCCCCGCATGTCTTTGTGACTCAGGCCGTGACCGAGCCTCATGTGCGTCTTCCCCGCGTGTCGCTGTGTCTCAGGCTGTCTTAGCCTCACTCAGCATTGCGTTGACACGTGCACCCCACTGTGCTGAAGACATTTCCTGGCTCTTGGGTGACAGTCTTGCTTCGTTTGTCAGTGACATCAGCTCGGACATCCGTGTGATCTGTATGGGGGAGCTCGGCTGCTGGATCAGGCTGTATCCGGACATGTTCCTGGACAACAACTACTTGAAGTACATCGGCTGGATGCTGTACGACAAGGTACGTGTGCCCTGCTGGTCTGCCGCCTCCACTGGGGGGCCCACAGGTGTGTTGTGTTGTCTGGCTCGTTCACGGAGCAAGCACGTGTCTCCCGGACAGTTTTTCATGAGTCCAGCTTGAGAAGGAGGTTTTCCACAAAGCAACAGTTTTGTAGCTGTCCTCGCCGTGGGGTGACAGAGGGTTCAGGCTGTAGGGGCTCACCTGTCCCCTGGAGAAATGGGGATGTGGCCCTCCTTCGTGTCTGCCCCCCAGCACAGGGTTTGCATCTGGGTCCCTAGCTTAGATAATGGGGCAGGCATGGCGTGCTGTGACCCTCGGGGGCAGGGTCGGCTGTCTGTAGTCCTAGGCTGCCCACCCAGTCCACCCTGTCCATCTGCTGCCTGCTCTCAGACTGGGAGACACGCCCACAGTCCTGAGGCTGCCTGACAGGGAATCCTAAGCACGCGCCTGCTCCGGGTTAGTAGCTCTGAATCCTGCACGTTCACATCCCCAGCAGTGCAGACGTGTGTGGGGGACACCCGCAGCTGCCAACGTTGGGCGGTGTTTCTCCCCCGTCACAGACGTAAATGAGCAAAAGTCAGTTCTTCTGAATAGATGCTCTCTGTGTTAGAACTAAACGTGATGAAGCCTTAAGGATTGTCTGTGATGACCCCGTGGCTGTGTTTCATGTTTCTGGAGCTGATGGTCCTGTTTTGTCCTCCTCCTCCTCTGGCCTCCTGAGCTGGGGCTCTTGCCTTGTGGGGGGAAGCAGGTGTGTGGGCATGTGCGCGTGGGGGAAGCAGGCAGGTGTGCGGGGGGTAGAAGCAGGCAGGTGTGCGGCGGGGTGAAGTGGGCAGGTGTGGGGGGGAAGCGGGCAGGTGTGCGGCAGGGTGAAGCGGGCGGCTGTGCGGCAGGGTGAAGCGGGCAGGTGTGTGGGGGGAAGCGGGCAGGTGTGTGGGGTGAAGCGGGCGGCTGTGCGGCAGGGTGAAGCGGGCAGGTGTGTGGGGGGAAGCGGGCAGGTGTGTGGGGTGAAGCGGGCCGGTGTGTGGCGGGGTGAAGCGGGCAGGTGTGCGGCGGGGTGAAGCAGGCAGGTGTGTGGGGGGAATCGGGCAGGTGTGTGGGGTGAAGCGGGCAGGTGTGCGGCGGGGGAAGCGGGCAGGTGTGTGGGGGGAATCAGGCAGGTGTGTGGGGGGAAGCGGGCAGGTGTGGGGAGGGATCTCTGGGCGGTGCATGCACTGCTCTGTGTGCTTGTTGCAGGCGAGGCCCCAAACGAGTGTCTGCGTCGTCTTGGGTTTTCCCAGCTTGGTGGCTTATTCTGCGTTAGGTCGCACGGCACATTTGCTTCGGCGTGCTACCGGCGATCAGTGTGCCTGGCAGGGCAGCCGTCGGTCATGCGTGGTGACGGGTCTTGGGTCGTGAAGACGGGGGTTCTTTGCTGCAGGGCAGGGGAGGGGGCCTGGAACGTTGAGCCGTTGCTTGGTGTGCTGTGTGGGCCCCGTGGCGGAACACCACCAGCAGGGGCTCGCGATCTGCACACGCTCACTGCTCTCACGGCTGGGCTCTGCCGTCCTAGGCCAAGGTGCCGGCAGACGCGAGTGTGCAGAGGATTCTCTGTCCTGCTTCACGGAGGGCATCTCCTCGCCGGGTCCTCACACAGAAAAGGGGGCGAGGGGCTCCGCAGATCTCACCCTACCCCTAACCCTTATGACCCCATCACCTCCCAGAGCTCCGCCTCCACATACCATCCCCTTGGGGGGTTAGGACTTAACATATGGATTTTGGGGGTCACAGACATCGGTCTGGAGCAGACTTCTCTGCTTTTTCTTTGTGGGGGGAGCACAGCTGGCTTAGTGCACCAACGACAAGCATAGAGACTTTCCTGGGGCCTCGGCCAAGGGAACCCATGTGTGGAGGGAGGAGGCCGGTCGGGGCACCAGTTGCGGCCAATGTGGGGCCTGCAGGGGTCCGATGAGGGTGGCCGTCCCAGCAATGTGGGGCGTGTAGTGGCTGCCGCGATGCTCCCTGCTGCCCGGGGACCTGGGATGCAGAGGACGGCTTCCCTCCTGTCCCGACCCCGCTGCGCTCTGCTCTGCCTGGGGCGTGGTGACAGACCTCCGGGAGGGCAGTGTGACGCCTTTCAGAGCCTGGGAGTGGCTGTCGCAACGTCCCCTGCAGGGACTGAGCCCTGAGTGCAGAGGACGTGGGCTCTCCCTACGGGGAGCCGCCCGGTGCACCCCTGCAGGCCGGCCAGCATTGAGCAGCTTCACCCCACCTTGTGCCCCGTGTCTGGCCCTTGGCCTGTGTCCTGCTTTGGACTCTGCTTCTTTATTCCCTGAAACAATCCCTCAGGGACTCACTTGGTTTTCTGCAGAGAAGGAAGTGGGGCGTAGAGAGGTCGCGTGCCTGCCCTCCACTTTGGATTTGGTGGTCCGGGTGCATGTTTCTTTTCTTTTAAGATTTTACTTACTTCAGAGAGAGAGAGAACGTGTGCGCACACATGAGCGGGGGGCGGGGTGCAGGGGCAGAGGGATAATCAGGCTGTGCAGGGAACCCAGCGAAGGGCTCAATCCCAGGACTCCGGGATCATGACCTGAGCCAAAGGCAGATGCTTCACTGACTGAGCCACCCAGGCGCCCCCCGGGTACATTTTTCTGAATCAGGGTGCCTCTGTATTCACTCACACAAAGGACACTGATGCTGAACGAGATTTCTCAGAAGATAAAACGTTGGTAACTCCATGGGTACAAATGCATGTTTTCTCTGCTTAGAAGAAAAATTTTGCAGGGGCGCCTGGCTGGGTCACTCAGTGGAAGGTGGGACTGTTGATCTTGGGGTCCTGAGTTCGAGCACCGTGTTGGGCCTGGAGCCTTAGAAAAATAAAAAACTACAATACGGATGCCCAGGGCTGTTTTAGCTGTGGGCATTGAATTAGTCAGCTTGAGTGGCCATAAAAGACATCCCAGAGGGGGCAGCTCAGACAACACACATTTATTCCTCCCAGTTCTGGAGGCTGGGAGTGAGATCCAATTGGGCCGAGGCTGGGAGTGTGAGATCCAGGAGGAGCCGAGGCTGGGAGTCTGAGATCCAGGCAGGGCTGGAGGCTGGGAGTCTGAGATCCAGGAGGGGCTGAGGCTGGGAGTGTGAGATCCAGGAGGGGCCGAGGCTGGGAGTGCGAGATCCAGATGGGTCTGGAGGCTGGGAGTCTGAGATCCAGGAGGGGCTGAGGCTGGGAGTGTGAGATCCAGGAGGGGCCGAGGCTGGGAGTGCGAGATCCAGATGGGTCTGGAGGCTGGGAGTCTGAGATCCAAGTGGGGCTGGAGGCTGGGAGTCTGAGATCCAGGAGGGGCTGAGGCTGGGAGTCTGAGATCCAGATGGGTCTGGAGGCTGGGAGTGTGAGATCCAGGAGGGGCGGAGTGTGAGATCCAGGAGGGGCGGAGGCTGAGAGTCTGAGATCCAGGCATTCCGAGGCTGGGAGTGTGAGATCCAGGTGGGGCTGGAGGCTGGGAGTGTGAGATCCAGGCGGGGCCAAGGGTGGGAGTCTGAGATCCAGGCAGGGCTGAGGTTGGTTCCTCCTGAGGCCTCTCTCCTTGGCATGTGGACCCCGTCTTCTCCCCGTGTCCTCACGTGGTTGTCTCTGTGGATATCTGTGCCGTCATCCCCTCTTGTAAGGACACCAATCCTATGGGATCAGGCCCACCCTTGTGACCTCATTTTACAACTTAATCCCCTCTTTAAAGACCCCACCTCCCAATACGGCCCCATCCTGAGGTCCTGGGGGCAAGGGTTTCAACATGTGACTTTGGGATGCACAGTTCAGACCCCAGCAGGCGTATTTCAAGACTGTGCGGGGGTTGTAAAGCCCCATGTCCCACCTAGAACGTTTTAGGCTGAGGGCTGACCTGCGCTGTCATGGACAGAGGCATTTCTGACGAGAGTCTGTGGTGGGGAGCTGCCCTTCCGTGGTAACCGGACCCCGTTCCTCTGTCCCGAAGGACGCGAGTGTGCGGATGAAGTGCATCCTGGCACTGAAGGCACTCTATGAGAAAAGAGAGTCGGCTATGAAGTTGGGCCTTTTCTTCTATAAGTTCAAGGTGAGTGAGATTTTGCGTGTCGTTGCTGCGCCCCCCGTGGCCGGTGCCCGGTGTCCACGTACCCAAGCATCTCGGGGGATGTGTGGAAGTGGGGCTGTGTCCAGCAGCTGCCGGCTGGCCTAGAGTGCTGGCCACGTCTCAGCCCGGTGCTCGGGGCTGTTGTCCTGCAGAAGATGAACTGGAAGCTTCTCTGGGTGTCCGAGCCCAGGGCCCAGCTGCCCGCGCTTCACGGCCCGCCGGGTGACGTGGACCCCCGCAGCGGGGTGCTCTGTGTGCAGGGCTGAGGTTGGAGCGTGTGCACAGCCCCAGTGGGCCAGTGGGGGTGCTGACCTCAAGCTTGTGGTGCAGGAGCTGGCAGGGTCAGCAGCGCTGACCTGTTGGAGGAGCAGCTGGGGCCGTTGATCTCCAGGGTCCCCTCGCAGAGGTTCAGAGCTGCTCCGGACTGTGGGTCGGTAGTAGGCTGCACGGGACAGTGCGGGAGTGCAGCTCGTGGTGCACTGGTACCCAGTTTGTTCCTGAGTTCGGGGGCCACGCCGTCACCCAGGGCGCTGTCGCGAGACCCCGCTGCCCATTCTGGAGGACCCCCAACCATCGCCCAGTCGAGCACTCCAACCCGGGACCCGTGGCTGGAGGGGAGCAGGGGTCGGGCCACGGAGGTGCCCGGTGAACGTGGAGGGCCAGCCTGTGTGGCAGGGGCCACCCGGTGGGGGTCGTCTCTTCCTTGGGGGTGTGGGGGAGAACCCAGCGTTCCTCGACCGTGTCAGGGTCCCCAGCGGGGTTGAGCAGGAAAGCAGTGAGGCCGGACGGCCAGGAGCCACGCATGCCCATGTATGTATAGAAGTCTTCCCTGACCCGGGGGCATTCCCGGGACGCGGAGACCCCCAGAAGAGTGATTTCACGCCTGAGGAAGAGTGGGCACCAGGGAAAGACGGGAGCACAGTCCTCTGTACTGTCTGGGGGCTCAGGATGCGCCTTTCCCTCGGGTGCAGGGAGGCCCCCGCCATGAGGGTGAGGGGCTGTTGCAGGCGGCCCTCCCACACCTCCCGCCATTTCTCAGACCCTTGCACCCTGGAACACTGCACTGTGCAAGGGGCCGAGCTGGGGGCAGCACGCCCTGGCCCTGTCAGGGCGCAGTTGTGTCCAGGGGGGCAGAAGCTCCCGGTCCTGGTTTTGTGAGCCCCGTGAGATGATGAGTGGCAGCATTTGGGGATGGGGTCCCACATCCGGCAGCTCTGGGGACGGGGTCTCACGTCAGGCGGCCCTGGGGACGACCATGTGCCCTGCCCTGTGGTCCCAACTTCCACGTGGTGATTCCCACTGTCTCTGGGAAAAGTAAAGTCCACATGTAGAGAGGAGTGAGGGGAGCTTGAAAGCCCAGTGGCGGACACCCCGGTGTCCACAGGGGCATGGAGGGCTTCCTCGGGGTGGTGGTGAATCCCCACGGAGGGGGACGGTGTGGTGCCAACCCCGTGTGCCAGCCAGCCGGGACCCATGGCCCGTTTCTGGGAGAGAGGTTGTGCAGAGTCGTCCACCACCCCTCGTAGGAAAGAAGCACTATGTAGGCTTGTCCTCTGGATGGCCACACGTGTGTGGAGCTCACACCCCCAGACCGGCAGGGATATGGACCGTGGCCTTTGGGCGACTGTGCTCGGCCAGCAGCGCAGGTGGAGGCAGCCGCAGAGTGCTTCCCTGCAGCCCCGAGGGTCCCAGGCTTCTGCTTCCCGTTTCTGCACACTTCCCTCTCACGGTCCATCCACACCAGCGGTGACAGCTGGGGACACTAGGAAAGGCTGGGGACGCTTGGGTGCTAGCGCCCGTGGGGGAGGGGGTGCTGCCTTCTGAGGGCACCAACGACGTAGCTGGATGCCCCATCCCTCGAGGGGACGACCCAGCCCCACATCCTCGGTACTGCTGTGGGGAGAGAACAAAGGCGGGGCTGTAAGTCCGGGGGGCGCGGGGCCCCGGCCGTGGGGTGGGGGTGGGAGAGGGCGCTGCTGGCGTCGTGCGCGTCGGCCTCGGGGGTGATGGTGCCAGGCTGCCAGTCGGCTGCTGACGTGGGGGTGCCTCGATGGGGCAGTCCGTCCTGTGCGGCAGCGGGGGGGCGTGGTGCCCTGGGGGGTGCCCTTCCCTGCTGGAGGTCCTCGCGCCCATGCCGCATCTGGTGTCACGCAGACGGTGCTGGAACGAAGCCTGTTCGTTTTGTGATCTTTCTTCCTAGAAACGAATCCTGTCGATGACGCAGGACAGGCAGCCGGAAATCACGTCCGAGTGCATGCAGCTCCTGAGGCTCATATCCGAGTAAGTCGCCGTGCCTGTGCTGCGCGCCCGCCGGCTGGAGGTCCCCGCGCCCGTGCCGCGCGCTTCCCCGCCGGCTGGAGGTCCCCGCGCCCGTGCCGCGCGCTTCCCCGCCGGCTGGAGGTCCCCGCGCCCGTGCCGCGCGCTTCCCCGCCGGCTGGAGGTCCCCGCGCCCGTGCCGCGCGCTTCCCCGCCGGCTGGAGGTCCCCGCGCCCGTGCCGCGCGCTTCCCCGCCGGCTGGAGGTCCCCGCGCCCGTGCCGCGCGCTTCCCCGCTGGAGGTCCCTGCACCCCTGCGGCGCGCCCGCCGGCTGTAAGTACGCACGTGCGGCGTGCGCGCCGGCTGGAGGTCCCCGCGCCCGTGCCGCGGGCCCGCGGGGTGTAAGTACTCACGCCCGTGCGTGTGTCCACTGGCTGGGGGCGGGAGGGCACGTGTGCCACCACGTGTGCTGGAGGCGGACAGTGGGGGGGTGTGGTCATGCGGGCAAAGGCGCGTGTTCGGCTAAGGAAGGCACGGCAAGCGTCCGCTCTTGTGTTCGGGTATGCTTGCGCTCCTGCTGGGTTTCGGAACTCTGCCGCCGACATCCTTGCTCGCGATCAACCGCAGGGGCTCGTTGGATCGCCTGAGAGGTCCTGGAGCTCAGGGGTTTGGGGGTTCTCTCTGGGGTCCCGGCCTCTCCGTCAGCTGCTGGCCCTGTGTCGGGCTCCGAGGGGCTAGTGTTAGGAGGTGGCTACGATCGGCTGGGCCTGCAGAACGTTCTGGAAGCTCCTGGGTCCCAGTAGCACTTAGGCTGGGACGTAGGGCTCTTGTTCCCCTGGACGTGCCCCGACTGCAGGATGCAGCCTCCTTGCTCACTGAGTCAGGTGTCCTATGTTGATGTGAGGCGGCACTGGAATAGGGGACACGGGGACACGACCTCCTGCTCGGCCCCTGTGCGAAGACACTGGGGAGGGTGCTGTGGGGACGTCTTGTACCCCAGAGGCTGGGTGCCTGCCCGTGGTGCCATCTGTCTGCCCCGTGCTGGGGACAGAGCGGGCCCAGGTGGGCATTGGACCCTCTCACGGCTCTGCATCCGGCGCAGCCCAGATGGATACTGTTGCAGCTGGGGACCGGGCTCCAGGCTTCCTCCGTGCTGTGCTGTGGTCCCGTGAGTGGCCGGCGCTGCTGGCAGCTGGCCCGATGCCCACAGCCAGGAGCAGTGGGTGGGTGATACGCTGACATATTATAAAATGGAGCCGTCTGGACAGAGTGCACACAGGCACTGTGACCCGGGTTGGGGACCAGGTGCGGGAATGTGTGTCTACTGGGGCCTTGGTGCCCACCACTGTCCCGAGCACAGTGCAGGGTGCACTCGGGGCCGTGAGCCCCCTGACAGCAACGCAGAGAAGCTCTTACCTGTGTGGCTCCTGACACATGAGTACAAGACACCTGGGCAGGGCCGTGAGGTCCCCATCTAGTCCTCCGGCTGCCACCCCCAGCGGACCCCGGGACGCACCTGGAGTTGGTGGCAGGAGGGAGGGTGCTCGCACGTGGAGCGAGAAGGTGCTGGAAGAACCGGATGGAGGATTTGGGTCCCGGGCCGCAGGGTTGCCGTGGATGTGGTGCCGCGACCACCGGGTGTCTCACGCCCACGCGGGGTCTCCGCTGTGCGCAGACCACGTTCTGAGGCGGCTTCGCTCTGTCTCACGTGCTTGGGCTCTGAGTGGCCCTGTCTGAGATCTGTGTCCTGCAGATGCCGTGTCCTTCAGGGGCACTGTGGGCCTGGCTGTGGGGGCCCCTGCAGCCTGGGGTCGTGGCCTCTGCCTCCTGCCCTGTGCAGGCTGGGTGGCCCAGGGTAGCTGCATGTCCTGCTCACTGGTGTTCCCATGGCGGCCGTGTCCGTCGGGGCCCTCCGGAGAGACGGACCCACCAGGAGGCGTGTGGACACGCGCATCTAGAAGCAGGCTCGTTGTGGGCGTTGGCTCAGGATGACAGAGGTGGGGACGTCCCAGGACGTGTGTCTGCCAGCTGGCTGCAGCCCACGGTGAGGCTCATGGGCAGCCGGGCGGATGGGCCTGGACCGTGGCAGGTGGCCGTGGGTCACGCGGAGTGGGCTCCTTGACTTAAGCTGTCCAGCGCGTGAGTGGCTCCCTCCCATCGCTGAGGGTCTGAGATGGGCCGGAGGTCGGCAGCTGCCCACTTTTGTAAGGAAGTGACAACAGGTGAAGCCTTGTGTCAACCTGACTGCTCACAGTGGGGGTGGGGTGCAGCTTACCCGTGATTCTGGAGAGTCTGTGAGGAGTTCCCTGCGTAGACTGACATGCGGGCACAGCACATCGTCCTGCCCGGTGGGGTGGGCCTTGTCTAATCTGTTGAAGGCCCGTATGACACCAGGGGGAGGAAGTGTGTGTTCGCCGGGCCTGACTCCCAGCGGGACACCCATCCTCTTGGCTGTCCTGCTCCCATGCCTCGCGGCTACATCTCTGCCAGCACCTCGTGGGCTTTGTGCAGCGAAGCGCCAGGTCCTGGGGCCACACCTTGGCCTGAGTCCCCAGGTGGGCGCAGAACCGTGTGGCTTTGGGGCTTGAGGCCTGGACAGGGCTGACGTGGACCCGCTGGATATGCTCCTTGCCATGTGCAGTGGCCGAGCGTGAATGCAGGTGTCCCACTCACTTATCTGGGGCCTCCCCACGTCCTTGGGGGTCTCCCACCTTCATTCGAACCCCAGGCAGGGTGGCACGTAGGCCACCTGCCCTGGTTTCTGCTGGTTTTGGGGATGCCCACGTGGCCACATTGGCAGATTGCTCCACTGTGATGTGGATGCTCTGTCACACGTGGACACAGTGGATGCATTTGGACAAAGGGTCACGCTGGTGATGTCCCCCCACATGCTGTCAGTGGTGTCCCTCACCCGAATCCCCCTACTGCTCCCACCGTGGGTGCCCGTGGACATCTGCTGCCCCTCCTGTGTGCCCCTGCATGGCCACCTGCTTAGAGTCCGGAGCGCCGCTCCTGGGGGTGGAGGGTTGGGCAGGGTTGGGCTGACAGGTGCCCCAGGTGCACACGCGGGAGAGGACAGAGTGCTTTTCCCCTAATTTGGGGCTCACGGGTGGCTAGAGGGGAAGGAACCAACTCTAACCCTGGAGGCCCTGTGGAGGGCAGGCCTTCCCGGGATCCTGCTCACCTGGCCTCAGCTCACGTGGCATCTTCTCATGTGGGCTCAGCTCAAATCCTGGGACGTGTGCTGCCCTGGGTGAGCTCAGACTGGTCGGAATTTGAGGGGGCCACATCTAGGGGAAGCCGAGGTTGGGGCCATCGGCCCAACAAAGAATCTCAGTTTACTCTTGGGGACGGGCGTGTGTGGCCAAGCCCCGTGCGCACAGCTCTGTGTGGAAAAGCCCCGTGTACAGGGGCCCTGGGCTCACGAGTATCTCCCCCCAGGCACTACGTGGGCGTGTTCTCCGCCATGGAATACGTCTTCCTGTTCCAGTTTGTGTACGCGGCCTACAGGCCCATGGCGACAGCCGCGGGCGAGCTCATCTGTAAGAGGTAAGGCGGGTGCCTGGCCACCCTGGGGCCCCTGATGGGGTCTCCAGGGCTGTGATGTTGAAGTGGGGTCCCATGTCCCGTGTCCCACATCCCACCAGCTGCAGATGTGCACATGGAGAGTGGGGGGCAGGAGGAGGCCCCAGGACCCCCAAGAACAGCAGGGCCCACGACCAGGGGGTTGTATAGGACGGCAGGTGTTGGGCCCTGAGGGACAGAACAGGATGGACACGAGCACCACTTGGAAGGACATGCTGACCCAGAGTCTGGTAAGCGTGTGACTGGGAGCAGACTGACTTGGTCTGTGTTACAGGCATGTCCACATGTGGATTGATTTGAGGAGGTGGTGGTGGCCCCCTGCCCCTGAGATCCCCTAAGGCCCTCTGAGGTCCTCTGAGTCCCCTGAGGCCCATGCCCCTGAAGTCCCCTGAGGTCCCCTGAGATCCTCTGAGTCCCCTGAAGCCCCATGACCCTGAGGTCCCCTGAAGCCCCCTGAGATCCTCTGAGGTCCCCTGAGGCCCCTGAGGCCCCATGAAGCCCCCTGCTCCTGAGGTCCCTGAGGTCACCTAAGGCCCTCTCAGGCCCTCTGAAGCCCGCTGAGATCCTCTGAGTCCCCTGAAGCCCCTGCCCCTGAGGTCCCTGAGGCCCCCTGAGGCCCCCCTGAGGCCCCCTGAGGGTCTCCTGAGGGCCCCTGAGGCCCCCTGAGGGTCTCCTGAGGGCCCCTGAGGCCCCCTGAAGCCTCCTGCTCCTGAGGGCCCCTAAGGCCCTCTGAGGTCCTCTGAGTCCCCTGAAGCCCCCTGAGGTCCTCTGAGGTCCCTGAGGCCCCTGAGGCCCCCTGAAGCCCCCTGCTCCTGAGGGCCCCTAAGGCCCTCTGACGTCCTCTGAGTCCCCTGAAGCCCCCTGAGGTCCTCTGAGGTCCCTGAGGCCCCTGAGGCCCCCTGAAGCCCCCTGCTCCTGAGGTCCCTGAGGTCCCCTAAGGCCCTCTCAGGTCCTCTGAAGCCCCCTGAGATCCTCTGAGTCCCCTGAAGCCCCAGGACCCTGAGGTCCCCTGAGGCCCCCTGAGGGTCTCCTGAGGGCCCCTGAGGCCCCCTGAAGCCCCCTGCTCCTGAGGGCCCCTCCTGGGCCATCTGGCTGTCTTGCCCTCACTGACGGGTCTGTGTTCAGGTAAAGTTCCCCATTCTCGGCTTCTCTGGGGGTTTGAGGTGCAGCGACTGGGGACAGTCTGGTGGTTGGTTCCCTCCCCAGTGTTGGCCTGGGCTGACAGTCAGCTCGGACAGACAGAAGTCAGTTCTAGAACTCTCCTCCGTGGTCTGTGTCCCGCCCCCATGGCTTCCTGGTAGTCCTGCTCCCCAGGTCTCTGTGTGGCGAGTGTGTGCAGACATGCATGCTGGAGTGTGGGTCGGCCTGGCCCCACAGGACCTGGGAGCCCAGCCAGGTGCACAGGGTCCCCCGCTCCAGGCCGACGTCGGGGTCACTTTCTCTGATCTCCCTAGGCTCCTGGCCCCTCCACCCCACGAAGGTTTCTTTGGTCAAGAGCCCCCTGATGAGTTTGATAGAAATCTCCAGAACATGAAGACGCTTATCGACTTCTACCTGCAGGGCGAGGTGAGGGCGTGGCCGTGTGGGGTCCGGGGACAGGATGTCCGAGCCACGTGAAGGACCTGGACTCGTGTCCCGTGCCCTGCACCCCATGTTCCATGCCATGTCCTATGTCCCATGCCCGCATCCCATGTTGGGCTGGAAAGGGGCTTGGTTCCTGTGTGAACAACACTTGCTATGGGCACGTGGGAGTCACATCTCTGGGTTGGTGTTCTCATGTGTCTATATGTGTCCACACATGGGAGGGTTGGGAAGGGGGCCCTTCCTGCCTGTGTCATTACCTGACCTCCCCACCCCGTGTCGTCATCCCGTGTCCTCCCCGCCCCGTGTCGTCATCCCGTGTCCTCCCCGCCCCGTGTCATGGCCGTGTCCTCTCCACCCCGTGTCGTCGTCCCGTGTCCTCCCCGCCCCATGTCATGGCCGTGTCCTCTCCACCCTGTGTTGTCATCCCGTGTCCTCCCCGCCCCGTGTCATGGCCGTGTCCTCTCCACCCCGTGTCGTCGTCCCATGTCCTCCCCGCTCCATGTCATGGCCGTGTTCTCTCCACCCCGTGTCGTCGTCCCGTGTCCTCCCCGCCCCGTGTCATCGCCGTGTCCTCTCCGCTCCATGTCATGGCCGTGTCCTCTCCGCCCCGTGTCATCATCCCGTGTCCTCCCCGCCCCATGTCATCTCCGTGTCCTCTCCACCCCGTGTCGTCGTCCCGTGTCCTCCCTGCCCCGTGTCATCGCCGTGTCCTCCCTGCCCCGTGTCGTCGTCCCATGTCCTCCCCGCCCCATGTCATCGCTGTGTCCTCCTCGCCCCGTGTCCTCCCCGTGTCATGGCCGTGTCCTCCCCGCCCCGTGTCGTCATCCTGTGTCCTCCCCGCCCCGTGTCATGGCCGTGTCCTCTCCACCCCGTGTCGTCATCCCGTGTCCTCCCCGCCCCGTGTCATGGCCGTGTCCTCCCCGCCCCGTGTCGTTGTCCCGTGTCCTCCCCGCCCCGTGTCATGGCTGTGTCCTCTCTGCCCCGTGTCATGGCCGTGTCCTCTCCACCCCGTGTCGTCGTCCCATGTCATGGCTGTGTCCTCCCCCCCCCATGTCATCATCCCATGTCCTCCCCGCCCCGTGTCATGGCTGTGTCCTCCCCGCCCCGTGTCGTCATCCCGTGTCCTCCCCGCCCTGTGTCATGGCCGTGTCCTCTCCACCCCGTGTCGTCGTCCCGTGTCCTCCCCGTCCCGTGTCATCACGTGTCCTCCTTTCTCATTCTTACCTCACATGTCTGGCACATCCCTATCAGTTCCACAGACATGTCCCGTACCTGGTGGACGGCCTGTGGGAGGCAGCGCCCGCCCTGGTCCGGAACTGGGAGTGCATGACGGCCCTGCTGCTGGAGCCACGTGGCGGGCGCCAAGGTGAGCGTGGCCAGAAGCCTGCTCTGAGTCGTGGACCAAGGCCATGATCCTGCTGGCCTCCCTGCCGTGCCTGCCAGGCCCACCATCCCCCACCCCATGTCCCACTGTTCCCGCCGTTCCTGCCGTTCCCCCCATCTTCCCATCCCCCCATGTCCTGCCATCCTCCCCATGTCCCGCTGTCCTCCGTGTCTTGCCATCTCCCTGTATTCTGCTGTCCCCTTGTGTCCTACCATCCCCATTTTCCCCCATGTCCTGCCATACCCGTGTCCCACTGTCCCCATTCCGTGTCCCATTGTCCCCGTGTCTTGCTCTCTCCATGTCCCACTGTCCCCATGTCCTGCTCTCCCCTTCCACCATGTCCCACTTTCCCCATGTCCCACTGTCCCCGTGTCTTGTTGTCCCCATGTCCCACTGTCTCCGTGTCCCACTGTCTCCATCTGCCATGTCCCACTGTCCCCATGTCCCGCTGTCCCCGTGACTTGCTGTCCCCATGTCCCACTGTCCCTGTGTCCCCGTCCCCATCCATGTCCCACTCTGCCCTGTCCCCATCCATGTCCCACTGTCCCCATCCCCGTGTCCCACTGTCCCCGTGTCTTGCTGTCTGTGTCCCACTGTCCCCGTGTCCCACTGTCCCCGTGTCTTGCTGCCCCATGTCCCACTGTCCCCATGTCCCACTGTCCCCATCCCCCGTGTCCCACTGTTCCCGTGTCTTGCTGTCCCTGTGTCTCACTGTCCCCATGTCCCGCTATCCCCATCCCGTGTCTCACTGTCCCCGTCTTGCTGTCCCCATGTCCCACTCTCCCTGTGTCCTGTTGTCCCCATGTCTTGCTGTTCCCGTCCCACAGTCCCTGTGTCCCACTGTCCCCCTGTCCCACTGTCCCCATCCACCATGTCCCACTGTCCCCGTGTCCCACTGTCCCCATCCATGTCCCACTGTCCGTGTCCCACTGTCCCCGTGCTCTGCTGTCCCCGTGTCCTACTCTCCCCGTGTTCTGCTGTCCCCCCATGTCCCATTCTCTGTCCCGTTGTCCCCGTCCTCTGTGTCCCACCGTCCCCATGTCCTGCGATCCCCCTCGTGACCGACTGTCCCTGTCCTGTTTCCTGCTGTCCCCCACCTTGTGTCCCACTGTCCCTGTCCTGTGTCCCACCATCCCCCATCTTCCCCTGGCCTGTCATCCCTGCTGTCCCCCGCCGTCCTGCCAGGTGTCTGCCCACGTTATCCGTGACGCCGGTTGGCAGTATGTGGTGCAAGGAGGTCCGTCAATGCCTCCTGTGTTGTGTTTGCTCCTTGAGGGGTTGGTTGGGGGGACGAGCACATGCCTCGCTTTCCTGGGGTGAGAGGTTCTCAGGTCTTGAGGGTACGGTTCACAGGTCTCTAGTTGGGGGTCCACAGGACGAGGGCCACAGGCTGCTTTCCTGTAAGAGGATCAGTCTGGGAGCTGCTGAAGCCCAAAGCCTGGGCCCCACAGTTGGGGTGAATGAGCCCCCAGCAGCTGGAACCCCTTCCCCCAACCCTCTGAGACCCTGCCCCCCACAAGACACCACTCCCAGGGAGATGGCTCCTCCTCAGACACTGTCCCCCAAGCTGCACCCGAGGCCCTGCCCCTCTAAGACCTCCTCTCCCCTCTCCCCTGCTGCAGACACAGGTGTCCTTTGGTAATAGCCGGGAGTCCCAGTGCCATGTCTCAGACAACCAGGCCCGTCTCATTCCTGGCAGGACCAGCATCCTCAACCATGCTCCCTGGGGTCACTGGAGGAGACTGTTTCTTGATCGTGAGGATGCTTCCTTTACTGTGATCCCGCCGTGTGGTCTCTGTTTTTCTTGACTCTGTGTATGAACCTTGGCTGTACCTGGGCTCATAGGGGGAACCAACTCTAGGATATGGGACACTGGACAGGAGGACCCACGTGTGAGGTTCTCAGAGTGGTTGTGACAAATTACCTCAAACCTGGTGGCTTAAAACAAGAATCCATCCTCCCGCAGCTCTGGAGATAGAGTCTGAGATCCAGGCGGGGCAGGACCTCTAAGATCCAGGCGGGGTAGGGTCGGTGAGATCCAGGTGGGGCAAGACTACTGAGATCCAGGCGGGGCAGGGCCGTGCTCCCTCCCGAGGCTCCACGGGAGGGTCCTTCCTGCCTCTTCCAGCTTCTGAGGCTCCAGGTGTCCCTGGGCTCATGGCCGCGTCCATCCCGTCCCTTCCTCCGTCCTCACGTGGCTTCTCCTCTGTGTGTGTGTCTCCTCTTCTGTCCCTTACAAGGATACCTGCCATTGGATTTAGGGTCACCCCGATCCAGGTTGAGCTCATCTCAGATCTTCCAGTTCATCCCACCGACAAAGATCTGATTTCCCCGCAAGTTCACGTTCTGAGATTCTGGCTAGGTGTGAATTTGGGGAGTGAAAGCCACCGCAGAACAGCCAGTGGACAGACTGTCCCCTCACCTGGATGGGTTTAGACCCGTGTCCCTGGATATGGGGCCAGTGCCAGGGGAGCTCGTGTGCGGCTGTAGGTACTGTCCGGTGTTGTCATGAGAACACGTGCGTCTGTCCCGGCCCAGGGATGTGTGCAGCGAGGCCACGTTGCGGTGAACGGCCACAGTGGTTCGCTTTGTGTGCAGTTTGAGCAAAGCGCTGGGCGTGGTTGCCATCGTTTGCTCGTCGCCGAGTCCGTGAGCTGCGCCGGGCGTTGTTGTGCCCAGGAGCCCAGCCACGCTCCCACGTGCCCTGAGCCCACGCTGGGCCACCGAGGCCTCTCAGAGCAGCGCAGCACTGCAGAGCGTTGTGTGTCCGGTGAGGGTCCGAGTGGGCTGACCTGGCGCCTGTCTCCCCGCAGCACTGACGAACCAGCAGGAAAGAGTGCTCATTGAGATGCTCGTGGCCGCCGTGCGACAGGCTGCAGAGGGCCGCCCGCCTGCCGGCCGCCGACTGGGCAAGAAAGTCAGTGCCCCCCCGCCCCTGTGCGGATGCGCTTCGCCCCCTGTGCTGACCGCTCCGCTGTGGTTCTCGTGCTGGGGCTCTGTGGGTGCCCGCTCCCGCCTCAGCCGCGCAGCGCCCCCGCCCGCCTGGCCCTGGGCTCCGCTTGCTGCCGCTTCCGCCTTGTGCTTGCCGCCCCGGCTGCTCACTTGGCCGCGGGCCCCGTGGGCGGGGCTCTTGGCCACCCAGGTAGGTCTTGCTGGCCATGCCTCGCAGCTGCCGCCCACCCCTCCTGCCGGCCGCCAAGCCCTCTGCCACCTGGTTCCCGTGTCTGCCATCGGCCTCCCCGGGGAGGGCACTCCACAGTCCTCCCTGTGCGAGGACGTGTGGTTGGTCAGCCAGCCTTTGAATCGCCTCTGCGGGAGCCTCCAGCGCTGCTGGGACAAAAGATCATATCCCGGGGTCCTGAAACCACAGGAATTTTGCATTCTGCCCCAGCTCTGGAGACCAGAAGTCAGATCCAGGCGGGGCGGGGCCGCCGAGATCCAGGCGGGGCAGGGCCGTGCTCCCTCCCGAGGCTCCACGGGAGGGTCCTTCCTGCCTCTTCCAGCTTCTGGGGCTCCTGGGCGTCCCTGGGGTCGTGGTCGAGTCCCTCCCGTCTCTGCCTCTGTCCTCACGTGGCTGTCATTTTCCCCTCTGTGCACATGTCTGGTTCTGGGCCCTCATCTCAGTTTTGTGACAGCAGTCCAACTGGATTAGGGCCCGCCGTAAGGTGTGAACTTGGGGGAGACAGCTCAGTTCTTGATGGCATCCCTGCATGGAAGCACTTTGTTGGAAACGAAACAGCAGAGTAGCCATTGGAGCTTTGTCCTTGATCTGGGGGCAGCTCTGGCTGGGTGTGACCCGGTGCTGTGGGAGGAGGTCCCAGGGCCACCGTGGGACCCTCGTGGCTCCGTCATGGGCTCAAGCCACGCACGCTCTGCCTGCAGGCGGCCAGGGAGGTGGACGGGACCCGCCGCTGGCGTGAGCATGCCACCATGAGCCGACACTTTGTCAAGGTGCTGCCCCGGCTGCTCTCCAAGGTGCCAAGTGGGGAAGGGCCTCAGGCCGAGAGCCCAGGGAGGCTGGGGGAGCTCCAGGGCAGGCCAGGAGGCGACAGAAGCGAGGGGAGGCTGGCGAGGCTCCGCTTCACGCCTCCTCTCTGGGCAGTTTGCAGCAGACAAAGAGAAGGTGACCCCCCTCCTGCAGATCCCACAGTATTGCAACCTGGACGTGTACGACATGGACGGCCTGGGCTCGGTACGTCCTAGGATTCTGTTCCTCCTCCCTGAGCTCCACGCCTGGGGGCCACACCCCTCCTTCTCAGGGTCCACACCCCCCTCGTCTGGGTCCAGGGATGGGGCCACGTCTCTTCTCCCTGGAGTTCCACGCGGGGCAGGGGGCACACTCCTCCTCAGGGTCCATGCCCCCTTCATTGGGGCCCATGTCCCCCTGCACTGGGGTCACATCCCTCTCTCCTCTGGGTCCACACCCCCAACTTCTGTGGGTCCACACCCCCAACCCCGTCTGGGTCCGGGGATGGGGGCCACATCCCTTCTCCCTGGAGTTTCAGGTGGGGGGCTGCTTTCCTCCTCCCTGTCCACACTGCTGGGGTCAGCCATTACGCACTCTTGTGGCAGAGTCAAGACCCCTATGCTTGCAACTCCTGTGACCTTTTTCTCTTGGCCCCATGCCCCCCTCCCTGCGCTCCAGCTGGCCCTTTCCTTCTAGCCCCTGACCTTCTGCCAAACCTTGTGACCTTCCACTCCATCCCTGACCTTTCCCCTGACCCCTATGATCCCCTGGCTTCCCCCCGCCCAACCTCTGATCTTCTCCCTGACTCTTTATCTCCCCTCAACCCTGTGACCCCTGACCGTTACCCGTATGATCTCGGACCTTTCCTCCTTGACCTCCTGACTTTTCTTCTTAGCCCATGAACCCCTGGCCTTCCCCCTCAACCCCCCGACCTCCTCGCTGATCTCCTGACCTTTCCGCTGGCAGTTTCCTCCTCGACCTCATGACTCCCTGACCTTCTCTCTCCACCCCGTGCTGTAATCCCCTGACCAGTCCTTTGTCCCCCCCGCCCCCCCCGCCTTGCGCAGTACCTGGACGCAGCCCTGCTAGAGCTGGACTGCCTGGTGCAGCGGCACTCGGACGTGGCGGTGCTGGAGGCCTGTGCCCGCGCCTACGGCACCTACTGTGACGAAGGGGGCTCTGCCCACTGCCAGGCTGCCCCCGCCTGCAGCCGGCTGGTGGACATGCTGGTGGACGTGCTGACCCCACTGCTGGACGTGTTCATCCAACGCGAGGTGCTGGCTGTGGGGGTGTGTGGGGGAGTGGGGTCTGTGGTGTGGGTGTGGGTATGGAGCGTGTCGTGAAGGGTGTGGGAAATCCACGGCGGTAGGGAGGACACGCCGATCGAGGATGCTGGGGCTCAGTCCTTTCTGTTCTGTTGACGTTTTGTAAAGCTCCGCACCTGTCGGGTCAGCTCCGTGAACTCTCCAGCGTGTACCTGGGGGACCGGCTCTTGGTCTCTGGGGACACGGGGTGCGTTCCCCGTTTGAGCCCCGACTGTTCTTGCTGCATCTGTGATGGGCGTGGGAACGTGCGGGGGATGGCAACAAAGTATTCCATTATTCTCCACGGGAGCCCCGGGAGCCCCCAGAAAACACTGCCTGACGGAGGCTCTGGCCTGTCTGCACTTGGCGGGCAGATGGCTTCTGTAAAGAGCCACATCCTAAACGTTTCTTTGGCTGAGTGGGTCATCCTGTTCTCGGGTGGCAGTACGAGAGCACCAGACACAACACGTCACTGGGCCACGTTCCAATAAAACTTTATCGACACAGGCTGAGGGCCAGGTTTCTGGCCCTGATTCAGGCACTTTGCTTGTGAGGTCCCGCTTATTTCCACAAGCAGGACTCCAGGTTGCTCTTGCGTCCCCCAGCCCAGGGCCTGCCATGAATGTGGGGTGCTCGAGGTCAGCAACACGCTTCTCCACGTGTTCTCTCAGCTGTAAAGTGAGAAGCGTATTTCCTGTGGTGAGTTCTTGACAGGGATGTGAGGGAATGCACAGAGATGGTAGATCTCAGATCCTGACTGTCCTCCTCGTCAGCAGCCTACGCGTCTTTGGGGGTGTCCTCTGGTCCCCCTCATTTTCTGCAGAGCTGGAGACAGAACGGCCTGGGGCACTGTTGCCCTTTTTGAGATTTAAAGAGCTGCCTTCCGGAAAGTAGGGGGCAGAGCAGGCAGGAGCGCAGGCCTGGCTCGAAGCCGGTCCGGCATCCCGGGGCAGCCCCCCCGGAAAGTGCCTGTCCCATCACCACCCCCTCTGCTCTCTCCCCATTGTGTAGAAACAGGGCCTGTTCCTGGGACACGGTGAGATGGGGCGGATCTGCTCCACGCTGCGGAGACTGGCGGCCTTCTACAGGTGAGTGGGGCGGCGTGGCTGGTTCCCTCGGGGGGGACACACATGACCCCCGAGACATGTGCCTGCTGCCTTACTCTGACGAATGTCCCCGTGTCCCAGGTGAGGTGGGGAGCGCTTGGACCTTTGGGGGCTGTCCCGTGGGTGTGCCCGGTGGCTCTGGGGCACCTGGGAGCCCATCCTGCCCATCCGGAGCCCTGAGCCGTGTCCCCAGGAGCAGGGACTGCCTCAGCAAGCAGGTGCTGGACGTCGTACCGGAGGGAGCCCAGCTCAGCCATCTGGGTGGGTGGCCCCTCAGCCTGCCAGGAAGTGATCCCTCCGCTCCAGGGCCTACTGACCAGTGTTCACGGCTCACCTGGGGGATGCTGGAGCTCCTGATGGGGTTGGGCCCCCAAACGCCTTGTGTGTGTTTCTGGCCAGTGCACACGACCTGAGCAGCTGGAACCTGTACGAGAAGATGGATAGCCTGCTTACCTTCCGCAGGCACCAGGGCAGCCTGCCCACTGAGGTGAGGGTGGAGGGTGTGAGGGGTGGGTCCTTGTTGGGGGGAGGGGGGAAGGGTTCTGAGAGGAGAGGAGCGTCCTGAGGGGAGGGAAGCATGGGGGGAGGGTCCTGAGGGGAGGGAAGGGTCCTGAGGGGAGGGAAGCATGGGGGGGGGGAAGGTCCTGAGGGAAGAGAAGTGTCCTGAGGGGAGAGAAGCATGGGGGGGGGGAAGGTCCTGAGGGAAGAGAAGTGTCCTGAGGGGAGAGAAGCATGGGGGGGTGGGTCCTGAGGGGAGGGAAGGGTCCTGAGGGGAGGGAAGCATGGGGGGGAGGGTCCTGAGGGAAGAGAAGAGTCCTGAGAAGAGGGAAGCATGGGGGGGAGGGTCCTGAGGGGAGAGATACGTCCTGGGGGAGGGCAGCAGATTTCCGGTGGGAAGAGTCCTGTGGGGGTCGGGGGAGGGTCTGGTCCTGAGGGGAGGGGAGAGAAGGGTTCCGAGGGGTGTGGGGCAGATTCTGGGGGGGGAACAGTCTTGGAGAGAGAAGGGTCTTGGGGGGGCAGTAGGGTCTTGAGGGGGGACAGATCCTGGGTAGGAGGGTCCTGGTCAGGGAGGGGGTCCTGAGGAGAGAAAAGGGTCCTGAGAGAGGGGCAGATCCTGGGGGAGGGGGGTCTCAGGGGTTGGGGGAAGGTAGGGTCATGAGGGGGGCAGATTCTGGGGGGAAAGGGCCCTGGGGAGGGTCCTGATGGAGAGGGGAGGGTCCTGAGAGGGCAGTGGGGTCCTGAGGAGGGAGGGTCCTGAGGAGGGAGGGGCATGTACTGGGTGAGGTCTCAGGGTCCTCTGCTAAGGAGTATTCCCAGGGTGGGTGTCCCATGCACGTCCCCAACTCCATGACAGGCTCCGCGCCCCACAGGTTGTCCACTGTGCGCTCCAGTGCACCTACTATGCGCTCCTGTGGCAGATTGTCGCGGCCACGGACCGGCTGCCGCCCCAGGTGGGTGACGGGCGCGAGGAGGTCAGGTGTGGTCCGCAGTAGTGTGGGAGGAGGGGAAGATGGAGCGGGACAGGGCCGTCATTGCCGCTTTGACAGGCGTCCGCCCCCACCACTGGCTGGCGTCCGTCCTCCCCGGGTCTGGCCAAGGCTCCTGGACTCTGACATGAGAGCTGACTTTGGGTCATGGCCGACACCGCCATGCAGCCTGTCCACCTGCCATGCGGAGCGAGGCTCAGGTGATCTCTGAGTACCTGCTTCTGTGTGCGCTGGGTGAGACCCTTGTCCTTGGCTGCTGGCCATCCCTAGTTTGAGCCAGCCACACTTTGGGGCTGTATTTACGGTTTCCTGGAAATCTGCAGGCCTGAGTTCCGAGGGATGTAGTATGGACCAGTGTGGGGAGAATATGGTGTGGGGGACCATGGAGATACAGGGAGGGGGGAGGGGGATGGGGGAGGGGACATGGGCGTAAAGATGGGGGAGGGGAGGGGAAGGGGATGGGGGGTACACGTGGGGGCGGGGGATGGGGGGAGGTTGGGAAATGGAGGAGGGAGGGTGCACGTGAGGGTTAATCTGTGTTGGGATGCACCTGACGCGCTGGCTCGCCTGAGGCGGGCAGGTACCTGGCGAGCTCGCTCACGGGCTCACCTGACGGGAGGCACCTGCACGCTGGCTGCTCACTGGCAGGAGGCGCTCCTGGACTTGAGGAAAAGGCTGATGAAGTTCTGCCTGGTCTGCCGCGTGTACCTGAACCACCAGAGCAAGGTGCTGAGTGAGAAGGTGCGTGTGCCCCTCTCTGCTCACCGGGTGCCCCCAGGGCTGGCCGAGCAAGAGGAGGGGTGTTAGAGACGCCCATGCACGTGTGCTTGTGATGATCAGGGCACTTGGCGTTTCATGTGATGCTGTTTTCTCCTCTCAGCGTGTCTCATAGGGTGACATTTGTCCTCGAGCGGTGTAGAGTCGTGGGAGCACCTCATTTATATGAACTGGTTTGCATGCCTTTGCACGCCCCGATTTATGGGAACCCGTGTGCATACCTCCCCCCCGTTGACGGGAGCCCAGAGCCCGCATGCACGCCCCCGTTGACGGGAGCCCGGAGTCGCGCTCACGGCCCCGGTTTACGGGAGCCCATGTGCACAGCCCCTTTATACCAGCCTGGCGGGAGCTCCTGTCACCGGAAACCACTGCCCTGGTGGTGGACACGCTTGGTGTTAATTCCTGCCCACCGTGTCTCTGGTGGTTGCGGTACACGAAATCTTCAGGGCGATCTCCTGTCTCCGGGGAAGCCGTTCTAAAGGCTTCACGATGCCGGACCCAGCCCCCCTGCTTCCTGCCACCTTACGGGCTCAGTCGCCCACCTGCTTTTTTCCGATGCGGGTGTGAGTTTTAAAAAGATCCTCTCCCGTTGTCTTAGATAAAACCCACCTCCCGTTTGACCATTGATGGCTGAGGAGGTTGAGCGTGTGTCTCCTTTCCCAGCCACTGACTTCTGTCCTGTGACCCTGCCCCTGCCCCCCTCAGTCACAAGTATGTGTCCATGGTTTCCTGTCCAGGGGGCTTTGGCCATGGCCTTGGCCCGCACCGCTCTCCTGCCTGGATGTTGGGGACATTCCTGTTCACTGTGTGTGTGTTGTTTCTGGTTTGTATGTTTGTGGTTATTTCTCACTTGTGTGTTGTACATCTTTGTGTTGTGTGTTTCTGGTGTAGAGCTTGCAGGGTGGGGTTCAGAGGAGGGATGTCTTTGAGGGGCCGGATGCTGTACCCCTCCCTGTGCTATGGCTCTCACCCATCCCTGGGTTGCCCTGGGAGGCTGTGGGGGCAGCAGACGGGATCTGTCCTTGTGGGGTGGATGCCTGTCCCTGTCGGTGCCCCCTCACCCCCACCCCCTCACACCCCCTCAGGCCTTCATCCTGCTCTGCGACCTGCTGCTCATCCTGAGCCACCAGGGCCCTGAGGAGGACAAGGGCCTGGGGCTACTGTTCTTCGTCCCCGATCACGTCCTGCAGTGCAAGCTGCTCACCTTTGTCAGGGAGCACGTGTTCCTGGAGGACACAGGAGCCGCAGGTCAGCCTCCCAGGGGCCTGGGGCAGGGAAGGGGGAGAGACCCTTGAGTGGGGATACCTGCAGCAGCCCAGGTGCAGGAGGGCCCGAGGGGGCTTGGGGTGGGAGGTGGACGGGCCTTGTGGGGTGCTCTAGCACCCTGGGATCTGGAGCTGCATTTCCCACGTGTCTGTTTTCTTGGTTCATGTTGCCACAGAAGGGTCGGGGGGAGCTCTGACCAGGCAGTCAGGACCTGGAAACACAGGGACCCTGCAGCATTCAGTGCTTCCTGTGTGGCCCTGGGTCTGTGCTCTGGGGGTCAGCATGTCCAGTGGTGGTTCTTACTGCTGTCCTGGCACTGGTTCCCGGAGACGACGCTGGTACCCCTGAGCCCCCTGGATCAGACTCCCTGCTGTGCCCTGCATGCCCCTGCCTGCCCCACGGCTGCCCCATGGCAAGGGGGGCTGCAGGAAGACACGGCAGAGAGTGGGCTGTCTCTCCAGGTCCCAGCAGAGTTTACAAGGAGGAGGATGCAGACGAGCTGCATGAGCTGTTCCACAGGAGAAACATGCTGGCCGTGTTCTGTAAGCTCATCGTCTGCAACGTGCTGGAGATGAGCGCGGCCGCCGACATCTACCAGTTCTACCTGAAGGTCTCTGCCCGGCTCTCCCGTCCCCGCGGCCCGAGCTCACCCTCCCCCGCCCACTGCTCTCTTGTGTAAGACACAGAATTGGGGTAAAAGATTCCAAATGCACGGAGAACATGAGTGCAAAGTACCCAGATTTATGGACTCATTTTCGTTAACTCGTTCTCCTGTTTCCTTTACCAACTCCCGTGGATGAGCCCACCTGTGTGCACGTGTGGGTGGCATCCCTGTGAGTGCCTCATAAGCATTTTTAGAATCTTTTTTTTAAAGATTTTATTTATTTATTTGTCAGGGAGAGCACAAGCAGGGGGAGCAGTAGGCAGAGCAGGCAGAGGGAGAAGCAGGCTCCCCTCTGAGCAAGGAGCCCCATGCGGACTCGATCCCAGGACCCTGGGATCATGACCTGAGCTGGAGGCAGATGTTTCACCAACTGAGCCACCTAGACGTCCCTCATAAGGATTTTTATATCACTAACACCTCTTCCCAAACCTAACTCCTAGAGTGTATTTTCATTTAGGACAACACATTTTGTCTTTTAAAACTATGCGGTCTCGTTCAGTGAAGCATTGCTGTTTTAATTTCATTCTTTCATTAGTACTGAGATTGAATGCAAGCCTTGTGAGGGCAAGGACTTGATCTTTTTGGCTTTGATCATTGACATATCCCAAGTGATTATCATCAGTGCCTGGTATTGACAAAAGCCCAGAAGTTTTGATGAATGCATGGATGGGTAAATGGATGAGCACATGGATAGATGGATGGGTGGGTAAATGGATGGATGGATAGGTGGTTGGATTGATAAACGGGTGGATGGATTAAGTGGATGAGTGGGTGGGTGGATAAATGGATGGAGATGGATGGATAAATGGGTGGGTGGGTAGATGGATGGATAAATGGATGGGTGGATGGATGGGTGGGTGGGTGGATAGATGGATAAATGGATGGGTGGATGGATGGATAAATGGATAGGTGGATGGATGGGTAGATGGATGGATGGGTAGATGGATGGATAAATAGATGGATGAGTAGATGGATGGATAAATAGATAGGTAGATGATAGATGGATAAATGGGTGTGTGGGTGGATGGATAAATGGATGGGCTGATGATGGGTGGATGAGTAGACGGGTAGATGGATGGGTGGGTAGATAAACAGGAATAGATGGGTGGATAGGTGGGTGGATCGATATATGGGTGGATGGATAGATGGGTGGATGGATAAATGGATGGGTGGATGGATGGATGGGTGGGTGGATGGATGGATGGATGGGTGGGTGGGTGGGTGGATGGATAAATGGATGGACGGGTAGATGGATGGATAAATGGGTGGGTGGTGGATGGATATATAAATGAATGGGTGGATGATGGGTGGATGAGTGGATGGGTAGATAAACATGAATAGATGGGTGGATAGGTGGTTGGATCGATAAGTGGGTGGATGGATCGATGGATGGATAGATGGGTGGATGGATGGATAAATGGATGGATGGGTAGATGGATGGATAAATGGATGGGTGGATGGATGGGTGGGTGGGTGGATGGATGGATAAATGGATAGGTGGATGGATAGGTAGATGGATGGATGGGTAGATGGATGGATAAATAGATGGATGAGTAGATGGATGGATAAATAGGTAGATGATGGATGGATAAATGGGTGGGTGGGTGGATGGATAAATGGATGGGCTGATGATGGGTGGATGAGTGGACGGGTAGATGGATGGGTGGGTAGATAAACAGGAATAGATGGGTGGATAGGGGGGTGGATCGATATATGGGTGGATGGATAGGTGGGTGGATCGATATATGGGTGGATGGATAGATGGGTGGATGGATAAATGGATGGGTGGATGGATGGATGGGTGGGTGGATGGATAAATGGATAGGTGGGTGGGTGGATGGACGGATAGATGGATGGATAAATGGGTGGGTGGTGGATGGATATATAAATGAATGGGTGGATGATGGGTGGATGAGTGGATGGGTAGATAAACACGAATAGATGGGTGGATAGGTGGTTGGATCGATAAGTGGGTGGATGGATCGATGGATGGATAGATGGGTGGATGGATGGATAAATGGTTGGATGGGTAGATGGATGGATAAATGGATGGCTGGGTGGGTGGATGGATAGATGAATGGGCGGATGATAGGTGGATGAGTGGATGGGTAGATGGATGGGTGGGTAAGTAAACAGATGAATAGATGGCTGGATAGGTGGTTGGATCGATAAATGGGTGGATGGGTAATTGGATGGGTGGATAGATGGGTGGATGGATGGATGGGTAGATGGGTGGTTAAATGGGTGGTTGGGTAGATAAATGGATAAATGGATGGTTAGATAAATGGATGGATGGGTGGGTGAATAGATATATCTGTCAGTCACTGTCATTTCCTTTCTCAGAAATCGTCATCTCAAGACCTTCTTTTGGTGCCTTGTAATACAACGAAGACTTTAGTCCTTTGTTATTTGTGGGAAATACATTCCCTCGATTACTTTTTAACTGAGTTTTATTTTTGTGACGGTATTTCTCTTTTCCCTGTTTTAACCTCACGTGGTCCTGAGCTTTATGGCATGGGTATAGGGACATTCTTGCCTGGGTTTTCCCCTGCGTCTTGTGTGTTGGGGTGGTGCTCTCCTCTCCCGAGACTTACCTCTTACGCAGTTGTGCGCTGAGCCTACGCTCCGTAGGCCCTGGGGGCCATGACGGCGGCTGTGTGTTGTCGGACATTTGGTCAGCTCTTGCGGCTGTGTGCCCGCGGGCTGGCTCACCTCCGGCACAGGCAGGTCGGTGTGACTCTGAAAGGCCTTGCCGCCGCTCCCAGCCCACAGTTCCCCCGGTGGCCCTGCCTTCCCCACAGAAGGAGCGCCCCCGAGGGAGGGGCCCAGCCAGTGTTGGAGGCGCAGCTGTGTCCCTGGACCGCGATGCCCGATGGCCACAGCTTCCCCAGGTCGTATGGGATGCGCTCTGTCCTGCTGGCCCAGGGCCTGTCCCCGACACAGCCTGGTTGGTGCTGAGCGCACAGCGGGATCCACGTTCACGGACTTCCTGGGATCCAGACAGTGGGTCTGGGCTGCACGGCCGTCCTTAGTTTGTCATTTGGGAATGTGCGTAGTAAGGAGTCTGTGCCTCCGTGGCCACCGTGGTGACGGTCCTTTCCTTGGACTCGCAGCACTACCATCACTTTGGCGACATCATCAAGGAGACCATGACGAGGACGAGGCAGAACGACAGGCTCCGCAATGCGCTGTCCCTGCTTCTGTGTCTGCAGCAGGTGAGCAGACTGTTCCGGAAAGTCCGACGGCGCCCTGCGACTGCTGCCCGTGGCACCGGGCCGCCATGCGTCGCCCAGGCCCGGAGGGATGTGCCTCCTTGGGGACACACCGGGCATGGGTGCCGCTGTACCTCACTGCCCGCTCCTCAGGAGTCCCGCACCCCTGTTCGTGCTGCGTGAGCAGCTGCTCGAGATGGGTGCACGTCGGTGGCCTGGCGGTCAGAGTGTGCCACGGACGGACGGACGGACAGGGTGGCTGGCAGGTCAGACCCTTATTCCTCCCGTGTGCTGGAGGCTGCAGTCCAAGGTCAGGGTGCCAGTGGGGTCAGGCTCTGGGGAGACCTCTAGAGGGTCATGGACGGGCCCCTTCCGCCGTGTCCTCACGTGGCCATGGGTGGAACTCAAGAAGCTCTCTGGACACCTACGAGAACGCTACCCCATCGTGGGGGCCCCGCCATCCTGACCTCATCTGCTCCCAACCACCTCCCAAGGCCCCGCCTCCCAGCAGACCCCTTGGGGGCCAGGCTTGCACATGTGGACTCTGGGAGACACAGATGTTCAGTCCACCACAGCTGGCTTTCCTGGTGAGCTGGGTCTCCTGACAGTGACTCAGGGGGTGTCCCCGACCCTCAGAGTGGGTGTCCCCCATCCACTGACCTTCAGGGTGGGTGGGCATCGCCCCATCCCTCCACTGACCCTCAGGGTGGGCGTCCCCCCCTCCCCTGTCCACTGACCCTCAGAGTGGGCATCCCTCCCCATCCACTGGCCCTCAGGGGGGTGTACCCCCCCATCCACTGACCCTCAGGGTGGGCGTCCCCCCTCCCTCATTGACCTGCAGGGTGGGCGTCCCCCCTCCCCCATCCACTGACCTTCAGGGTGGGTGTCCCCCCATCCCCCATCCACTGACCCTCAGGGGGTGTCCCCCCTCCCCCATCGACTGACCTGCAGGGTGGGCGTCCCCCCTCCCTCATTGACCTGCAGGGTGGGCGTCCCCCCTCCCCCATCCACTGACCTTCAGGGTGGGCGTCCCCCCATCCCTCCACTGACCCTCAGGGTGGGCGTCCCCCCTCCCCCATCCACTGACCCTCAGAATGGGTGTCCCCCCTTCCCCATCCACTGACCCTCGGGGTGTCCCCCCTCCCTCATCCACTGACCCACAGGGTGGGCATCCCCCCTTCCCCATCTACTGACCCTCAGGGTAGGCATCCCCCCAGTCCACTGACCATCAAGAGTGGTTGCCCACCTCCCTTCCCCATCCAAGACCTTCAGGGTGGGCGTCCCCCCATCCCCCATCCACTGACCTTCAGGGTGGGCGTCCCTCTCTTCCCCGTCCACTGACCCTCGGGGGGCATTTCCATCTTTCCCATCCACTGACTCTCAGGGTGGGCGTCCCCCTCGTCCACTGACTTAGGGTGGGTGTCCCCAACCCCCCCATTCCCCATCCATTGACTTTGAGGAGGGGCGTCCCCCCATCCACTGACCTTCAGGGTGGGCGTCCCTGTCTTCACCGTCCACTGACCCTCAGGGGGTGTCCCTGTCTTTCCCATCCACTGACTCTCAGGGTGGGTGCCCCGCATCCACTGACCTTCAGGGTGGGCGTCCCCCCTCCCCCATCCACTGACCTTCAGGGTGGGCGTCCCCCCATCCCTCCACTGACCCTCAGGGTGGGCGTCCCCCCTCCCCCATCCACTGACCCTCAGAATGGGTGTCCCCCCTCCCCCATCCACTGACCCTCAGGGGGTGTCTCCCCTCCCCCATCCACTGACCCTCAGAATGGGTGTCCCCCCTCCCCCATCCACTGACCCTCAGAGTAGGCGTCCCCCCCAGTCCACTGACCATCAAGAGTGGTTGCCCACCTCCCTTCCCCATCCAAGACCTTCAGGGTGGGCATCCCCCCATCCCCCATCCACTGACCTTCAGGGTGGGCGTCCCCCTCTTCCCCGTCCACTGACCCTCGGGGGGCATTTCCGTCTTTCCCATCCACTGACTCTCAGGGTGGGCGTCACCCCCTGTCCACTGACTTAGGGTGGGTGTTCCCACCCACCCCCCCATTCCCCATCCATTGACTTTCAGGAGGGGCGTCCCCTCATCCACTGACCCTCAGGGGGTGTCCCTGTCTTTCCCATCCATTGACCTTCAGGGTGGGTGCCCCCCCTTCCCCTTCCACTGACCCTCAGGAGGGCATCCCCCCTCCCCTGTCCACTGACCTTCAGGGTGGGTGCCTCCCCTTCCGCATCTGCTGACCCTGAGGGGGGGCGTCTGTCTTCTCTGTGTCAGTCTGTCATGACACTGTGCACGCGTGTGTGGTGCGTGACTCTGGTTGTTCCATCCCCGTGGCAGCTGGTTTACCCAGATCCGTGGAACCACGACTCAGACATGTGGTGTGTTCCGTGCTCTGTTCTGCTTTCAGACGGGTGTGTCTGCGTCCAGTGTCAGGAGGGGCCACGTGGGGAGGTTCTCGCCGAGGCTGCGTGGGGTTACGTGACCGCGGGGTCTCGGACTCAACGGTGTCTGTCCCTTCTGTCCCCGTTCTGGCTTTGTGCACCGAATCTGGGGCCGCCCACCTAGCTCTGAGCTCTTTGCAAGGACTGCCTTTGGTCCTCAATGCTGGGGTCACGGTTCCCCACACGGCTGACTGCCGCCAGCCTCCGTGGGTGCTGTGGGTGCCGTGGTCTCATTTCTCTCTGGGGAGTCGAGCCTCCGCGGGTGTATCGGGAAGGGCCGGGATCTGGCATCCCCTCTCCCAGCGTGGGGTCCCGGTCCTTGTGCTCGTGCTGCCTGTGGTGCGGTGGGCAGGCCTGTCCGCAGACACTTGGTGGACCGTCTCTGTCCCGCGGTTTTCCTGGAACACGGCTTCTCGTCCCCGTTTCTGGAGGCCGTGCAGATTCCCGACCCTCACACTGAGGCCTGCCTTTATGTCGGAGTCTTTCCTGCCATTTCTTGTTCCTTTGGAAACGGCCTCCTTCCTCCTCCTCATGGAATGGGCCTGCGTGTACGACGTTGAGAGGACACACATTCCCCAGAGCGAGCGTGGAACGTTGGGGGCATGTCCTCGCCGTGTCGGGTCCCCCGTGTCCCCCTCTGTGTGTGATTTCTCCGTAAATCGGGAGCTCCTTCTCCCTCGCTGGTTTCCTGTTGAGTCCGACGCAGAGGAGCGGTCGCAGAGCAGACGTGACGCGGCGGTGTGGGTGCCCGTGGGACGTCTGCAGGCTGCCCGGCCCCCGCTGCGGGTCGTGGTCTGTGCCGCGTGGTCCCCGTCCCCCCGGCATCCCGGCCTCGGGGTGGCTCTGCACCTGTCCTCTGCGGGGGCCCTGTTTTCCGGGAGCGGGTTGTTCATGCTGTTTCACCACTGGGGGGTGCTGGTTGGGGGTGGAGGGGAGGCTTCTCTGGATGTCCTTGAACCTCAGTCTCCTGGGACGCGCCCTTGGCGACCCTGACCCCACGGCCCCTTGTGGTCCCGCAGCTGTTCCAGAAGCACGTGGACACGTATGGCCTTGGCTATGACCCCATTGAGTTCATCTGCGGCCCCTTCTACTCCATCCGGCTGCTGGCCCGACGCTTTGCGCTCACCCTCGGCTTTGACCGCGCCCCAGACGCTGCCCACCTGATCCACAGGTGCGTGCTGGGACGGGGTGCTCTCTGACAATGCCGCCTTCTGTGCCCCACCCCTGGTCGGAGCCCCGCCTGGCGCCATGCTCCCCACTCTGAACCCCCGCCCCGCTCATGAGCCCCGCCTGGTACCGTGCTCCCCAGTCTGACCCCCCGTCCCTGGTGTGAGCCCCGCCTGGCACCGTGCTCCCCACTCTGACCCCCCTCCCTGGTCTGAGCCCTGCCTGGCACCGTGCTCCCCGGTCTGACCCCCGCCCTGCACGTGAGCTCCACCTGGCACCCTGTCCTCCACGTGAGCCCCACCTGATGTCCCGCTCCCCCAGGTGAGCCCCACCTGGCACCTTGCCCCTCCCCGGGCCTCAGCTGACACTGTCCTTCTTCCCATGTGAGCCCCACCTGACGCCCCACCCCCTCCCCGTCTGTGCATCTGCTCCACACCCCACCTGTCCACTGGACACCTGTCCCCAGGCGTGGGCTGGCCTTTGCCTTCTCTGAGTCCCCAGTGCCTGAAGAGGAGGCTCGGCAGCGCTTCCCCAACCTCAGCTTCCTGCTCGTGCTGTCCGAGTTCTCCTGCAAGATCCCACCAGCCGAGCGACAAGCTGCGTGAGTGCGCTGGGGACCCGGGAAGGCGGTGGGGGCAGGGACGGGCTCCTGGGGACACGGGGGTGGGAGCCCTGTGGGGAGGAGGATGCAGAAACGGGAGGGTGCTCCGGTGGGGACGACCCTGCTGAGGGCTGCCTTCCCTGGGCTGACCCAGGCCTGCCTGGGGTCCTGGGGGGGCGCTGGGCTCTGGGCCGCAGGACCGACCTGTGGCCACTGGGTGGCACCCCTCCAGCATGGCTCCATGGTCCTTAGCCCTCAGCAGGGGATGGGCACCGGGGGCCCCATGGGTTCCTGGGGATCTTGCCGGGTCTCCTCTGACGTCCCCCTGCCATATCCACCCTTGCCCGCAGACTCGCCCACTTCCAGGACTCCATCCCCGAGGGCGTGCCTGTCTTTGGGGAGGGGGACATGAACCCTATGCTTGTCTACCGCAAGTCCCTGATGAGGACAGACTACGTGGCCCAGGGGGAGGAGGAGCCTGCCGCCAACCCGTTCGACGCCATATGCAAAGACAGCAAGCGGCCCCAAGGTGGGGAGGGTGTCCGGGGTCGGGAGGGGCGGCCCTGGGGCCCCGTGGCTGACAGCTCCTGGCACCGCAGAGCTGCCCGTGGGGATGTGCTCCACCTGGACACCAGACACCCTGGCCAGCTCCAGCACAGGGGACAGAGAGACGAGGAACTCCTCCAAGGGCCAGAAGTCCAAGAGGTGAGGCCGTTGTCCTCCAGGTCGGGGTGGAGGGGTCTGCCCTCAGTGGGGCAGCCTGTCGGGCCTCTGCCTGCCTGGTTTCGTGGTCGTCCTCATGGGTTTCTCCAGAGCAGAGCCTTGGGGTGGCCGTGAAGGGTTGCTGGTCTGATGGGTTGGTTGGGGTCCTGGTGTGGGTCTGAGGCAGGGACGGGGCTGGTCTGATGGGTTGGGGTCCTGGTGTGGGTCTGAGGCAGGGACGGGGCTGGTCTGATGAGGGGGGTCCTGGTGTGGGTCTGAGGCAGGGACGGGGCTGGTCTGATGGGGGGGGTCCCAGTGTGGGTCTGAGAGGGATGGGGCTGGTCTGATGGTTTGGGGTCCCAGTGTGGGACTGAGGCAGGGTCGGGGTTGGTCTGATGGGTTGGGGTCCCGGTGTAGGTCTGAGGCAGGGACAGGGCTGGTCTGATGGGTTGGGGTCCCACGTGGGTCTAAGCCAGGGACGGGGCTGGTCTGATGGGTTGGGGTCCCGATGTGGGACTGAGGCAGGGACGGGGCTGGTCTGATGGGTTAGGGTCCCAGTGTGGGTCTGAGGCAGGGATGGGGCTGGTCTGATGGTTTCTGGTCCCGATGTGGGACTGAGGCAGGGACGGGGTTGGTCTGATGGGTTAGGGTCCCAGTGTGGGTCTGAGGCAGGGATGGGGCTGGTCTGATGGTTTCTGGTCCCGATGTGGGACTGAGGCAGGGACGGGGCTGGTCTGCTGGGTTGGGGTCCTGCGTGTGTCTGAGGCAGGGACAGGGCTGGTCTGATGGGCGGGTCCCAGTGTGGGTCTGAGGCAGGGACAGGGCTGGTCTGATGGGGGGGTTCCTGGTGTGGGTCTGAGGCAGGGACGGGGCTGGTGTGATGGGTTGGGGTCCCATGCGGTTCTGAGGCAGGGACGGGGCTGGTCTGATGGGTTGGGGACCCGGTGTGGGTCTGATGCAGGGATGGGGCTGGTCTGATGGGTTGGGGACCCGGTGTGGGTCTGATGCAGGGATGGGGCTGGTCTGATGGGTTTGGGGGTCCCATGTGGGTGAGGCAGGGACGGGGCTGGTCTGTTGGGTTGGGGTCCCGCATGGGTCTGAGGCAGGGACAGGGCTGGTCTGATGGGTTGGGGTCCCGCGTGGGTCTGAGGCAGGGATGGGACGTCTGCCCGTGTGCAGAGACCGCTGTCCTGTAAGAATGCTCTCCAGAGTGTAGCCAGGGGCTCTTCCCGACTGACCCCACTGCCCACACCATGCAGGATTGCCCACCCTGCAGAACGGGATGGGACAGCGTTTCGGTGCCACTGGTTGCCCACGACCTGGGGGCCGTGCCTCGTCCACGTCTGTCCGTGTCCTAAGTTTTCCCAGGGCTGTCCACACCTGTTCCCTGCAGGGCTCGTGCTTCTGGGGCCTCCTGCCGTGGCCTGGGGCCCTGTCTCCGTGTCCCTGGCAACCGGCCACCCTTTGTTTCTGGCAGGGATGTCTTTGATGTTGACTTCCTGTCGTCGGAGGACTCTGAGAACTCTTCCAATGAAGACGTGGACGTGGAAGGCATCTCCGTCCCCGAGGTCGGTGCAGGCTGGGCCCCCGGGCGGTGGCCACGTGGGGGCGCTGGCCTGGGCCTGCCTTTCCTGCCATGGCCCCCTCATCCCGGGGTGGTGCAGAGGCGGGATGTCCCATCTGATGGGGTCTCCTGGGTGACGCTGTGGCCTCTGTGCCCAGTGGGGGCGGGAGCAGGCCCGTCCCCATGTTCATGGCGGGGGGGTGGGGTGGAGATTTGGGCTCCGGTCCGACAGCTCACCAGGTGTCTGCTGTGTGGACGATCACCTGGCTGCGAGACTGGGGGTGGGGCAGGCCCCTGAGCCATCCCAGGTGCGTGCGCTCCAGGCTCACGTGGTGTGCTAGGGGCCCGAGGCTGGCAGGGTGTGGGCCGCACGCTCTGGCCTGCTTGGCTTAGGACACTAGGTTTTGGGGTGCCCTGGGGGCCTCAGCAGCTCTGTTGGCTCCTGCCTGGCGGCCCCCAAGTCACACCTCTAGGATGGGTCTGGCATGGCCCTCAGAGCGGTGCAGAGGCTCCTGGCAAGGCAGCCCCGCGTCGTGTGCACACCCACCCTCCACCATGCGGACACCTGGGCGGAGTCAGTGTTCCAGCCCGAGGGCCCTGAGCAGTGGGAGTGCGGGAAGGCTGTGCCCCGTGCCCCTTCCGCATCCCCCACCCTGCTCGGCTGCTCCCAGGGCCTGGCAGGCGGGGGTCCCAGGCCGCTGTCCACCCCACCCAAAGTGCCCACCCCACGCTGACTGGAAACCAGCCCAGGCCACGGTGTGCACCGCTGTGTCTCTGTCCACGTGTCTGTCTGGGTCCTGAGGGCTGTCCGTGTCTCCGTCCATGTATCTGTCTGTGGGTCCTGAGGGCTGTCTGTGTCCCCATCCACGTGTCTGTCTTTGGGTCCTGAGGGCTGTCCAGCTCTCCGTCCACGTGTCTGTGGGTACTGAGGGCTGTTTGTGTCTCCGTCCACGGGTCTGTCTGGGTCCTGAGGGCTGTCCATGTCTCCGTCCACGTGTCTGTCTTTGGGTCCTGAGGGCTGTCCGTCTCTCCGTCCACGTGTCTGTCTGGGTCCTGAGGGCTGTCCGTGTCTCCGTCCACGTGTCTGTCTGGGTCCTGAGGGCTGTCCGTCTCTCCGTCCACGTGTCTGTGGGTCCTGAGGGCTGTCCATCTCTCCGTCCATGTGGGTCCTGAGGGCTGTCCGTCTCTCCGTCCACGTGTCTGTGGGTCCTGAGGGCTGTCCGTGTCTCCATCCACGTGTCTGTCTGTGGGTCCTGAGGGCTGTCCATGTCTCCGTCCACGTGTCTGTCTGTGGGTCCTGAGGGCTGTCCGTGTCTCCGTCCACGTGTCTGGGTCCTGAGGGCTGTCCGTGTCTCCGTCCACGTGTCTGTCTGGGTCCTGAGGGCTGTCCGTCTCTCCGTCCACGTGTCTGTGTGTCTGTGGGTCCTGAGGGCTGTCCATCTCTCCGTCCATGTGGGTCCTGAGGGCTGTCCGTGTCTCCGTCCACGTGTCTGTCTGTGGGTCCTGAGGGCTGTCCGTGTCTCCGTCCACGTGTCTGTCTGGGTCCTGAGGGCTGTCCGTGTTTCCGTCCACGTGTCTGTGTGTCTGTGGGTCCTGAGGGCTGTCCGTGTCTCCGTCCACGTGTCCGTGTGTGGGTCCTGAGGGCTGTCCGTGTCTCTGTCCACGTGTCCGTGTGTGTGTGGGTCCTGAGGGCTGTCCGTCTCTCCGTCCACGTATCTGTCTGTGGGTCCTGAGGGCTGTCCGTCTCTCCGTCCACGTGTCTGTCTGTGGGTCCTGAAGGCTGTCTGTCTCTCCGTCCCCAGGGGGCGTCAGACTGAAGAGGACACACGCCCCGCTGGGACTCAGGTCAGGAGTTCCGTGTTCCTCCTCGGTTGCTGCCTTGCGTTCCTGGGCTTGGGGAGCCAGCGGCGTCCAGGTGCGGCTGACCCAGGCCCCTGGGGGCTCCAGGCGGATGGCGGTGACCTCTGCCATCCGCCCCTGCGCATCCCAGCCCCGTGTGTGGGGAGAGGGCCACGTGGCCGTTGACTGGGGCCCCCCGGGGTGCCCACGCACCCACCCACCTACCCACCAGGTGCCTACCCACCTGCGACTTCCCTCTGGCGACTGCTGTGCTCGGCTGGAAGGTTCTGGAGCCAGCTTTGCCCCCGGCCGTGGAGCATCCTGCTGGCTCCCTAGTGCGACGTGGTCCTGCGTGGAGCGGCGCTAGCTCTTCCTTCCCCAGGGCCCCGCTGTTGGGCGTTCCCTGGCGTCCAGCGCTGAGGGCCGGATGCAGGGCAGGTATGGGCCTGCTGCCCGCGGTCGGCTCAGCACCCGCTCGCCTCAGGCAAACCCGCTGCACCCGACTCGGGGCGGGGGCTGGACGCACGTAGGCCGCCCTCCCTGGACACGCAGGGTGGGGCACTCCGCGCCTCAGACCCCGTTTGGTGCCAAACCAGAACTCTCGGGGCCAGTGTGGAGGACGCCCCCGTGTGGACGCGGACAGCGAGGCCGGTGTGTGGGGAGGACTCCCGCTGGTGTGCAGAGGCAAGAGCCGGCCCGGGACCTCAGGCCTCTGCAGCCCCGCGCAGACCTGGGTCTGGGGCTTGCCGTCCGGGGGGCGGGGGGAACACCAGTGCCTCTGGCTGTGCCCTCCCCAGGACCCTGGAAGCCACGGTGGGAAAGCACGGCCCTTGGCCGTGGCGTCAGGACCACGGGTGGCCCGCGTGCAGGTCTGGGCAGCAGGGCCACCCTGCTGGACACTCGGGGCCCCGCGGCCTGGGGCCCGCACCCCAGAGCCGTGCACGCCGCGTGGAGTCTCCCGTGGGGACACTGCCGTCTGCCCCCGTAGCGCCCCCGCCTGGCGTCTGTGCCCGTCGTGCCCTGTGTGTGCTGTGTCGTGGGCTGGGCAAGCCGAGCCCGTCACAGAAAATCCGTAAACTCTTTATTTGAAAATACAAACGTGATCTCGTAAAACATTTTTAAACTGCTGTACGCACCAAGTAAAAGTTAACTTTACACCTTCTGTACATTTACATGAAAACGTACGTACGCTCGAGGGGGTGCTCCCTCCCAAACCCCGCGTGCAGCGCTGCAGCCGGGGCGGCCCCTGGAGACGCTCCTGTGGACGGAAGGTCCTGGGCCACCGTGGCGCCGGGGCCCCTGGAATGTTCCAGACCGACGACGTGAGAACAGCACCGGGCCATCCAAGCCCCGGAAGTCTGTGCGCGGCTCACGCCCGAGGCCGATGCTCTGGAGCAGAACGTGGCTCCCCTGCGAGCGGCCGTCGGCCGTGTGGGTGTCTCCAGACGCCTGCACTCAAGAGCTCGACGGTGGGGCCGGCGTGTCTCCTCCCCCAGCCGGGGGTCCCGGGCAGGCGGGGACACACGCTCAGTGACCACCTGACCAGCTTCCGTGCTGAATAAATAAGAATTTATCACCCCATACAAACCGCTTCATTTTCTAGAACAGACAGCTCAACGATCAAACAGCTTTGTTCTTTACACGACGGCGGCTCTGCATCCAGACGGGGCGCGGGTCACGAGGGCTGCAGGTCCTCGTCCTCACACGCATACTCGTACAGCTCGACGGTGCCCAGGCCGGACGGCGCCTCAAAGAAGGGCCTCTGGGCCAGCGGAGACCTCAGGGAGCTCAGCTTCTGGTCCACAGGGCTGAGCTCGGCTTCGTACCTGCAAGGACGGGCTGGTAAGCACACGGGGGCGCGGCCGCCTCAGCCCGGGGCAAGGCGCCCCTCTTTCTCTCACGTGCGTGGGTGCGTCTGCATTACAGCCCGCGAGGCGCTGCCGGCGGCCCCGGGACGGCTGTGAGCTCACCCTGGGGAAGCCTCAGGCCCAGCGGGGTCACTGCGGATTGCCTCCACCCCGAGGGAAGAGGAGCCGTGCCCGCACTTGGAGGCCGGCGTTCCCTGGACACCAGCACGAGACGTGGTGCCACGAGGTAAGAGGCCACGAGTCGACTTTGTGAACGGGATCGGACGGTGTGACCAAGTAGGGTTTCTCCGGGGCCAACCTGTGAAGATCCCCCGTATCCACGGGGGCATCTGACAGAACTCAGTGTCTGCTCTGGGCTGACCTCACAACTCGTCGTCCACGACGACCCCTCTGCATCTCGGACTGGGGACCAGGCAAGGACACACGCCACTGGCACCCAACATCGTAGCGGACATTCTAGGAAGTGCGGCGGGTGGGCAGAGAACGCGAAAGTGTCCTCCCCACCCGCAACGTGACCGTCCACGCGCGAAGCCCCAGAGAACCGACAGAGACGCTCCTGCGGCCGACAGGTGCATCGGGCACAAGTGCAAACTACAGACGGACAGACGGCACTGCTGTGCGCTTTCCACAAAGAACCACAAGTTCCAAGTTTAAACCACCTTTCCGACACCAGACGTCAGGAAGCACTTACGTGACAAAGGACGGAAAGATCCAGGTGCCAAAAAGCACACGATCCTGGCGGAAAAGCATGGTCCCTGACTACGCGGAGACACCCACGCTTGTGGGTGAGGAAACACGGCATCTTCGAGATGCCAACCGTCTCCACGCCGCAGGAGAGTTCGGAAAAGGAGTAATCGGATCTTCCACCTACTGTTTTGTCGGGACAGACGAGCTCATCCTCAGATTTGCCGTGAAGGCCAAGGAGCCGACGACACGACCGTGAGGAGGAACGCGGGTGACGTCAGACCACGGGCTTGCCACGGCCCCTCGCAGCTGCAGACACAAGCCCGGGGGGCTGGGGAAGAGCCACGTGGCTTCCAAATCCACCCCACAGCCAGCCGGTGGGGCCAGGGAGTCGAGTCTCCAGCTCTCCCCCCCACAGACCCGGCACCAGGCCCGCAGCCTCTTCAGGAAACCCACGGGCAGATTTCACGACTCCTGCGGAAACGCAAGGCACCGCGTGGCCCGAACACCTGTGAGGGAGGAGGAGCGCGAAGGCCTCTCCCGCAGGCCGTGGCGGCACGAGCAGGCCGCAGAGGTGCGCGGACAGACGCAGAGTGCGCTGGGGACACCTGGCGCGCACGCACGTCACCGTGAGCAACGCGGCCAGCCCCTCGAGGGCCCTCACCTCACGCCCCACACGAGTCAGGACGGGCCACAGTCTGCCGTCTGCCCCCGTAGCGTCCCCGCCTGGCGTCTGTGCCCGTCGTGACCTGGGTGTGCCGTGCCGTGGGCTGGACGTGCATCTGAAACGTGCAGACAGGAGCGCTGCGGGTCTGGACGAGGCAGCAGAGTCTGACACGGGAACCAGAACACAGCGTGTGGCGGCATGCACGACGCCTGGCACCTCGTCAGTGAGAACAGCGTCTCTCTGACACACGGTCCAACGAAAACAGAGGCCACGAGTTTGGAGAAAAAGTCCACAAACCACAGACGCGACAGAGAACTCGTATCGACGAGCTATGAGGAACCGTAAAACCTCAGCGGGGAAGCGGATGATCCGACACGGAGAACGCACAGACACAAGGCACATGTCCCGGGGACCACGGAGGCCCGACGAGGACGGAGACACTCACAGCCACGAGGGGACACGCCCGGTGGCACGCCAGGGACGGGCTGACATGGAAATGACCGCAAGCAGACCGCGCTGACCAGGATGTGGAGCAGCTAGAACCGTCCCCTGCCGCGTGGGACACCACTGCGGGTTCCGGTGAGGGCAGACAGGCGTCCCCACGTGGCCCGCAGCCTCAGGCACTGAACCCAGAGACGAGAGAGCCCACGTTCACACAAGGCCAGTGTGGGAATGGTTCACAGCGGCGCTATTCACACCCGCCCAGAACCAGAGGGGAAGCCACCGAACATCCGTGGCCTGGCAGGTGGTCACCTAGAGCCGGAACCCTGCTCAGCGGGGACGTGGAGTGCCCGATGCGCCCACCGACAGGCCCGGCTCGCTAACACCTTGTGCTGGCAGAACCTCTGTGAGGGGACGGCGGGGTTCCACTTCCGTGGCGTCCGGGGAAACCACCAATGCCGAACGCAGACCAGCCCAGCACCTGCCAAGAGCCCGAATGGGGAGGGACGGGGGCTGCTCGAAGTGCCCCCTGCCCGTTTGGAACCCTCCTGGGGGTGGGGGTCAGGACCCCCGAGCAGGCAGCCCCAGGCCCACCGAACTGAGAACTCCTGCATGGAGGCCCCGTCGCGAGGGGCAGAGGGCACGCCCTGCCATGGGTTCCGCTCCTGTGCCGCAAACCCCATGTGGAAACATGCCTGACCCTGCGTGACCCTGACCTGGGGGCTGAGTGGCCTCTGATGGGAACAGGGAACACGTGTGTGACCCGAACCCGTCGGGACTGTGTGCGGCCACCAGAGTCCCCCACCCTTGAACATAGGCCTGTTTACGCGCCTGAAGGCCCAAGGCCCGGAGAGTGGAGCGGGGCTGGGACCGGCCACAGGCCTGGGAGCAGGACAGCCCCCCAATCCCTCACACAGCCAGCCACGGGGGAGAGGAGCGTCGGCGGCACATGGGCCTCAAGGCCTGTCTCCCCGCGCTGGCCCCGTGAGCAGGTCCCAAAACAGGACAAGGTTCCCAGCCGCGGGGACTGCATGAGGGTCTGTCGGGTCCTTGGCCCTGAGCGGGGCTCTCCGGGACCCCAGCTCGGGGGTGTGTGCGCCCTCCGCAGTTGGCGGGAGGGACTGACCGGGCAAGAGACGTCCCAGGGTCCACGGTGACCCAAGGGTCGAGACGGAAGGGAGTTGGCCAGGATGCGGGGCGGGGAGCAAGCATATTGGCAGGGGCGTTGTGAGGGTGGGGACGGGGACAGGCCGGGCTCTGGGACACAGGCCTCAAACACCCCTACCGCACGGCCTGTGCCGGGCCCTCCTGGCTGGTGCCCCCGGGTCCCAGCTCTCGGGGACAGAGGAGCAACACCACCTCTGGGTCTGTTTCCGGGAAAGGGGCGGACGCAGGGGCACCAGAACAGGCAGGAGGCCGGGCCTGCCCACACTCACACCCGGGGCCCTGCTGTGGCTGCAGACTTGGGGCCTGGCCCGCTCTGCAGCCCCCGTGACCCTGGGAAGGGGCCTCTCGAAGCTCCTCCAGGGCCTGGCCCGGGCACAGGCCGCTGCCGGGCATGAGTGGGTTTCACTGAGGATTCAGGACACCCGCCACCACCTTCTCTTCCCCACCGAGGTTCCCTACTCACAGCCGCACACGCTTGTCCGCCGAACGTCACAGGTGCCCGAAGCAAGCGGGTGAGCAGCCCCCACGAGCCACCGTCCCTGGCCCGAGCCCGTGGGGGTCCGGTGGATGTGGGAAAGGAGGCGCCCGCTGCCCACGTGCCACGCGTGGCCCTCCCGGCCATCTCTGCGTCCCGTCCGCACACTCACCCGTCCTCCCAGGGCTCTCCCGCAGCCTCCTCGGCCACCAGGATGTCGTACTCCTCGGCGGCGTACTTCTCCCAGTCGGAGAGCTCGGGGCCTTCGCTCTCACTCTCCTAGACGGGACAGGTGTGTCATGCGGGGCGGATGCGGCCGCCACCCCACGTGCTCCTTGCCACACTCACCCTGAGCAGGGAGGCCTGTTCCTTCTGCTCGTGGTCGAGGTATTTCTCGATGTTGAAGAAGGTATCAAAGAACACATTGGCGAGTTTGCACTTCTTCAGGTCATGGAGCGTGATTCTCCCTGCAGGAGACGAAACGGTTCAGAGACGAGTGCGCCCGGGGGCGCTTTCACAAATCGCACTTGACGTGTGCGCACGTCCGTCACGATGCGCCTTGAAAAACATGGCACGATGCTGCATCTTCTGATGCAACTGGGCACAAAACACACCCGCACGAGGTGGTTCCTGGTGTGGGCAGGAAGGCTGGGTGGGGGAGCAGGGCAGACCAGAAGCCTGGGGACCTGTGTGCCCCAGAACGGGTCAGACGACAGTCGTGGAGGCGGGGCGCAGGAACAGAGAGCGGCTCTGGCCGCCAGGGGGCGCCCAGGCACACATCACGCAGCCTGAGGCGGGACAGGAGGAAATCCCCCGCTCGGGAGGACCCGGACATGGGGCCCCAGAACGACCCACAAAGACCATAAATACCCCAAGGCCAGGATTCCACGACGTGGAAACAATACTAATCAAGGCATCGCAGCTGGGAAGAGTCTCCCTCTGTCCCTCTGACCCTGGAAGGTGTCCTGGGGTCCTTCCTTGTGCCACTGCTGGCCTCTCCCCGGACGCAGGCTCCTCAGCTGGGGGGTGTCGGGAGGACCCCAGGTGGGATCCTGGGCGGGGAGGGCCAGGCGCCCACGGCACCGCCCCACACCAGGAACGTGGGCTTGAGTCCCTGAGGTGGGGAACCAGGGAGCAGAGGCAGGGAGACGTGGGGTCAGGAACATCCACCCTCCTGACCCTGGTAGGACAGGTGTCCTCACCCAACAGGACAGGGCCCTCAGCGCGGGTGAGAGCTGAGGGGCGCACACGGGGCCTGAGGGAGGCAGGGGAAGGGGGACAGCCGGGACGCACTGTGTCCGCACTCAGGAGTGGCCGCCACCAGTGAACAAGGGTGCTCACGTCACACATGACGACACCACCTCACCCGGTCCTGGGTGGGGTCTTGTGACATACGGTTGGTACCAGGCCTCCCCAAGGCCCCGCTCACCCTTGTCACCAACTCAGAGTAGGGATGGCCATTCCCTGAGTGGGCGTCCCTTCACACAGGTGTCTCTCACTCAGGGACCATCACACCTCACAGGAGGACCTCTCCTTATATGGGGGATCCCCTCACTCAAGGGAAATGTGCCCTCACACAGACGCAGCCCATCTTACAGGAAGAACAGCCCGTCACACGGGGTGTCCCTTACACAGGGGGAGCACCCCAGGGGGACATCCCGCCACATGAGCACACCTCACATGGGGTGCCCCTCACGTCTCACAGAGGGGACCTGCCCTCACACAGGTGGGGGCAACAGTATCACGGGGGGATGTCTTGGGGACATCTCCTCACATGGGGGGGCATTACAACTTACACGGGGGCATCACCTCACATGATGTGTCCCCTCACACAGGGGGACATCTCCTCATACGATGTGTCCCCCTCATACAGGGACATCTCCTCACACGAAGCATCACATCTCATGGGGGAGGGGAAATCACCTCATAAGATGTGTCCCCTCACATGGGGGGGGCATCACAACATCATATCTCATGGCGGGGCAGAATCACCTCACATTACGTGTCCCCTCATACAGGGACATCTCCTCACACGAACCATCACATCTCATGGGGGAGGGGAAATCACCTCATAGGATGTGTCCCCTCACACGGGGAGGCACCACATCATCACATCTCATGGGGGGAAAAATCACCTCACACGATGTGTCCCCTCACACAGGGGGACATCTCCTCATACGATGTGTCCCCCTCATATAGGGACATCTCCTCACACGAAGCATCACATCTCATGGGAGAGGGGAAATCACCTCATAGGATGTGTCCCCTCACACGGGGAGGCACCACATCATCACATCTCATGGGGGGAAAAATCACCTCACACGATGTGTCCCCTCACACAGGGGGACATCTCCTCATACGATGTGTCCCCCTCATATAGGGACATCTCCTCACACGAAGCATCACATCTCATGGGGGAGGGGAAATCACCTCATAGGATGTGTCCCCTCACATGGGGGGGGGGCATCACATCATCATATCTCATGGCGGGGGAGAATCACCTCACATTACGTGTCCCCTCAAGCAGGGAACATCTCCTCACACGATGTGTCCCCTCACACGGGGAGGCACCACATCATCACATCTCATGGGGGGAAAAATCACCTCACACGATGTGTCCCCTCACACAGGGGGACATCTCCTCATACGATGTGTCTCCCTCATTCAGGGACATCTCCTCACACGAAGCATCACATCTCATGGGGGAGGGGAAAGCACCTCATAGGATGTGTCCCCTCACACGGGGGGGCACCACATCATCACATCTCATGGGGGGAAAAATCACCTCACACGATGTGTCCCCTCACACAGGAGGACATCTCCTCACACGATGTGTCCCCCTCATACAGGGACATCTCCTCACACGAAGCATCACATCTCATGGGGGAGGGGAAATCACCTCATAGGATGTGTCCCCTCACATGGGGGGGGGCATCACATCATCATATCTCATGGCGGGGGAGAATCACCTCACATTACGTGTCCCCTCAAGCAGGGAACATCTCCTCACACGATGTGTCCCCTCACACGGGGAGGCACCACATCATCACATCTCATGGGGGGAAAAATCACCTCACACGATGTGTCCCCTCACACAGGAGGACATCTCCTCACACGATGTGTCCCCTCACACAGGAGGACATCTCCTCACACGATGTGTCCCCTCACACAGGAGGACATCTCCTCACACGATGTGTCCCCCTCATACAGGGACATCTCCTCACACGAAGCATCACATCTCATGGGGGAGGGGAAATCACCTCATAGGATGTGTCCCCTCACATGGGGGGGGGCATCACATCATCATATCTCATGGCGGGGGAGAATCACCTCACATTACGTGTCCCCTCAAGCAGGGAACATCTCCTCACACGATGTGTCCCCTCACACGGGGAGGCACCACATCATCACATCTCATGGGGGGAAAAATCACCTCACACGATGTGTCCCCTCACACAGGAGGACATCTCCTCACACGATGTGTCCCCTCACACAGGAGGACATCTCCTCACACGATGTGTCCCCTCACACAGGAGGACATCTCCTCACACGATGTGTCCCCCTCATACAGGGACATCTCCTCACACGAAGCATCACATCTCATGGGGGAGGGGAAATCACCTCATAGGATGTGTCCCCTCACATGGGGGGGGGCATCACATCATCATATCTCATGGCGGGGGAGAATCACCTCACATTACGTGTCCCCTCAAGCAGGGAACATCTCCTCACACGATGTGTCCCCTCACACGGGGAGGCACCACATCATCACATCTCATGGGGGGAAAAATCTCCTCACACGATATGTCCCCTCACACAGGAGGACATCTCCTCACACGATGTGTCCCCTCACACAGGAGGACATCTCCTCACACGATGTGTCCCCTCACACAGGAGGACATCTCCTCACACGATGTGTCCCCCTCATACAGGGACATCTCCTCACACGAAGCATCACATCTCATGGGGGAGGGGAAATCACCTCATAGGATGTGTCCCCTCACACGGGGGGGCACCACATCATCACATCTCATGGGGGGAAAAATCACCTCACATGATGTGTCCCCACACAGGACATCCCCTCACATGGGGGGGGCATCACATCATCACATCTCACGGGGGATGGGGGGAGATCAGCTCACATTACGTGTCCCCTCACACAGGAGGACATCTCCTCATACGATGTGTCCCCCTCATACAGGGACATCTCCTCACACGAAGCATCACATCTCATGGGGGAGGGGAAATCACCTCATAGGATGTGTCCCCTCACACGGGGGGGCACCACATCATCACATCTCATGGGGGGAAAAATCACCTCACACGATGTGTCCCCTCACACAGGAGGACATCTCCTCACACGATGTGTCCCCCTCATACAGGGACATCTCCTCACACGAAGCATCACATCTCATGGGGGGAAAAATCACCTCACATTACATGTCCCCTCACACAGGGACAGGTCACGTGCCGGTGTCCCCTCACATGGGGGTACATCACAGCTTACAGTGAGGAATCACCTCAGACATTGTGTCCCCTCACAGGGGTACGTTCCCTCACAAGGGGGCGTCCCCTCACACGGGCTGTCCCACCTCCGGGGCCACTACCTTCGTTCTGCGGCTTCACCAGGTCCAGCATCTGGCAGAGGCAGTCCTCGAAGGGCAGGGCCTCGATGGCCATGCTGTCCAGCCTGCGGCACTGCTCCTCATAGAAGTACTCCAGCTCGAACATGGACAGCGCGCCGTCCCCATCCAGGTCCATGCAGCGGAACCAATACTCGATGCTGCAGTCACAGCAGGTCCGGGCGAGCCTCGGTCAGCCTGGCCGCCTGGGACCGACCCCGCTGGGGACTGAGCCCACCGGGACCAGCTGCAGTGTGCAGCCCGCCTGGGACTGGCCTTGCCTGGATGGAGCCCTGGTGGTGCCCACGCTCAGGGCTGACCGGTAGCCTACGGCTGCCAACTGCTGTACCAGGACAGCCCCCAAATACGTACCTGGTTGGAGTTTTCTTGTCCTCTTCAGAAATCAAAAACCAGACAAAGTCAGCGTAGCTTATCTTTCCTTCCTTCTGGACTTTCCTGCCCCTGGGTTCAGGGTTGAGACCAACAGGCAAGACGTGTGTCAGGGAGAAGCGGCGTGAGGTGGGAGGCCCCGGCCCACCTCCCTGCTGGGAGAGTGGAGCCTTGCATTTGGCCCCGTCCCACACCGGACTCCCACCTGGGGGTGGGCTTTAAAGGGCACGTGCACGCAGGGGGTCCCTGGAATTGCAGGTAGGGCAGGACCGGCGTCTGTGGCCTCAGTCACAGTTGCCTCGCGGCCTACTCCAGGGCCCTCTCAGAGGCCCAGGGCCTGACATGACCCACCCACACGGGGCCTGTGCTCCCCCACCCCTTACTAAACGACCTCATGTGATAATGGTGTTTGCCCCCCCCTTACGACCTCACATGACAAAGACGTGTGTCCCCCTCATTATGATCTGGTGGAACAGAACTGTGCATGTCCCCCGACGACGTCACATGACAAAGCTGTTCCCCCTTAGGAGCTTGTGTGACAATGGCATGTGTCCTCCCTTAATGACCTCATGTGACAAAGATGTCCTCCACTAGGACCTCACGTGACAGTGGCATGTGTCCTCCCTTATTTACGACCTTGTGTGACAACAGCATGTGTGTCTTCCTCATGACCTCACGTGACAATGGCACTCCCTCTCAACACACGACAAGCTCACATTAGGGAATGAATGAGAACCGCACTCAGGCACAGAACATGGCCCCAAATCACAAGAAAATGGCTGTTAAGACGTACCTCGTCACCGCCCCTGAGAATATCCTCTCGATCATCTTGGTGGATATAGCTGCCGAAACAGAACCGGGCTGTGAGCCGCCTGCACATACCTGCGGTCACGGCCCAACCTCAAACGTGCGGGAAAGCTGGGCAGGCTCGGGTCTGAAATGCTGAGCCCCGGGCCTGGCGGGGGTGGAGCCTGAGGAACCTACTCTCCCGCGTGTGTCCTCCCCAGGGCGCTGCCCAGAGCCTTCCTGTTCCGAGGACTGAGCCCCAGTCCGAGCCACGAGAGTGGAAAGCTGACCCAGGGACTCCAAGACAGAAGCAGACTAAAGAGCAGAGCACATTTATAGTCCCACTCTCAGATGCTCCACCTCCAAACACTCTCCCTTTGATTTTAAAACCAAATGTGTTTAAACTAAAACCGGACAAATGAGAAGTGAAAAGCACTGCCATCAGTCAGCTTAGGCGCCTGTCACAAAGCACCACCGATGGGGCAGCTTAAACAACACGTTTATTCTCTCCTGGTCTTGGAGGCTGCGAGTCTGAGATCCAGGTGGGCTGGAGGCTGGGAGTCTGAGATCCAGGTGAGACGGAGGCTGGGAGTCTGAGATCCAGGTGGGGCTGGAGGCTGGGAGTCTGAGATCCAACTGGGGCTGGAGGCTGGGAGTGTGAGATCCAGGAGGGGCCGAGGGTGGGAGTCTGAGATCCAGGTGGGCTGGAGGCTGGGAGTCTGAGATCCAGGAGGGGCTGAGGCTGGGAGTCTGAGATCCAAGTGGGGCTGGAGGCTGGGAGTCTGAGATCCAAGTGGGGCTGGAGGCTGGGAGTCTGAGATCCAGGAGGAGCCGAGGGTGGGAGTCTGAGATCCAGGCGGGGCCGAGGCTGGGAGTCTGAGATCCAACTGGGGCTGGAGGCTGGGAGTCTGAGATCCAAATGGGTCTGCAGGCTGTGAGTGTGAGATCCAGGAGGGGCCGAGGGTGGGAGTCTGAGATCCAGGTGGGCTGGAGGCTGGGAGTGTGAGATCCAGGAGGGGCCGAGGCTGGGAGTGCGAGATCCAGATGGGTCTGGAGGCTGGGAGTCTGAGATCCAGGTGGGGCTGAGGCTGGGAGTCTGAGATCCAGGAGGGACTGAGGCTGGGAGTCTGAGATCCAACTGGGGCTGGAGGCTGGGAGTCTGAGATCCAAATGGGTCTGCAGGCTGTGAGTGTGAGATCCAGGAGGGGCCGAGGGTGGGAGTCTGAGATCCAGGCGGGGCTGAGGCTGGGAGTCTGAGATCCAAGTGGGGCTAGAGGCTGGGAGTCTGAGATCCAAGGAGGGGCTGGAGGCTGGGAGTGTGAGTGAGATCCAGGTGGGGCCGAGGCTGGGAGTCTGAGATCCAGATGGGGCTGGAGGCTGGGAGTCTGAGATCCAAATGGGTCTGCAGGCTGTGAGTGTGAGATCCAGGAGGGGCCGAGGGTGGGAGTCTGAGATCCAGGCGGGGCTGAGGCTGGGAGTCTGAGATCCAAGGAGGGGCTGGAGGCTGGGAGTGTGAGTGAGATCCAGGTGGGGCCGAGGCTGGGAGTATGAGATCCAGATGGGGCTGGAGGCTGGGAGTCTGAGATCCAGAAGGACTGGAGGCTGGGAGTCTGAGATCCAGGAGGGGCCGAGGCTGGAAGTCTGAGACCCACGAGGGGCTGGAGGCTGAGAGTCTGAGATCCAAGAGGGGCTGGAGGCTGGGAGTCTGAGATCCAGAAGGGGCTGAGGCTGGGAGTCTGAGACCCACGAGGGGCTGGAGGCTGGGAGTCTGAGATCCAGGAGGGGCTGAGGCTGGGAATCTGAGACCCACGAGGGGCTGGAGGCTGGGAGTCTGTGATCCAGGTGGGGCTGGAGGCTGGGAGTGTGAGTGAGATCCAGGTGGGGCCAAGGCTGGGAGTCTGAGACCCAGGTGGGCTGGAGGCTGGGAGTCTGAGATCCAGGAGGGGCTAAGGCTGGGAGTCTGAAATCCAGGAGGGGCTGAGGCTGGAAGTCTGAGACCCACGAGGGGCTGGAGGCTGGGAGTCTGAGATCCAACTGGGTCTGGAGGCTGGGAGTGTGAGTGAGATCCAGGTGGGGCCAAGGCTGGGAGTCTGAGACCCAGGTGGGCTGGAGGCTGGGAGTCTGAGATCCAGGTGGGGCCGAGGCTGGGAGTCTGAGATCCAGGTGGGTCTGGAGGCTGGGAGTCTGAGATCCAGGCGGGGCTGAGGCTGGTTCCTCCTGAGGCCTCTCTCCTTGGCATGTGGACCCCGTCTTCTCCCCATGTCCTCACGTGGTCGTCCCTCTGCATGTGTCTGTGTCCTCATCCCTCTTCTTGTAAGACCCCAATCCTATGAGATCAGGGCCCAGCCTAATGATCTCATTTTACCGTAATCACCTCTTTGAAGACCCCACTTCCATTTATGGTCCCATTCTGGAGTCCTGGAGAATGTGGCTCTGACAAATGAATTTTGGGGGGACACAGCTCAGCCCATACCAAACATGGGACCCACAAGACAGAGAAACGAAGACAGTCTCTTTCCACATCTCCCAATTCATCCTACCTTGATGAATGTTATCCTGATACGAAATGACTGGGTGCTACAACAGGCTGACTTGTGTCTCCCCAAAAAAACATTTCTAAATCCTGATTCCTGAACCTTAAATGGAAATAGGTCTTTGCAGATGTGATGAAGTGAAGGATCTGAGAGGAGTTCATCCTGGATGAGGTGACCCTAAATCCAATGACACGTGTCCTTGTAAGAGACAGAGAGGAGACACAGACACAGAGGAGAAGCCACGTGAGGACGGAGGCAGAGATGGGAGGGATGCGGCCACAAGCCCAGGGACTCCTGGAGCCCCAGAAGCTGGAAGAGGCAGGGAGGACCCTCCCTGGAACATGGCACTGCCTCGCCTGGATCTCAGTGGTCCTGCCCCGCCTGGATCTCGGACTCTGGTCTCCAGAGCTGGGAGAGGACGAATTCCTGTTGTGGGACGGGCCCGGTTCGTGGTCATTTCTTACAACCACCTCAGCAAACTCCTGTACAGCCCTCCTGGGTGACCGCCCATAAATTCCTTGACTGTAGATACTTCGAGGGTACTTGGCTGTTGTTTTAGGGCCCCTCTGTTATAGTACACAGTGAACTGTGTGACAGTTCACTTGGATGCACACATCCAAAGACTGAAAACCTGGACCAGCAAAGGAAACCTGCCTCGTGGGCTGCACAGAACAGGGTCAGCTCTGACCCCTCTGCCTGCCTTCTCACGACACCCAGGTCAGGGTCGCACCCGAGACCTGGCCTGGCTGCCGCCAGCAGCATGGACCAACCCTGCGAGCACCACCGCTCTCGCAGCTGGAGGCTCCTTTGTGGGCAGGTCAGCACCCTGCAATGTGTGTGTGTTTCTGTCTCCTGTGTGCATCATGACCCATGTGTGTCCCCATCTTGTGTGCCCTGCATGTCCCACATGTGTCCCCATCCCTCAGCTGTCTCGTGCATGTGCATCCTGCGTCTCCCGTATGTCCTGCAAGAACATACCACTCCTGGAGACGATGGGCATGAAAAAGAGGAAGGCAATTTTAGACATCAGGCCACAGGCCCAGGGGAGGTGGCCATGGCCAGTGGCACTGGACAGAGCAGGGTGCCTGAGGGGCCAGCACCTATAGGTCCCCTTGTCCCACACAGGCTGCATACTAACCGTGGTCGTTGTGCCGGGCCAGGTCCTGGGAATCGATGAGAAGGTCATGGTCCGTGTCCAGCTCCCAGAACTTGCAGTAAATGACATAGAAGTGCTCATAGGAGAAGTACTCTGTCAGCTGATTGATGTCTGCTTCCTCTTCCAAGAGCGCCACATTCTGCCAAAACAAACCCAACAGAACTGGTGCATTTTCCACAGGAGCTGGGCTTCCTGTGGGTGGGAGGGCACAGGAGCTGGGCTTCCTGTGGGTGGGACCCTCCCAGGTGTCTCATATTATGAGGGTGGAGGGCCCAGAACTGGTCAAGACAAGCCTGGGGTCAGGAGCACAGCATCTAGGTCAGGAATGCACTGCGGTCAGGGTTGTGCCTAAAACTCAGCCTGGCTACTGCTGGCAACATGCGGCAGCCTTGCGAGTGTCAACCCTCTCACAGCCTGGAGCCTCCTTCTGTGGGCAGATCAGCACCTTCCTCATTAATGCCCACACGTGCACTGAGCCTGAGTGAAGAGGACACCTTGATCTCCAGTGCCTATGGATCATTTCTCCTGCATGGACGGTGGATGGTCAATGGGTGGGTAGATGGGTAGAGATGGATGGAGGACGATGGTGAACAGAAAGATGGAGAATGGAAGATGGACGGGTGAAGGACGCATGATAGACGTAAGAGGGTGGAGGATGGAAGGAAGGATGGAGGATGGATGGAGGAGAAGACAGAAGATGAAAGATACGGATGGGAGACAATGGAGGATGGGTGGTGGAGGGTGGAGGATGGATGGATGGGTAGAGGGTGGAGGATGGACGGTCCAGAGTGGAGAGTGGAGGATGAAGGGTGGATTGGTGGATGGAAGATAGAGGGTAGAGGATGGAGGATGGATGGATGGGTAGAGGATGGAGGATAGATAGATGGGTAGAGGGTGGAGGATGGATGGATGGGTAGAGGGTGGAGGATGGACAGTCCAGAGTGGAGAGTGGAGGATGAGGGTGGATTGGTGGATGGAAGATAGAGGGTGGAGGGTGGAGGATGGATGGATGGGCAAAGGGTGAAGGATGGATGGATGGGTGGAGAGTGGAGGATGGATGGGTAGATGGTGGAGGATGGATGGTCCAGAGTGGAGGGTGGAGGATGAAGGGTGGATTGGTAGATGGAAGATAGAGGATGGAGGGTGGATGGATGGGTAGAGGATGGAAAATGGATGGATGGGTAGAAGGTGAAGGATGGATAGATGGGTGGAGAGTGGAGGACGGATGGGTAGATGGTGGAGGATGGATGGTCCAGAATGGAGGGTGGAGGATGGATGGACAGGTAGAGGATGGAGGATGGATGGACAGGTAGAGGGTGAAGGATGGATGGATGGATGGATGGGCAGATGGTGAAGGATGGATGGATGGGTAGAGGATGGAGGATGGATGGTCTAGGGTGGAGGATGGAGGATGGAGGGTGGACTGGTGGATGGAAGACAGAGGATGGAGGGTGGAGGATGGATGGGTAGAGGGTGGAGGATGGATGGGTAGAGGGTGGAGGATGAATGGGTAGAGGGTGGAGGATGGATGGATGGGTGGAGAGTGGAGGATGGATGGATAGGTAGAGGGTTGAGGATAGATGAATGGGTAGAGGGTGGAGGATGGATGGTCAAGGGTGCAGGGTGGAGGATGAAGGGTGGATTGGTGGATAGAAGATAGAGAACGGAGGGTGGAGGATGGATGGATGGATGGATGGGTAGAGAGTAGAGCATGGAATGATGGGTAGAGAGTAGAGGATGGATGGTCCAGGGTGGAGGGTGGAGGATGAAGGGTGGATTGGTGGATGGAAGATAGAGGATGGAGGGTGGAGGCTGGATGGGTAGAGGGTGGAGGATGGATGGATGGGTGGAGTAGAGGATGGATGGATGGGTGGGTGGAGGGTGGAGGATGGATGGTCCAGGGTGCAGGGTGGAGGATGAAGTGTGGATTGGTAGATGGAAGATAAGAGAATGGAGAGTGGAGGGTGGAGAATGGATGGATGGATGGGTGGAGGGTGGAGGATGGATGGTCCAGGGTGGAGGGTGGAGGGTGGAGGGTGGAGGATGAAGTGTGGATTGGTAGATGGAAGATAGAGGATGGAGGGTGGAGGATGGATGGGTGGAGGGTGGAGGATGGATGGATGGGTGGGTGGAGGGTGGAGGATGGATGGTCCAGGGTGGAGGGTGGAGGATAGATTGGTGGATGGAAGATACAGGATGGAGAATGGCAGACAGGAAGGCAGGTGGACAGGAGGCATGGACGTACAGAGGCCCGTGTCCCCATTGGCCAGTGGCCTACCTGCAGGAAGGTGCTCCTGCGGAGCTCTGCACACGTGATCCTCCCTGACCAGGACCTGTTGACGGTGTAGAAGATCCTCTGTATGACCTGCAGGAGGAAGGCGTCAGCAGAGTGCCTGGACACCGGGGGATGCAGGACCCCATGTGCTGGCCGAGGCACCCACTCTGCGTTTGCCAAACAGTTGGGTTGGGGATGAAAGTGCCTGTGAACCCTGTGGTCCAAAGAGCAGGCACGTGTGTTCCCCCAAAGCTAAGACGTCCTCCCAGGCTGAGAAGCCCACGGCCAGCCCTCTCCCTCCGGCCCGGGGAGGGAGTGCACACGGATCTCTGGGATGCCCCATTGTGCTAGTTTCTGAGTTCCAGGCACGTGGGAAGACCCGCCAGGCTCTCCACGAGCTCGCTGTGCTCTGTGCCTCCACACGGGACATCTGCCTCTCGAGGACCCTCCCTCGGCCCCACTCAGCACGCACTGCCAACATCTTATCCGTGGGCGAGAAAATCAGGGTCCAGAAAGGCCATGGCCCGAGGATCTGGGTCCTCATTCAAATGTGTGGTGGGGCCTGTAGCCGGGGTCCCCGGGGCAGCGGCTGTCCCGAATACTCACGGTGGTGATGTAGCGAGAGTGGAACTCTGACGCCTCCTTCAGGAAGGCTAAGCCCGGGTGCGTGTTCACCACGTCCTGCACACGGAAGACAAAATGGAGCTCGGGGACACGCTCCGTGCCCGCCCAGCACGAGCACCTGTATCTTTGCGAACCCCTGCGGCTTCCACAGGGACACGGCTGCTGTGCACAGAACACTCCGGCCACACAGCTGCTTACGAAACGTAACCCCAAGAGCGCGACTCTGTAAATCCCTTAGGCTGCACGCTGAGGAAGCATGGGACAGGGTGGTGGAAGCGACCATCGTGACCTCTGACAATTAACTGGGACTCAACGCATATAAACGCACAAGGACCCACACAGGGGTCCACAGGAAGGGTTTAAATACCCTCGTTTTATGAGCTGCAGTCACGTGAGCCTTTAGGGGACATCTGCTGGAATAATCCAGTTACTCAGAATGGCTACACAGAAGGGCCAGTGACAGATCTACCATTCACCCTCGATTATCTGTCTCAGACTGTGCCACGATGCTCTAAATGAGTCTCAAGGAAAGCAAAGAATGTTCTAGAACACCATGACCTGTTTTTATGCAGCAGGTGACAGAGTCGGGCTCTAGTTCCCATGTCTCTGTGGCCTCATGCTCTGCAGCTGCATTTGGTCCTCCCACTCACACACACCTGCACCGTGTGGGGCACACGTGGTCCCCCCACTCACACACCTGCACCACATGGGGCACACGTGATCCTCCCACTCACACAACTGCACATGCAGCACACGTGGTCCTGCCACTCACACACCTGCACCGTGTGGGGCACACGTGATCCTCCCACTCACACACCTGCACCACGTGGGACACACGTGGTCCTGCCACTCACACACCTGCACCGTGTGGGGCACACGTGGTCCCCCCACTCACACACCTGCACCACATGGGGCACACGTGGTCCCGCCACTCACACACCGGCACCGTGTGGGGCACACGTGGTCCCCCCACTCACACACCTGCACCACATGGGGCACACGTGATCCTCCCACTCACACACCTGCACCACGTGGGACACACGTGGTCCCCCCACTCACACACCTGCACCGTGTGGGGCACACGTGGTCCCCCCACTCACACACCTGCACCACATGGGGCACACGTGGTCCCGCCACTCACACACCGGCACCGTGTGGGGCACACGTGGTCCCCCCACGGGGCACACGTGGTCCCCCCACTCACACACCTGCACCACGTGGGGCACACGTGGTCCCCCACTCACATACCTGCACCGTGTGGGGCGCACGTGGTCCCGCCACTCACACACCTGCACCACATGGGGCACACGTGGTCCCGCCACTCACACACCGGCACCGTGTGGGGCACACGTGGTCCCCCCACTCACACACCTGCACCACATGGGGCACACGTGGTCCCGCCACTCACACACCGGCACCGTGTGGGGCACACGTGGTCCCCCCACTCACACACCTGCACCACGTGGGGCACACGTGGTCCCCCACTCACATACCTGCACCGTGTGGGGCGCACGTGGTCCCGCCACTCACACACCTGCACCACGTGGGACACACGTGGCCCCATCACTCACACACATGAGAGGGGCTGGGCCCTGGACCATGTCTGTGGGAAGCAGTACCCTGAGGGAAGGGAGCCAGACCCGTAGCCAGTGTGTGGTGTACGTGCAGGGGTGGACCTGGGAGGAGGTGCGTGTGGTCTGGACGCCGGGCCATACCTGTAAGAAGGGGATGAAGTCGTCTTGCACCAAGTAATTACAGCCAGGATTCATGAGCAGGTGGACGAACTTGGCAGCCTCATCGTGACAGTTCTGGAGGATCCTGCAATGATGGAGGACGTCCCAGCGGTCCCCCCACACCAGATCCACGAGGCCCCTCCCAGATACAGGCGGTGAGGAGGGCACGGGGCCATGACGGGGTGTGACATGCCCGGGAAGGGACAGCACACCATGCCACACGCCCTGGAGCTTAGCCCCCTCCTCTTGCCGTCTCGGCCACAGAACGTGAGCGTGAGGCGGCACCTGCCCTTGGGACTATGCAGAGCTGGGGACACGCCTCCCTTCCCAGCACCGCCCCCGGCACACAGGCGCGAGACTCACTTTCTCCACATGGCGACGAACTTGTGGACAGAGATGGATCCCGTGCGCTCTCCCCCTGCACTGCAGAACAGCGGCCCCTTCCAGTACAGCGGGCAGCCACAGGCCTGCAGTACAAGGGCACAGCGGGCAGTCAGCGCCCCCTGGACACCCAGCTGCTGCCACGATCGCGCGCCCCCAGGGGGATGCCGCAGCGAACCTCTGCTGCAGAGACACTGGACCTTCAAGTCCATCAGCCCTGCACACAGGAGCGCAGTGTTCCCGCCAAACACAAGACGTGCATTCACTCCCGCGCACCAGGGACAGCAAGAGGTGCTTGTCCTAGCTGTCGCATCGGGTGACGGGAATGCAGCTCGGGGACAGGAACAGAGCACCCGTCCAGCAGACGGTCCATCAGCGGGCAACCAGCAGGCCCCCGAAGTCTGCGAGTCCAGCAGCAGCTTGGGATAACCATGGGCGAGGGAACGGACAGCGTAAATGAGGACGGGCTCTAAACGTGACATGGAAAATACCGCCCACCGGAACTTCACCACGTGAGCGCAGACTACGGCGTGGAGCACGTCTGTCAGCAGAGAAGCCTGGAAAACACTGATCTAAAGCAAAGCTCTACCTCAAAAAAGGAAGAAAAAAAGGAAGAACGCTGGAATAGGCAGACATGAAAATAAAACAGGGGTGCCTGGGAGGCTCAGTCGTTAAGCGTCTGCCTTTGGCTCAGGTCGTGATCCCCGGGTCCTGGGAGCGAGCCCCGCATCGGGCTCCCTGCTCTGCGGGGAACCTGCTTCTCCCTCTCCAGCTCCCCCTGCTTGTGTTCCCTCTCTCGCTGTTTCTGTCAGATAAAATCTTTAAAAAAAAAAAAACAAAAGAAAGCAAATACTCAATACAGAAAGCAAAACTGAAAGTCAGTTCTTCGAAGATCTAAAAAATAAAACACCCTTTAGCAAAACTCGTCAAGAATAGACAGAAAACACAAGTTACGAATGTCAGCTGTCACCGCACCTCCCACAGGCATGAGGAAGACAGGAAGTGGACACTAGGATAACTTCATGCCCACATGCACCACAGCGTTGGTAACCTGCACAGAGCACCCGTGAAGGCTTAATCTAACCCAAATGGACACAACCGAAAATTTGAACAGAGCTGTAAGTCTGCAAGAAACTGAATCTGTAAAACTTTCCCAAAGAAAAGTCCAGACCCAATGGCTCCGCTATTGAGTTTGCTCAAACATTTAGGAAAGAAATCATACTGACTACATACAAACTCTTCCAGGGACTGAACATAAGGGATGTTTCTTAATTCTTATCATAAGGCCAACACACAGCAGATACTGAAATCTGTCAAAGATACAAGGAAATTTATGGGTCAGTCATGTCTCATCAACACAGATGCAGAAATCTTATACAGAATACATGTCTGCAAACTGAATCCAGCCATTACAAAAATAATAATTAAGAAACAACAGACCAGGAAACTGAGAACAGAGGGGAACACCTTACTCTTTAAAAAAATTTTTTTTTTATTTTTTAAGTAATCTCTACACCTAACATGGGACTCAAACTCACAGCCCCAAGATCGAGAGTCACATGCTCCACTAACTGAGCCAGCCAGGTGCCCCGGAACACCTCATTCTAATAAAGGTATCCACAGAAAACCCATGGCTCACATCAGACGCAAGGGTGACACATGATGCCTCCGTGTCCGAGCTGGGACCACGGCAAGGGCACCACGAGTCCTGAGGCCAGGGCGTGGGGGCGGGAGAAAGACAGGAAGGTACAAAGGCCCAAGAGGAGGACTCAAAACTGCTGTAATTCAGAAACGACACAGTGTGTAGAAGACCCGAGGGACTTACAGAATTTTATAATAAGTAACTTCCGCAAAGTTGCTAGAAGCAAGCACAATGTACGTGAGGCGATTCTATTTCAACACACTGGCCGACAATTACAAAATGAAATTTTTAGCAGTGCCCTCTATGTAAAGCATAAAGAAACCCCCCAAATAAATCTAACCAGCACTGTGTGCCATCTGCACGAAGCCAACCACACACCGTTGTTGGGAGACACTGAAGACCCCATGCTGAGCTCCTGTGGCAGAGACCCACTGCTAGATCCCGAATGACCCCCCGATTCAGCTGAAAGCCAATCGACGTGCAGCAGGGTGTCTGTGGTGGTGGTGTGGAAATACAAAAGCTTACTCAGAAACCCGTACAGGAAGGGAGGGATTTTGCAGAGTTCCATCAGCGAACACCTGGTGCATGTGTGCGAGGAGGGACAGACAGACCAATGGCAGGGAGCAGTGAGGAAGAGATCCTGAGCCTGTCAAGTGATTCAGGAGAAAGGCAGGCCTGCAGTTCTGCGGGAACAACCATGTTCTCAGTGAGAGCACTGCATCAACAACGGGAAACCTTCCTTCACACTGTGCACAACGATCAACGCACGACGGATCCTGGTCCTGAATGGGAATGCTAAAACAGTAAGCCTTATGCAAGAAAATGTAAGAGAAGCTCTTCCTGATTTTGGAGTAGCAAAGATCCCTCCCACAGGACCCAACACATCTTTAACCCTGAGGGCACAGAGAGGTAAACTTCACTTGAGAACTGTCTGCTGGAAGATGCTGTGAAGACAGTGAAGACAAGCCACAGACCAGGAAAGAATACGTGCAACACGCAAGTCTCACAAGGACTCACAGGCAGGATTTTAAAGAACTGCTGGTCAAGGAGAAAAAGGCACACAGCACAAGAGAGCAAGAGACCTGAGCAGGCACTCGGAGAAAAGAACGCACAGACGCCCATTCGGCCACAAAAACGTGCTCGGCATCAGCGCTCACGATGGAGATGCAAAGAAGTGTGTAAGGAGAGATCAGAGAGGCCCACAGGAACAGCTCGAAGTCGGAGGACTGAAAATACCAGGCGTTGGCAAGGACGCAAGGAACGGAGCTTACGCATGTGGCTGGTGGAGAGAGCCGCCGGGCAGGGTCTACCGAGAGCTGGCCATGCAGTCCCACAGGCCACACACTGTCCTCTCGGAGTGACCCAGAGACCTGACGCTTGCTCCCACAAGACATGGCCAAGAATGGTCCCAGTGGCCTCACTCGGGATGCTCCAGATGGAACCACCCAGGTGTCCAGAAGCAGGGTGCTGGATGAACAAGCTGGTAGATTCACGCCCTTTGAGGGTGTTGGTTTCGGGCCATATCGTGGAATAAAATGCAGTGATCACAAAGACCCACCCATGTGTTTTAGGCACAACCAAGACACCAGTGCCCCACGCAGGTGTGGATGAATTTCATGGAGGCCACACTGGGCTGGGGGAGCTGGAGGGGAAAGGACACCCAGCCCGACTTGTGAGAGGTGAACCAGGACAGCATCCAGAGCATGGGCTGGTGACCTGGCGTGTTGACCGGGAGTGGGCCGAAGGGAACTCCTTGGGTGCCACGAACAGGTGGCACCGAGCTCTGGGTGGTGGTCACGTGGGAGCTCTGGGTGGTGGTCACGTGGGAGCTCTGGGGGCTGGTCACGTGGGAGCTCTGGGCGGTGGTCGCGTGGGAGCTCTGGGCGCTGGTCACGTGGGAGCTCTGGGCGGTGGTCGTGTGGGAGCTCTGGGTGGTCACGTGGGTGTGTGGACGCTTCGGCATGCAGGACTGGCGGTCACAGCACCGTGGCCCCTCATGGCGCCACACGTCCGTCCCCGAAGCGGTCCATGCACACGAAGCTGTGTGCGCTCTCCTGTAAGGGGGCCCCTGCGTGGATGAGTGCCCAGGACGTGCTGGCATCCCTGGGGTTCCAACCAATCTGACACCTGGAAGGTTAATCCTAAGGCTTTGGTCGTGACCTACACTGCCTTGCAGGACGTTTTGTTAATTTCCTGAAGCGAGTGGGAAACGTGACCTCTAAAATGCAAGACAGAAATAGCAGCTTATAAAAAAGTATAAAACGGTCACTTCAAGGGAAAAGATGCATCCCAGTAAGAGTGCTTTTTGTCAGTTTTATGTAACATACACTCAGAAAGACTCGCTCTTTGTAGAGTGCACTCAGATGCCTAGATCATGCGTCTGTCCCCACAGTGAGGAGAGCCGTGCCACCCGCCGATTCCAGCGTACCCTAACCCTAACCCCACCCACACCCAGCAAGCCCCTCTCCACCCCCGTGGCTTCCCTTTCCTGGAATACTGTGTAAGTGGGATCGTGCCGCCCGTGGCCTTTTAGGCATGGTTCCTTTCGGTCAGCATCATGCGCCTGAGGTTCAGCTATGCATCATGTGTGAGACATAACAAATCTAAATACTCGATTCTGCCCCACTTCCTGGCACAGTGAGTCTGAAACCCTTGTAATTCCCTACGGGACTGGGGTGCTAGGATCACCTTCTGTTCTGACTTTTGGTCTTTAACTCTGGTTCCTGACACAGAGCTCCCAAATCCCCTGGGGTGTGTGGGCTGACAGGTCCCTCTGTGGTCCTAAACAGGTGGTTCTGGGTGGCTCCTGGGTGGGGCTGGACAGCAGGAAGGCTGAGCCACGATGAGACACTTGGGACATTCAGCCCTGCACCATCCTCCAGAGAGGAGAGCACCTGGAGGCCGGGAGTATGACGCATCATGCGTACAGGGGAAGCCTACGTGGAAGTGAAGACGAGGCGCAGAGTTTCCGGGTGGTGAATGCATCTGAGCACATGAAGGGTGGGCGCCCAGCTCCACCGGGACAGCAGCTCCTGAGCTCGGGACCCTCCCAGCGCTCACCCCGAGTGCCTCTTCCTCTGTCTGTGCAGCTCTATCCTCCCCCAAGGAGGGCCGTGGGAACCCCCAAGTCTATGGCTGGTCGGTCAGTGCACAGGTGAGAACCTGGGATTTGTGGCAGGTGTCAGAAGTGGGGTGGCCTTGGGGAGCTGAGCCCCTGACCCCTGGGGTCTCTGCTCTCACCATGAGGCGGTACGAGAACTGAGCAGAGGGGCAGGTGATAGGTGCGTAACACCGTACATGTCCTAAGTGTCTCTGAATTCTACTTTTATCGTAGTTAAGATGCTGATGGCATTTTATGTATGTTTTACCTCAATGAAGAAGTATCTACTACCTGATTCTGTTCATGTAAAATTCTAGAAAACTCACCTAACCCACGATGACCAA